AACTCGGAGGAGAAGGAAGAGATTATAAAGTCTCACAGAGAATGTGGTCAGAAATTAGAAGGTAAAAAACTCATTTTCAAAATTTTGACAAAACCACTTTTTTTTTTTTTCTCAAAAGTTTAAAAACCTTCTTGTCAGTTTATTTTATTTAAAAGAAAAAAACAAATAAGTTTTTATATCTTGTTTTCAAAAAAAGAAAATTACCAAACAGCCCTTTAGTATTCTAATAAAATTCAATTCGACATCCTATTAAAAAAAAAACTGTCATTTTAACATAATTTTATATGTTCCCATGTTTTATTCTGTAACTTAAATTTACATGATGATGCCGCATCCTTGTTGGAATTAGATGTTGAAATGTAATACTAAGACGTGAAAAAGTGAAAGTTTAAGACCAAAGTGAAAAATTAAAAGTTGAGTGAATATTTTATAAAAGAAGTAAAAAAGTTTCATCTGGTTTGGAAAACAACCATTACTGAATGAGAAATTTAATAATACATTAGGAGTAATTAGTGGCATGTACGATAATTACTTCATGAACCTACTTTGAAGAGAGAGATAGACATATAAAAAAATAATGAAATTATATTTATACCTATTGAAAATGATAAGAAGATTTTCACATCCGTTTAAATTTTTTTATTTTCTCTCTCTTTGTGTCTATCTCTCTTTTCAAAATGGATCCATCGAGTAACTACTATATATGCTACTTGTTATTTATAGTGTATTATAAAATTACTCGTACCGAATGTTTTGAATTTTGTCCAAAAGCCAAATATGTATTGTGACCTGAGACATGTGGCGAATCGTTTCTGGTTTATAGCCCATGTATGAGACAAAAGGTCCATAGTTTTTTATTTATGAACTCATGTCTAATAAACCATGATTTTTCATCGTTACAATGAATCTTTTGGACAAATACGTGAATTAGAGTGATCTTTTATATTATTTATAACTATGAATAAAAGTAGCAAGTCACTTGGAAAGACAATTTTTGTTGCACTCGTTTCAAAATCAAACCTTTAGTCTTTGCTATTTTTTTTTTTTTAATGTAGAATCTTTTGTATTACTATGAAGTTCAGTCTGGGTGACTTTGTGTAATCCTAAAAGTATATTTACTTGAAATTCAATAGAAACTATTTTATTGTGAAGGCAAATAATTACCAATTTCATATATATATATATATATATATATCACAATAATAAGTAAAATTTGATTAATTTTTATTTGATAATAAAAATATTTTCAAATTAACTTACACGTCAATCAAAACTACACATCTTAAGCATCGATTTCTCGTATATCTAAAAAAAAAAAAAATTTAATATCAATGCTGTAAAGTCTAAGTATAGAACCCTTCTCCAGTCCTTAAAACACGTAAAAAGGATAATGAATAAATAATAAATAAAATCCAGATGAGCTCTCTGCATGACACAACAGCGTGAAAGGGAAAGGATTTGGTCCCAATTTCATGGAATAAAAACTTGGGGCTTGGGAAGGTGGAAGCATGATTCCCCCCACCTCTGTATTTGTAAGCAATGGAAACATCACACGTACACAGATATAGTCAAAGCTGCTGACCATCTTGGTTTTTGCACTTTAGAGAGTCAAAGGATCTAGTCCTAGCTACAGCACTAAAACCTATAATAAGCATGGACACCCTTTCAATCCATAAATATTCTAAAGTATTTTATTTTATGCTAATATGTTGCCATGTATATATCACATCAAATCAAGCAAATTAATAATAATAATAATAAGGAGAGCAACTTTTGGGATAGAGGAGGAGCGTCTTCTTCTTCATGTATATTATATATAAAAGAAAAAAAAAAAAAAACCAGCCTGGAGTGGTCCAGCCTTTCACACGTGATGACGCTCCTGCTTGCAATTATATTCACGTGCCATATCACAACCATCATCAATACTTTCTTTGGCTTCTAATAACTTTGGCCCCCCAATTAGCTACCCCTTTCCAACCCCCAAATCGCCTTGTATCAAAGTTGTGGGCCCTTCCTCGACCCAAGATCATATAAGGGACCATGGTATGATCAATGATGCATTGCCAGATATGTGAAAGAGTAGTTATAGGGTTATATACACCCAATTCTCTCTCTCTCGAAAAAGAGCGAGAGAGAGAGATTGGTATATATAACCCTATAACTACCCTTTCACATAGTTGGCAATGCATCATTGATCATCATACGTGGTCTTAAATACTCTCAAATCAATGCATCATTGATCATCATCTTATATATTCTCGAATCAATTTTTTATATAAACCGATACTAAACTTATTATATTTTGACATACGTCCACATTGAATTATGTTTAATTTTTTATTGATTTTAAAAATTAAATTTTTTGAATACACCGATAATCCATATTCAATATTATTAAAAAAAAATGAATGAGATTTTCACAAGTAAGAATTGAATTCTTAATCTAAATTAATATTAAATTACATTTAATTTTTTATTGATTTAAAAAATCAAACTATTTAAGTTCATTGGTTCCCTATGTCTAGTATTGTTTTTTTTTTAAAAAAAAAAGAAGAGATTTTTTAATGTAAAAATCAAACTACTGATAAGTCAGAAATACTAAGAAAATCCTTTTTTTTTTATAAGAAACTCGTTAGGGATCGAGCATCTTCTTCACAAAGGGTTTTTAATATATATATATATATATATATATACACTTAAAATGTAACCTACAAATTTAAAAAAAGGGAAATCCATGAGAGGACGATAATTAAAAACACAGTACAGAGTAGAATCCATGATTAAGATAAATTAAACAGCATTCATTTTGTTGAGAGAAAAAATTGTTCTTTTCTGACCATTTACATTGACAGTCTAGATTTTGGATCCTGTGTCTTCTATTTTTTATTTTATTTTTGTCTTTTTTAAAAAAAATTAAAACTATCTAGATATTGTTTATTAGTGCTGCAGTGCTGCTCGAACTATAAAGAAATAATTAAGGACAGGAAGTTACAGCCCCTAAAAAGGAATTAAGTTTTGTTCTTTTACGGGGGCTGCTGGTCAACCTTGTCGGAATAGATGGCATCTCAGCTTAACAAATTCACTCTGATCCGCAAGTTGGCAGAAAGTTTTAGGTAATCCCATTTGTCTAATAGGTTGGAAACATGTTAGAGTGGAGCATCAATGACTTATAAGGATGCACTACTGTTTCGCAAAGTCCTAGACAGGGCTGATTGACTGGATCTAATTTTTTTTTTAATATTTATAAATAAATTATTTTTTAAATCAAATTTTCTATAGATCGAAATTAAATTCATTATTTTTTAATAATTCGAATGACTTGGATCTTGAATCTATCGACATCTTATATTTAATGAGACAAAAAAAAAACAAATTCTACTGACATCCTATATCTAACGAGACACAAAAGGATAAACAAAATTTTTAAGATTGAGTATGAAATATCTGATTTAGTAAGTGAGAAATAATTTTTTTTTTTAATTACTTTACTTGTAATTTTTTTTATGGTATTCTGCTTTTCAATTTTCTCTTAAAAACAAACTGAAGGGAAAAAAATGATAAATAATAAGAAGGAATTGAAACAACATTATTCTTGCCATGCATTCCTAGCTAATTCAATGTGTTAGAGGCGTCTATATGCAAATAATTTTTTTTTCCTTTTTTTTTTTAATGAGAAAGCAATAATAATCCATCATAAGGTCACCCATTTTTAATTCTTTGTACAGTCATATTTGTCGTGTAGTGTGTGTATGAGTAAATTATAAATTGGTCCCTCTAGTTTTAAAAAATTAATTAATTAGTCTTCCTCGTTTCAAAAAATATCATTTTTTTAATGAGTGTTAGCCATATTTAATTTTCTTTCCTAAAAGCATAAAATTGGAGGATAAAGATGTTTACTCATCTATTCATAATCATTCTTGCAAACTTAAAGAATGTAATACAACTTGAATTTGCTAAAATTATTTAAAAAAATACTCTTTTTATTTCAAAGAAACTCTTTTTTTTTTTTTTTTTTTTTTATATATATCTGTTTCAAAATGCTTATTTTGTCGAAATTTTAAATAATGTACTTCTTTTAAAAAAATATCTCTAATTGATAAATAAAATCAATTCTTTCTTCTATTTAGTGTTCTCCACTAATTAAAAATCATATTCTTTATATTTTTTCTTTATACATATAAATACATTTAATATAAAAATTTCAAAAGATAGATATTCATTTTTGTAAAAACTTTACTTGTATATCGAAATTTTGAGAGTGAAATATTTTTATTAGTATGTTATTTTTCTTTTTATAATTGTTTTAACCTTAGCATTAATTAATTTAATAATTTTTTCTTCGATTTACCATCTTAATTGTGGATAGATTTTTTTCCTTAAATTAATATAGGTTCCATGAAATGTAGGATTAAATTTAATAACTAATTTTAACGAAAAATATATTTTAAGGAAGTATAAACAAAAAATGGTAATATGGCATAATAATTACAAAATTTATTTAATGTATGAAAAGTTAAAAGGAAAGATCAATAACATTATTTTATGAATTAATTTTGGAAAAAAATGATAAAAATATTTCTTCAATAGTAGCATACTTAAGTCCAAGAAATACCCCCACGACCATAATGGCAAGCAATGATAGTAGCAAGTAGCAATATTCTCGTCGAAAAGAAGATTTAGTTTGACGTTAAAATTGGCAGAAAATATCAACATACGGAGAGATTTTAGGCTAAGTATAGGAACACGTACCGTATATATAGGCATGTATACAGGTAATAACCGCTAAAAAAATTAACGCCTATATCACATATTCTTGTTTTGGCGGCACTAAATCCGCTAGCCTTCACTCCCTCACTCCCCATATACCACTCCCCCTCTTCGTCTCTGCCTTTTTTCTTATATATAAAATTTCCCAATCTCCCCAACGTGGATTCCTGTGAAATCGCATGTTTCACTCTGAACCTTTATAGATTTTCATGATTATTAATTAGAATCAATTCATGGGAGACCTTGATTCTTTCTCTTTGTCAAGTCTTTTGTGTCATGAGAATGAAAGTTGTTTTCTCAATGACAACATGACTGATCACAACAACATCAAACATGACCAATCTTGTTTTGTTTTAGAAACTGAAGTTGATGTTGAATATGTAGAGAGATTGGTGGAGAGGGAGACCAGTAGCTTTGGATACAGATGCCATGTTTCTTGTGATGATTGCTTGATCACTAACCATAGTTGGTTAAAGTTTGCTCGCTTGGATGCCATTGAATGGATCCTTAACGTAATTTGATTTCTCTTCTATGATCTGTGATTTTTCCGTTTTTCTTTTTCAGATTCTCTGTTTTGTTTTCTGTGTCTAAAAGTTTGTGTTCTCTCATGTTTCCAGACAAGAGCATTCTACGGGTTCCGATTTCACACGGCTTATCTTTCTGTCACTTACTTCGACCGTTTTGTTTCGAGAAGATCTATCGACGTAAGAAACTATTCCTGTTTCGAAGTAGAAAACTTCTAATGGATTTTAATGTTTGACTAATATATGATGATTTATAGGAAGGGAAATTGTGGGCTATTCGGTTATTATCGGTGGCATGTTTGTCAATAGCAGCGAAGATGGAGGAGTGTAAAGTGCCAGCCTTATCAGAGTTTTGTGTGGAAGATTATTGTTTTGAAAATAAGGTTATACAGAGAATGGAATTGTTGGTATTGAATACATTGGAATGGAGAATGAATTCAATCACTCCCTTTACTTATCTACATTACTTCATCAAGAAAGAATGTGGTGAATCTAAACAAAAAGAAATAGTTTCTAGAGCTGTGGAGTTTATTGTGGCAATGATTAAAGGTATAGTAACTTTTTTCAAGTCGAAAGCTTTGTTTTCCAAGTTTATTTATGAGTTTAATACATCCTTATATATGCTAATTAAGTTTGAGTTTGTTTTGTGTAGAGATTGATTTGCTTGATCATCGACCATCTATTATCGCGGCAGCTGCAGCATTAGCTGCATCCAATAGTCAATTAACGATAAAGGAATTGGAGCTGAAAACGAATATGATTTCATCGTGGGGTTCTCTAGAAAATGTAAGCTTTCTTGCCTTAAAAAACATCTCTTTTGTCTGTACAATTCAATATTAGATATCTTACATGTTTTACCAACTAAATAAAAGAACATAACATATAGAGATGGGTTAGCGTTACTGATGTTGTCTTCATGTTTCACTGCAACAGGAACATATATTTTCCTGTTACATAGCGATGCAGGAAATAGAGATGGGAAAAGTTAAGACCCCCAAGCTAGTGTTTTCCCCCAGTTCATCATCAATAGTACACTCCAAGGGTTCATTTAATGTTCTTGAGAATTCTCCATTCATCTCTGGAGGCGGAATTAAAAGAAGACTCACATTTAATGAATGTGATCAAACTTGCCCAGTTAAGAAAATCTGTAGGCCATAGCGTTTGATATTTTCTTTAGTGGATTGAATTGGGTTCATTGATTTGATAATACGATTTTTATTTAATTATTTTTGTTTTGTTCCATCCAAAGCAGATCGATCATTGCTCGTAAGTTGGTTCCTAGGTCTAATGAGTGCTAAGAGCCCATTTTACGGTTTAATTTGGGTTTTAGGTTTGGGGCTTCATTTTCCAACAAAAGATTGAGCCAAGTGACCACAAGGAGTTGACAGAGAAAAAGTTAATAAATGAAAAAAAAAGTGTTAGCTTTAACCTAAGGTGAAGAAAAGCTAGGAGACTCGAGAAAAACTGTTTGTTTATAGCATTTCTTGCATTGTTCGCTTTCAAGAATCCCACTATTACTTTTTTTTTTTCAACTTCTTGTATTTATTTTCTTCGCTTTTTCTTCTTTTGTTGTGACAAAGAACGTGTGATGTATACATAATTTGTAACTTTACTGGAGCTTGGGATGCTTCCTGTGTCTTTCAAAAGGCTGAAAGCCATCAGGAATGAAGAATTGTTCTTGGTTGATTTGATGCAGTACTTGAGTTTGCATTTGGACCATCGAAAAGCATATAAAGGAGAATGTGACTGGATTTCTTTAGAATGTTGGGGTCTCCTTTTTATTCCTTTTCTCTGCTAAATGTTACTATGTTTCTGGTGTTCGGGCATGGTACCCTATCAAGTATCAAGACTTTATTCCCTTTCCCAATTATAACGTAGTAGGAGGCATTTCATGTGTTTTTTTTTCCTCTCCCATAACAGAAGAGATCAGGAACAAGCCTCCTGAAAAGGAAAAACAATCTCTATCATTCTTCTTAAAGTTGCACCTAATGCTCCATTAGCCATTGTTTTCATCAATAAGCCATAAATGTGAATGCTGATTTCTGCTCCCTCCCTTTCAAGGCTGTTTGTAGGGCCCAAACTATCATCATGACATTAGAGACCTCTGTTTTGGGGTGGTGGATGGGGGAGATTTGGGGCCTGAGATTCATGGCAAAATGGTGTCAGAGGCTCCACCCTTCCACATGCCTCCATGGGGTCCTAGGATAAGTCTGGCATTGTACAACAACGTATTCTGAACTGCAGTAATTGCAACGGTGCCTATTATAGGGGACAGTTCAAAGTTGGAGTACAGATAGGCTCTACTGTAACTCATGTCTCAACGTTCACTGGACCACCTCAGAGGCCGTTCGCTTCTTCTGATGTATTCTTGCCAAGAATTCTGAAGCGCAGAATAGGAAGACAGGCGGATGTTTGGTCTTGTACATGTGATTGTGTTCTGTAGCAAATATTGCATCCTATTGCTCAAAATATCTGCCTTTTACATAAAATCCAAAAAACTCAAAATTGCAAAAGAGAAAAAAATGAATTATCCTTAAAAAAAAACCCCAAAAAAAGGCGAAGCAGGAGAAGATAAGAGGACGTGGCACCTCTCAAGTTAGGACAGCAGCGCAGTAGCGCCGTCGGTTGTCGGAAAGGCAGCAAACCACTGTGCACACAGCCCTCAATGCCGACCTCCTTCAGATCCTTGTAACTCCCAGACCATAGGAGGAGAAGAGGCCCCCGCGCGCCGTTCGAGGAGAAGAGGGGCAATTGATGACCCTTTATCTCGCCGTCATCCCTTGGCAGATCAGTTGAACAAAGATGAAGAGAACAAAATAAAAGCTTCAAAACTGTGGCGTTGTGCGAAGCTAGAAAACATGATAAAAGAAGTACAAACGATATCATTTGTTCATTTACCATGATTGAAGAAAAACTATGGACCTTTTTTTTTTCGGGAAAAAACGGTGCCGTTTTGCTCATGAAAGCTGCAGGGTGTGTGAACTGTTCATTTGAAGGTTTACTTGGTAAAACATCGTCCTTATGCTCTAAGATCTTAAAATTAAAGCATATAAAAAACTGTCTTTTTGCCAGTTTACTAAGTAGCTTGAACTCTTCCTTTAAGTGGATTTTGAGCTTGGGCTGCACAGGTGCAATAACTTTTCACTGGCAGTTGGCACACGAATGCTTCACAATACGCATTCAAATACTTTCTAGGTGCTACTTGATACCTACTTGATAATAAGAAATAAAATAATTGAAATGAGAATAAAAATTTTATTCCTATATTGTAGGTTTTTTGTTAAAAAGAACGAAGTGAGAATGAGAATGAAGAGTGAGAATAAGAATAAAAATTTACACACGACTTCATTTTTTAATAAGATGTGGGAATAAAAACAAAGGATGGGAAATATTTTTTTCTTCAAAATAATAATATATTTTATTTATTTATTATATATTAACTACTTTTACCACCACAGTCATCACAATCACCACCACCATAATCACAACTACTACCATCACAATCACCACCACCATCATAACCATCACCACCACTACAACAATTATTATCGTCGTCGCCGTCGCCACCACTACCACCATCATAACCACCACGACCACTACAACAATTATTACCACCGCCCCCGTCACCACCGTCATAATCACAATCACCACTATCACCTTTATTATTTTTACAACCATTGTAGTTTAATAAAATTATTTTTTAATCGTTATTTTTATTTATATAAAAAATCGGATATTAAAAAATTTAAATTGCATTTTGATTCCTCATTAGTATTTCAAACACAATATGAAAATACAAATACTATTCCGATTCCTCAATTTTTATTCAAATTCTTGCATTCTCATTTCTATCATTTTATTTCGATCACCAAACAACACCCTATAGTACTACTAACATTAACATTAACAAAAATAAATAAATAAATAAAATAAGATAAACAATGGATTACTATTTATCGTACTATTTGAATTTTGAAACATTGTTCTTATTATTCTTTTTATCGTGCAGTGTTATTTTTATAATTTTTAAATATTTTAAAAACATTTATTATAAAAGTTTTCGTGACATTATACTTTGGTCCTTCTTTTTTAAATATTATTTTTTTGATCTATAAATATTTTTTTGTTTAATTTTGATCCTTCTTTTTTTGTTTCATTTTGGTTACCTTGATCATTTTTTCTGATTTTTTTAATTAAAAAATTTAAGGCAAAAAACTATTTTAAAAAATAATTTACAAAACAAGTTTTTAGATAAGAATTCATTGATTTTGACAATTTTTATACCATTATAAATTTTTGATTTTGTAGATAAAGATAAATAAATAATATTCTTTTAATAAAAAAAATTATATATAAAAAAAGAATAATCGAGTCAAATACAAAATTGTGATTAAAAAATTATAAAATCAAATGAATTTTTATTCAGTTTTGATTTAATATATGCACAATATAACACGAAACATCAAACTAAAATATTTTTTTAAAAATAATTTTATGTGTTCTATTCGATCCGCATCATATCACAAGTAAAAAAACTAGTGTGCTTCTATTAGCAAATGAGTTGTGCGACTCACAATAAACTTGTATTTGCATAATATAACACGAAATATTTTTTAAAAAATAATTTTATGTGTTATATCCGATCCGTAACATATCACGAGTAAAAAAACTAATTTTCTTCTCGTTAGCAAACGAGTCGTGCGACTCACAAATATTCTTGTATTTGGGAGTCGTGATTGTGCTTGTGTTAAGGATACCCAATGACGACTCTCACAAAAGTTCTCTCTTGAGTATTTGACTTATGTATTCTCAAGAGTATTGAGTTATGATTGATAATATATCTTACAAAAATAAAATTTACAATTTTTAAAAATATTTGCAATCATCATTGATGACAATAATAATATTTTATTCTTTCGTTCGACAACACTATTTTATTATTAAGTCATCGAAATATTTTATTTTATAATAATACTCGTGTTTGTCGTTGAGTAAAGTGATGATCTACTCGGATTTATGTCTTATTCAGAATAAATTTAAAAGTTTCTCATTGCTTCTTTTTGTAAATATTTATATGAAAAAAATTAAAACAAATCCTAGATTTTAGTACATTTTTCATGTTTTTCAGTTGTTTTTCAAATTAGATTGCTATTTTGTGAGAAATAGATGTGAAATCCACCCTATATTTTATTATTCTCGCTAATTTTTATTGAAAATTACCTACGAATCCTTATATCTGGTTATTATTTGATCACTGACTTGATGTAACGGTGGTATGTTGGTAATTTATCATAATTTATAATAAAAATTTTGATGGAAATAACAATACATACAGTGGATTTAGTGTTACTCTTTATAAAACAGATCAATTTCCTTTTTTTTTTTTTTTTTCCTGGTAAGATAGAGAGAGAGATCGATTGAACATTTCTCTTGGGTTTTATCTTTTTGTTTGCCTCCATATTTATTTGTCTATTTACTATTTTTTCTTTATGTTCCACCCTTCTCCTTTTATTTTCAGCATATAAATTTAGGCCATTTTTTCCTTTATTTTTTTTTAATCTTGCTTTTTTATATATTTTTTTCTCTTTGAGAAAATTTAAAGACATATAAAAATGTTAAAAATGAAAAATTGGCTAAAATAATTTTAAGTATATATAACTAAGTCCCTTGACTCTTTTTAAGAATTAGAAAAGAAAAAAAAAAGCAGAAGGAGAATTCAATTGATTTTTGTTTTGTGTAATAACAAATTTTATTTATAAAATTTGAAACTATAAAATTATTCCATTTTTGAATTAAAATGAATAATTGTCAAGTAGTTTAATTCTATAATCACATGTATACCTTTTGTCAATAAAATAAAATATTAAAAAATATTGTTATTGGTACGTAATTTTAGTTTCAAAAGAATGACATGAAATCTGCAAGAAAGGATGACATTTATAATTAAATAAAAGAAACAAAATAACTTCAAAAAATCTAACATAACTCGAAAACCCTTGCAAGTTGAGATTAAAAAAAAAAAAAAACTTGAAATATTGAAAAGCTTAGAAACGCAAAAACTTGAAAACATTTTAAGAAAATTGAAATAACCTATAAAAGAAGGGTAACTAATGAAAATTTGAGAAACCCGTGTCCTGCAAATTTATTTTAGTGACATAGACATATTTCTATTTATGAGATTTTATAGACATAATTTTTTCATTTTTTAGATTTTAAAAGTCATCATTACTTTTTAGGGTTTTCAATTTTTTTTCTTCCAGATTTTTATTGTTCTGTAGGTTTTTTTTTTATATAATTTTTAAAAACATAGTTGGGTTCTTAAATTTGATTTTTGTTTTTTTGAGGTTTATATGCAAATTAAAACGTATTGTTGTGTTAAAAAAAGATTTTGAACGGTTATTATGATGATTTTTAGGTGTTTAGAAGGGGGAAAAAAGGGATTTAGAGAGCTAAAATCGATGGCTTGCCAAGTCTAGACATTCGGCTACTTGACCATTTCTTTATTTTATTATTTAATTTTTGGATGTTTTGAAATTCATTTCTCTTCAAATAAAATGAGTAAAATAATATTTTAAAGCCATCCAATAATACCATATTTTTCAAATAAAATTAGACTTTTTTTAATGCAAATATCAGTGCATATTTTTATAAATAATAATATATGAACTTAATGTACTTGGTTTTCAAAAAGAATTGTCTCGTGAATATTCAATAGAACGAAAAATTAATTTTTTTTATTTTTAATTTTTTAATAATTTTTTGTAAAATAAAATATTAATTTATTTTTGCAATACAATTTTATAAAAATCATCGAGTTTTTTTATTTTTGATTGAAACGTGCTCTATCTATTTTTTTATTCAAAATCAATACATAAAGAAAAAATAAATAACTAAATATTTATTTTTATGTATTCATTTCCATGAATAATGTAATAATATCATTTCGATTAATGAAATTGGTTTTGTCAGGGAAAAAAAAAAAAAAACGAAACCTAGTTTAGGCGCCATAAAATCCGTCTGAATTTTTCAAAAATCAACAAGAGTTATTTCTTTTCTTCGTTTTAACCTCTCCCTCTCATCCCCAATTTCTCCTTTGAAAGCTCAAACTCCATGGAGAAAAGACTTAGCTCTGCTCTTCGAAACTCATCACCACAAGAATTCCTTTCCTCAGCCACAAAATTGAATCTCAAAACCTCAAAACAAACACTCAAATCCTTAATCCACTCAATCCCCTCCTCTTCCCCTCTCTCTTCCTCTCTCCCTTCCTCTCTTCATACTTTCATTTCCAAATCTATCCTTTCCTTCCGCAACCCACCCGAAACCGGAAACGAAACCGAAAGCGAAACCCCCACCAATTCCCCTCCTTCTAAAAGACTCCGTCGATCCGCCCGAAGGAATAAAGATGAAGAACCCAATTTCAATTTCAACCAGAATCTTGAGAAACTCCAGGTTCTTACTCATGTTGCATTTCTGTGCGTTTCGCATCCCAAAAATGTGTTTTCGCCTTGCGATTTGTTGCCTGCTGTTCAGTTACTTCATGATAATTTGATTGTTTTTGAGTCGGCTTCTTCGAGTTTGTTACTGAAGATATCCAATTTGTGTGAGTTTTACTGGAAGGAGAATTTACAGGGGAAGGAAATGTTGATTTCACAGTTTTTACCGTTTCTGGTTGCGCAGTCGTTGACATTGAAGAAGAAAGTGGATGTGCATAGAGTTTATGTTTTACGTGAGGCGTTTACGTTGTTTGATTTTGAGGATGAGAGTATTGAGGATTTGAAGTTGTTGTTGATTAGGAGTGTGATCGCGCCCATTTATTTGAAGACTGAAGATGGGAGGAAGTTCTTGGGGTTTATTTTTGGGTTGAGTAGACAGTTAATGAAGGAGGCATTGGCGATGATAAAGTCGCAGATTGCATTTGGTAAGAAGTCAATTTTGGAAGCATATGGAGAGGTTCTGTTTCGAGCATGGAAAGGGATTGATGGGGATTTGAAGTATGAATTTGAGGATGGGTTCTTACAGGGTTTGATTGAGGGTGCAATATATGCCAATTCTGGGGTGTTTGCAGCTTCTGTTAGGAGGGTTTTGGGTGGGTTTGTTAGTCAAAGGATTACTGATGGGGTTGAAAAGTTGCTTTTTCGGCTTGCTGAGCCTCTGATATTTCGGTCACTTCAGGTAAACCAATTCTTTTATGCCATGTAAAATTGATTTTTCCATGATAATGTATCTGTTTGGAATGAATAATTAACTAGCAGTTTGTGTTCGCATGTTGATGTAGAATAAATAATATCACTACTTGATTGTTCTTTTCAAAATGTTTCATTCATAATTGGTTGGTTCAGATAATTTGATTCAAGAATTATGAGATTGTTCCATGCATTTTTTGACAGGTTGCCAATTCAAATGTTCGTCTTAATGCGTTGCATTTACTTTTAGATTTTTTCCCTCTTGAAGATCCTGATTCAATGAAAGAAGTTAAAGATGCGCTGCTTAATAAGCAGTTCTTTTTATTGGAGAAATTGATCATGGACGATTCTCCAGATGTAAGAGTTGTTGCTGTAGAAGGTTGTTGCCGTGTCCTCCATTTATTTTGGGAAATCATCCCCTCTTCAACCATTACAAATATGCTTACAAAAATTTTTGATGACATGTCACACGATATATGCAATGAGGTCAGGCTTTCAACGTTGAATGGCATTATTTATTTGTTTGGAAATCCACAATCTCGTGAAATTCTTAAAGTTCTTCTACCAAGACTGGGGCATCTGGTCCTTGATAATGCTCTTTCTACTCGTGTTGCTCTCATGGATCTCCTCCTCCTTATAAGGGATATTCGATCCTTCCAATTTAATAAGGTATTGCTTTGCATTAACATTTTTGTATATATTTTTTAGCATCTTTCTCATGTTACTTGATTGAGTTTATTCTTGCTATGTTAGCATATTTCTCATTGGTTGATGCTGCTATAATAAATCTGCAGGTGGTTGGTTTAGATGTGCTATTATCAACACTTGCAAATGATCATTCTCAGGTTGCACAGAAGATTACAAGATTGCTTATACCATCATATTTTCCCGCAAAAGTTAGCATTGAAGAGGCATGCAATCGTTGTGTCACTCTTATTAAAAGGTCTCCCATGGCCGGTGCAAGGTTTTGTGAATTTGCTATGTTGGAGGGAGCGTCTCCTAAGTCTCTCATGGAGCTTGTCAAAGTGTTGATCAGATTGGTTTTGTCACATAAAAAACTACATGCAGAACAGATTGAGGGTTTACTTATTGCTGCTGCCTCCCTATGCAACAATCTAGTCACTGAGCCCTGCTATAAGAATGCACTTAAAGAGTTTTTGGCTGGTGGAAAAGTAAAGCGCTTGTTTGCTGCTGCATCTATTGGGCATGCTCAACCATCTGTACTCAACATTTGTTCCACCGTTTCTCCTGATGATGTTGCTGGTCTTGTTGAAGAATGCATGAACGTAGTTACTAATTGTAGTGGATTACCAAACAATGTGGAAATGCAAGCTGTAGTGAGGTCTGCTCACAAATTACTGTTGTCTTGTGGTGGCTTTGATGATATGTTTGATTCTTTAACGAGGCTTTTGCAAAAAGCTGCCTACCTTTGCCGTGTTAAATTTGCAATTGAAATACCAAAGCAGAGAGTTTCCTCTAGAAAAAGGAAGAAATACAAGTCAGTCAAAATTTCAGCCAAGAGGAAGAATGTAGGTGGTGAAAATTCAACCAGTTTTGAGGATTATTACTCAATCGCTGTTGGAATAGCCTGCCAGATAAAAGACCTGGTTGCTTCTCAGGACTCTCGGGAAGCTATCTTAGGGTCCCAAGCTCTAGAATCATCATTCCTTGCTCTGAAGGTCATTTCAGAGGTCAGCATTGAGCACTGCATCTCCTGTGAGTACATGGACACAACGCCTGTTTTGGCATATTCAGGTCTTGCCTTGCATATGAGTCTTCAAAACATAAGCATTAGTCCAAACGATAATGGCAGCAAGAAGAGTGAGGGGACAGACTCTTCATCAATTTTGGAGGCAAGTAGTATTTTGTTCTTCTTCTTCTTTTTTCATTTTTTTTGGCAGTCTATGCTATTTGATTTCTCTCTTTTTTTTTTTTTTGGTCTTTGAAATCATTCAATGGTTATGTGAAATTGTGAGTACTTGAATTTTTCTATTTTACAACAAATTCGACATCCTTTTTCTTCACATTAGACCTTGAATTTAATTTCCATCTCTTGTTCTGTCAAGGAATTGATCATTCTTTACATGCAAACAGTGTAACATCCTGAAATCAATCGCCCCCTATTTTTCCAATGTCACCACGACAAGCATGCTGGTTTAATTCTTTAGAGCAGCCACTTTATGCAAAATTTTGAAGCAGGATTGTTTCTGAATTATGACTCCAGAACCCCACTTTGGTGGGGACCATCATTGGGCATTGGTTGCTTATCAATACAAACATTATATTTTGTAGCTGCCAGCTGAGCTCATTGAAAGCTTTTGTTTGAATTTTAATAGGCATCTGTAGACAGGAGGTGTTCTGTACTAATGTACCTGTATATTTATCATGGATTTTTAATGGAGTGCATACTTTAACTTTACCTGTTCCTTTGTCAGTTGTCACGGTTTCTCACATATGCTTCTATTTTTGAGAATGAGGAATGTTTGTTGATGATGTGGTCTAATTCTGCTTACTTCAAATCTCCTTCTCATCAGACGGTGTTGGACCAGACAGTGGATAACCTTCTTAATTGTACTGATAAGCTGTGCGGAGAAGTCAACTCTAGGGAAACTCAAGCAGACGCCTCTGTTTCAAACAATGATGGTAAGTGATTGAGGAGAGAATTAACTAAATCACCATCCCTTCTGCACTGCTGTTCAATTTTAGAATATTAGTGATTGCAATAGCATTATAATTTGAACATCCGCATTTTTCATGAGTAGATCTCATCATGCAACATTTTGCTTTTAACATCTTTTCCATTCTTCTTTCATTTCATTGAAGAGATGAAGCATTCTTATAATTCAAAGATGACTTTTGAACATGATGTAGGATTTCTCTCTACCAAAGAAAGGGGGATGTCAAATAAGGTGAAGATGCTTACTGCAGTGTTAATGAACATAGTTGATTCCATTGCAATGGGCCTTGTATCTCATATTCATGGAAGGTGCCTGAACTTTACGTCTGCATATTTAAAACACATCATCTTTGCATTAGAGCAACAATCTAGTGAAAAACTGCAGTTTAAGGAGGATGAATTGAATGATATTTTTCTGTGTCTGAAGAGCTCCTTCAGCTATGCAGCCAAGTTGCTCAATCTGATCCTTAGTGACACCAGTGAAACTTCACCTCCCCCAACAGAAGCTTTTGAGCTTGTCAACGATATGCTTGATCTAATCACCTCAATCGAATTGCACTTGGGCTCTGGTTTTGCAGCAGGCCTAGTAGCTGCAGCCAAGTCTTGGCTGCCTGATCTGATTCTTGCATTGGGATCTCTGTGCATGCTAAAGCAGACTCAAGTAGAAAGCACATATATAACTGCATTAGATTGCATTAAGGTCCGTTATCCATCATGGCCTATAATTTTAGCAAAGAGCGAGCTTTATGAAATAAGAGAAGTTAACCCTGAAGAGGTGGACGATATAACTTCTGAACCAGATGAATTTCGTGTGTTTAAGAAATTCATGGAAATGATTGTTCTATTATTGAAGGGGAAGTCGAACATACTCGATGCAGTCGGAGTGATTTTTTTGACTGGCTCTGTTGTTGGCCTCGAAAGGAAGGACTTTGGAGTACTGTTGGGACTTATACATTTTGTCTGTGTGAAGTTAGTTGGAGAAGAAGACAGGGACTGGAATGAACTTGATATGATGCTGGCTTCTCTGCCAGACATCTACCCTCGGATTGAGAGAGAGATAGAGGAACAGAGCGATGAAAATGCAAGGCAGAAATTATGCAGTGCTAGGGTGTTGCTTGAACCCGTTTGGTTTTATCATAGTCATGAAACTGGGAGGTTTTCTGCTACGCAAGAATAAATGGAACTTTTGGTAATTTTATTCTGAATTTTTATATCATTCTGAAGAGGCTGAATGAAAATACAAAATCGTTCCTGTTCTTTTTTCAGAAGGGACAAAATTCCTCCTAGTTTCATGTCATTAAACCATTGTAAATTCACGGGTCCATGTTCTTAACCAATTGATAGTCGTATGATTGCAGTACCTCAGCAGCATATTCAAACAACATGAAATAGCTTCAAAGATTACAAGCTTTTCAAGCTTGCCTAGAACTTCGGTAGGCAGGCAGTGTACTAACCCTGCTGACCATGATGCAATGAACTGGAGTGCCTGGCTTAAGGAGAAAGCAAATTAGAAAACAAACTGGAATCCTGAGCTATATGGAAAGAAGGAAATGATGCTACCTTTAACAATACAAAACCTACAAAATAGTGCAATAGTTATGCTTGTTGCTGTAAGAATATCGTACTGAGAATGCCCTGAAAAACCTGCAGATACAAACAAGGATTCTGGTGTAAGCCCCTGGAAGACGGATATAAGATGAAGTTTGAATGCTGATGCAGCTATATTGCTAATGTGAGGCTAGACTGTAATTAACAAGGAATGCATGGATGGGTAGTAGTTGCCACTGCAAGGTAATGATTTCTGGAAGGAGTGGAGATTGCTGAAGCTCAAGTTCTGCTGTCTGAATAAAACTAGTCAAGGATGTTGGACTCTGCAGGATCCACATTTCCAGAACATGCTGGTTGTTATGACTAAGCTCAATGACAAGGGTCAGGAATCATCCTATCTAGGTAACCGCATTTCCGATATGCTGATGGGGCTCATACATGTAGTTATATTGGACGCTTCCATGTTAGAAGGGCAGGAAACTAGGTTGCTTATGCACCAACCAATATTTTCGACATTTTGGTTAGAGAAAGCAACGAGAGATATTGAAGAGTTAGTTAATCCCGGATGCACTCAGTTTCTTGATCAATGAAATCTGCTTTCCCCTTTCAAATTAAACTAAAAAAAGAACACAAAATTACACCCTTTTTTGGCAGGTTGGCATCTAACATTCCTGCCATATGATTCGCCACTGTTCACTTGCAATTATATTGAGCATTGGACCATCAATGGGTCTGTGATCTTTGGCTGAGAAACAATGCACAAGACAAACTAAAATTCTGCAATGCTAATCACAGTTGCAGTCTTTGTTTGGGAGTGTTGCTTAGTTCCTATCTCCAAGTTTCTCTGATACTTGGAGAAAACAAAATTCAAGCTATTGTATGCATCTAATATCATAGAAAGACAATTGGGGTCTAGTTTTATGGTTGGTGATTTCAATAACTAAAATTGTGTGGATGAATAGTCTTAAAGAAGGTGCTATAAATATTCCAAAATAAGCTATGCTAATTAAAAAAGTTGCATTTGTTACAAATTCATAGCAATCTCTAGACTTATTTTGATTTTGATGTAAAAAACTTAAAGATGGAATGGGGTGGGATATAGACTGTTGTTGTTTTCAAGGTTGGAGAGCTGGTATCTTCATTTCTATTAATGACTCTTGTGTCATAGTCTAGAGGAAAGTCTGGATTAGAGAGTTAGTGTTATTAGTTAGTAGTTAGTGGAGCAGAGGAAAGGAGATTGAATTGATCACCGCTACAAAGACGAGAGGCTATTTTAACTTGAATGAGCTCAATATTACTAGACTGGAGACCTGTTGGTTAGAATAGATGTTTGCTCGATATTTTCTGGCAGTTGAGAATGTTGCAAAGGAAACCCTTTTCTTCAGTGGTTGCTGGCTCTATGCATGCTCCAGTTTTCCGGACAGAAGTCAATTACAGAATCTGGAAGATGACGAGAGAAGTAAGTTGCAAGTTGCAACCTTTTCTGAACTCCAAATGCGCCATTTTCCTGTCGACGGTAATCGGCCAGTTCGGCTGGCAAACTTTCTTATTGTGACACTGGCATCACTATCCATCAAACATTAGGTCAAATTGGCAATAAGACAATGGGAGAAACAGTGTTGCATACTTGCTACTTTACCAACTACGTTTGCATTTAACCAAGCTGGATGGGATAAATTTCAGGTTAGGAGTTATGAGGTTTAGTTTTAGATGCAGTAATTGTCATCAAAGTTGCAACCAAACCAACCTTTTTTACAAAGGGATCTTACGCTAATAACTTATGTTGTCCCTTTGTTACAACAACAACAAAATTTCATCGACAACGACAAAAAATAAAAACAACAAAAGATGCACGAAACAACAACAACAACTACAAAAAATAAAAATATTAATAATAAAAAAAACTTTGAACAAGTTCAATTACACGATTGTAGAGTGTAGGCCCTACAAAATTTCATCAAAAGATGCACGAAAAAATTGCAGACATCTTTTAGGTTTCCAATAATATTTACTACCTAAAAGAAAAGTCAGGCTCAAGAAAGTGAGAAACATTTGGTTTTGGTAAAACAGTTTCAAGGATAATGATGTTTCTGTACCTGGCCTTACAGACAACAAACCAAGAAACTTTCTTGGTCAACATATTCAGCAATTCACAAGTCTTCAATTGCATGAAATGGCCTCCTCAAATCCTGTTGCCCAAACCTTAGTTTTAGAAGGAATCTCTGAAATGGGATCTATACAGGGATCTTCTTTAAACCAGCAGCTATCGGCATGCCAAGAAATCCAACGAACACACTGAGGAACCACTGTGCGAAAGTGAGAGGTGTTGTATTTGCAAACGTTCCCAGGAACTCCACGATTATGATCTGGGAAAGGACAGTGCAACCAATGACAGCAACAAAAACATAGTTGTCCAAAATGCCTTTGAAAACATTGATCTCCTCCATCTCACGGGAGCTTATCTCGTTGAAAATCTGCACGATAAAATGTAATTTTTCGTAAGCGAAAAGTTAGAAAGGACAGCATTGGAAATACTTCCAACTCAAAGTTTAGTTTACATTATGATAATCGCCTACTCTAGTAACCTAATTAATATACTCAAGCAACAAATATTAGACCAAAACTTAAGGCTGTATTTAGTCAGGATAAAGAGCTATTTGTGGAAGTATCAGCAAATGAAATGGCCAGTCTTCAATTCGATATCATCTAAGGGATGGATCAAGTACACCTGAGAAGGATACTATATTAACTAGCAAAAATTTTTAGCTACAGATGAGAGAAAATATTAGCCATCCATGAATATCCTTCTCATTGGAACTGGCAGTCTTGCTGTGATATCTCTTTAGCATCGATAGATTTTCTGAAAACTTATCAACGCTAAAGAAATTGGAATTGACAGCCTTGTTGTGCCCTTGAAACCTGTTGGATTGTATTGTATTTACCAAATAACGAAGCCTTGCAAATAATCTATAAAATCTGAGGAAAGGGTGTGAAGCTAGTGACACGCATGATTTTCATTCCTTTTGCAGCTCATACAGGGCCAGAAGAAATAAATAAAGAAGCAACAAATGGGTTGGGAGAGGAAAGCCAACGGGATAGAAGAGAAAGAAACTCGTAAGTTCCAATTTCAGAGAACAACATTTATAACAATGCTAGTTAAATATGAAAAATGTACCCACATTTCCCACTATGAAGGTAGAAAAAACTTGTAGCAAGTATACCCTTAAACCTTTTCAGTAAGTACTATCATATTTCCATTTGAGTTAAATCTACCCGTAAAAATTTTAAGGTATCTACAAACAGCATTCAGATATTCAAAGATAAATTTAACTGTCATCGTAATGTAAAACATGTGATGCGCAGACTGCAGTGCCACTTCAAAAATAATCTAAAAGTGTTGAGTTTCTTAGAAAAGCTTGCCTGGCAAAAGACAAAGGAGTTGAATATAAGTGTATTCAGGACTAGATCAGAATCAGGGCCATCGAGACCAAATAATACTTTCCCTCTGGCTTGAAGTTGCCATATTATCATAAACTGGTAAAGAGATTGGCCTAAGATATTTCTCCACATGATGCTGCTGATAAAGTTCCCTTTCCTTCCAACTGGGGAACGCTTCATTAGTTCATCATTTGGAGGCTCGGTTGCAAGTGCAAGTGCTCCGAGGGTATCCATGATCATGTTTACCCACAAAAGCTGCACGGCTGTGAGGGGAGCACTACCTGAAATACAGTTTGATGCATAAGTGTCGGCAAGAAAGAAAATGGTTTCTATAATGTAAAACAAAGGCAGAAACATGATTCATGGAAAACTACAGTATATGGCTTTCTTACGTACCTGTCATACAAGCTGAAGAGAAGTTAACAATTAAAGCCACCACATTAACTGTCAGCTGGAACTGTACGAATTTTTGAATATTTATGTAAACTGAGCGTCCCCATTTGGCTACTGTCACAATGGTTGAGAAATTATCATCCAGAATTATGACATCAGCACTCTCTTTAGCCACCTGAAGTTCAGATATCAATTAGTCAAATTCCACATTAAGACCAAGTATTAATTGAGAAACTCTAATAGATGAGAATGCTTTCCTTTTTTATTTCCTTTTTTTGAACCAAAAAATTTCTTTTCCTCTTAAATAAAGACACAAGAATAGCACCTCTTTCTACTCTTTGTAAAAGTCTAGAGTCTTTGTCCATGACTAAAACCAAACGGGCCAGTTTTCACTTGGCTCGACTTACTTCCCCAAAGTTCTGAATAGTGCATTTAGCTCTGGTTCTAACTCGTTTTCTCATATCAGTGGTTCACAAAAATTCTTATCTTGGCTTTTAATTCATAAAGCCAACGGCTTCAGTGAAAAACAACAGAAGCAAAGAAGTTCCATCATTGTGAAAAATCAAGGAACTTTTATCAACCTTTAGGTGGACCATATATTAACTATTAAATTTGTAGCAGATATTAATACCAATACTGCAATACAATGGCAATTCCTATATGCAAGATCATTTACAAGAGGAGGTTCACAAAATGCAGAATGATATCTTTGAAAGATAAAGGGAGAAGACCAACAGTGAAAATTTATCTGATTCAAATGGCCAACTGAATTAAAATGCTTCACTCATGTTTTACTCCAAATTTTGCCTATTCTAGGGATGGCAGAAAGATTGATGTTGGACCGGGTTCCTGGAAAGAATTAGAATAAACTCACCTCAGTTCCAGCAATACCCATAGCTAGACCAATATCTGCTTCATGGAGTGCTGGGGCATCGTTCGTTCCATCACCAGTCACCGCTACAACTTCACCAAAAGTTGTTCGCAAATGTTTCACCAGTGTATGTTTGTCAAGAGGCGAAGATCGAGCCATCACCTGCAGATGAATTCGTATTTGTTAGTCTTGGTGAGACAAACACTTTTCATTACAAAGAAATTTAATTGCAATTAGATAATCAATAAACCAAAAAGTGAAAAATACCTGAATTTTGGGAATTAGTTGGAGCAATTCTTCCTGTTTCTTTTCTCGGAAATCTGGACCCTCAATTGCTATACCATCATCAGTAAGAATCCCACATTCCCTTGCAATAGCCTTTGCAGTATTTATATTATCTCCTGTAACCATCCGTACAGTGATACCAGCTGAACGACATACTGCAACAGCCTCCTTGACACCTGGACGAACAGGATCTTTGATACCCACAATCCCTATACACGTATAACCAGAAACCGGCATAGAATTCTCAGGGGAGAACCCACCTTCCAGTTCCATATAGGCAAGGCAGAGAGTTCTAAGAGCCTCACTTGCAAACTGATCAATTGTAGCATTAAGGTACTTAGTGGATTCTTCGTCCAGGGGAACAACGTCACCATTTGAATTGATCAACTTGTCACAAGCAGCCAAAACTATTTCTGAAGCACCTTTGGTGTGGGCTCGCAGACCACCTTCAGGAAGCTCCACCACTACTCCCATTCGCTTCTTGGTGGAGTTGAAAGGCTCAACTTTGACAAGTTTCACAGCTTGTCGCTCTGCCTGGAAATCTCCACCAAGAGATAAGCCAAACTCCAATAAGGCAGTGTCAGTAGGTGTTCCTAAAATCTCACGTTTGCCATCTTTGTTAAAAACGACCTCACCCCCAGTGTTGTTAAATATTGATTGCAAGAGAATTTTTACAGAAGAAGCAGGTATTTCTGAGCACAAGCTAGAAGCCTTATCAGGTTGGTGAACTTCCTTGGCATTCATGCAAATGCATGATTTCACGACAGTCATATGATTAGTAGTTAGTGTCCCAGTTTTGTCACTGCAGATAGTTGTCGCTGACCCCATAGTCTCACAAGCTGCCAGATGTCGGACAAGTGCTTTATCATTCATCATCTTCTTCATGGCAAAGGCAAGGCTCAACGTCACAGCCAGTGGTAGCCCCTCTGGAACTGCAACAACAACAATTGTAACTGCAATTGCAAAGTATTCCAATATCTCCAATGCATCATCTCCAGACCAGCTAAAGTAAGTCCCTGCTTGCCACTTGCGGCTAAATAGCCCTTGTACCAAAACTGCAAAAGTCACTACAGCAAAGAAAAGGCCAATTTTCCCAATAATGGTTGCCACTCCATTCAATTTGACCTGCAGTGGAGTTTCATCATCACCTCCTTCACTTAGAGTTGCCATCAATTTACCCCATTGGGTTCTCATCCCAACAGTGGCAACCATCATCTTGCACGATCCATCTTGGACCTTAGTCCCAGAAAGCATATAAGGATTTTCAGAATTTACCATTACTGGCTCACATTCACCAGTTAAACTCGACTCATCAATCAATACAGAAAATCCTGAAATAAAAAGCCCATCTGCAGGTACTTGGTCTCCAATAGCAAGATGCACTACATCACCAGGAAGCAAATCATATATTGACAATTTCTGCCTAAATCCATTTCTAGTGACCTGAACGGCAATCTTCTTTTTCTCTTTGTCCAAATCCCTGAACTGTAACGATTGACGATAATCACTTATAGCCGTCACAAACACGACTAACAAGATACTTGCAACAATTCCAAGGCCATCATGGGCTCCCTTTGGCCATCCTTCTGTTGCTATGCCAACAATCAAAGACACAAAAGCACACACCCCAAGTATCATAAGAGTCATATCCTGAAGTGCTTCCCAGACAAATATCCAGAAACTCCGAAGTTGGCTCTCAGCAAACTTATTGATCCCATAAATCTCTTGTCTGCGATTCAGTAGCTCACTATTCGTGGTGGTTAGCCCATCAGTGGTTGAAGTGCAGAGCTTTTCTGAAATACCGTTTACCCCACCATGAAATTTGAGCTTCTTCACATCATGGCCTTCGACAATTGATCCTAATTCCTCAGCACATATGTCGAAACCTGCAGCCTTGACTTCTGCAGGTACGGTATAGTCACTTGGGGAGACACCTGCAAAAATTCCACGATTATCAGTTAGTAAGAGGGCATAGCAAACATTCCATAATTATCTCAAATCTAAAGAAGCTCACCTTGGATAAATTGAAAGGCAGCTTTGGAAACCAGAACAGCAATCCTTAGTTTCTCCTAAGTATCATATTAAAAACACAAGAAAAAGTAAGGTAAGCATGTGTTCTCTCACATCTACAAAACAAAAGACTCTACGAGTTATTACAATTACATCAGCCAAAAATACTATATAAATTAAGGTAAAACAATGTTAATTTACTTACATAAAACATATAAAAGAGCGAATAAAGAACGATTAATACTGTAAAAAATAGATATAAATAAACCTGATTGGTTTTACGCATAGCAGCAGCCTCATCTCGTTTGGAAAGATTGGCAGTGAAACGAAACCTTCTCTTACGATTCTTCACCACCCCACATAACTTCCTCCATTTCTGCAAAGCTTCCTCTGACGAATGCTTCGCTTTCACCTCAAAATCTCCACTCAATAACCTCTCCATATTTCCTCCTTCCTTTCTTCCTTTCTTTCAATCTTCTATTTCAAACCAACAACCTTCGATTTAAATACAAAACACCAACAACAGAAATTTCTACGAAGCACCCAACGTGTTTGTCATTCGAAGTAGCCGCCGAGAAAGAAAGCAAGAATACGAGGAAGTTTCGACGACATGGCTTCCTCAATAGTCGTTGTAAGAAAAGAAAAAAGTCACTTAGGTTGGTTGGGTACCTGATTCTACAAAAGACAGAGAGACAAGAAGTAGAAGAAGAAAGGCTCACAAAGCAATTTCTGGTTCTTTTATATTTTTACTTTCTATTTTCGTAACTGATTTGTTATTTTATAAGCAGCGAAATAGGAGTGAAATCAAAGGCGCCAGAGCCATTAACGGTTTTTGCAATCCGTTTTTTTTGCATCTGTTATTGACCCAAATCAAACTAAGGCACTTTTCCTTTTTTTTTTTTTCAATAGGATTCATTTTTTTAAATAGTAATAATACCAATAATAATCTACTTAGAAAATACAATGGTCTCTGTTTTTTTTTTTTAAATAATAATAGAATGGGTATTGCTAAATTTACCATCAAATTTGTTATTTTCAGCATTTTCTAAAATTATTAATAACCTTTTTTTATTAATGTTTGTTACTATATTATAGTTAAATATATTTTATATTAATCTTCTAAAATGTTGGTAAATACTTTTACTTTTCTATGTTTTATAGTTAAGCTGAAAAGTAAAAGTATTTACCAACGTTTTAAAAGATTAATATAAAATATATTTAACTATAATATAGTGGAAACAAATATCGGTGAAAAATATATATTAGTAATTTAAATATGTATATTAGTAATTTAAAAAAACAAGTGTTGAGAATAATAAGTTTGATAGTGGTCTTTAGCAGTATTCTAGTAAAATATATATTAATTTCAAAAAGTTAATTTAGTGATTAAAGAAGTTTACTCCTTTTCTTTTTCTTTTTTTAAACTTTTTAGCTTTCAAAATTTAAAATTGGTATGTAAAAGAATTTATAATTTTTTTTTGAATATATTATATCCGTATAAGAGGCATATTATTAGAAAAAAATTAATTTCGATTGATATATAAATAAATTCGAATATAAATAATTGTTATTAAATGTTAAGGATTTTTTTCTTTGATGTTGACAAAGTCAATTATAGACCAGGTTTAAATTTTAATTTTTACGATTAATATTTTTAAAAATTTATTCCGAAAATAACTGAAGTTTATACATCAAAAAGTACTCGTTAGTCACGTTTGGGAAGAAAGTAGCTTTAAAGTATATAAAAATTGCGTGGAGATTCCTTTCTGCTGAAAAAAATAAAGTTAGGCCGAGTCGTACGATATGGACCTTATGATATTTACGCGGTTGGAAGTTGAACGCGGTGAGAAGGACCAGGGAGCCCAAAACAAGTAGGGTAGTAGGCCGAAGGGACGTGCCAGGCACGTTCCATAAAGTGAAGTGAATTATAAATTAATCCCTTTAGTTTTGTAAAATGAATTGAACAATCCTTATAGTTTTAAGAACTTATTAATTAGTCATTTTCATCTATTTCGTGTCTCTTTTCAATTTCGTTTTTGTTTTAAGAAATAGAAAAAGTAAAAAATAAATCGATACCATGAGAAAAGAAGTCACTTTTTTTCTTAAAAAAATCAATATTAAATTAAATATGGTAAATACTGATTAATGGACTAATTATTTATTTTTTAAAAGTAAAAAACTATTTGATTTATTTTTCAGAACTAGAATGCTTAATTTATAATTTACTCTCGCAAAGTGTCAAGCAGATAAAAAGTCGGAGTCCACTTTTGTTGAACTTTAGTCGTGGGCATTAATGGGCCCTAAGAAAAGCCCATATGTCCCCTCGTGGACGGTCCAAGGAATTCATTTATAAGAATAAAAGCCAATCTTGGTAAGTATGCTCTTTCTGCCCAAATAGATGAAGTATGGTTAGCACTTATTTACTTTTCTCAGTGAAGCATCTAGAATTATTAATAAAAAAATTTAAAAAAATCTCCAATCCGTCTCTAAGACCTAAAATCAAGTGCATAAACCCTTATATTCCAACATTTCTTTTCAATATTTTTTTCACTTTTTTTTTTATAATGAAAATGGTATTCAATATAAATTAAAAAAAAATCTTTAAATTGATATTAAAAAAAAAGGTGTCTTGAATATAAATACATGTTAAGACTCTCATAACCTAAATAAATATCACGTGTACAGTTTACAAAAATAAGAAAGAAAAAAATATCAATTTTTTTTTCACAAAAAAAATTAAGAAACAAAATAACTATATTGTAATATTATCCAAAATTACTCCAACCCTCTAATAATGTTTTTTTTTGTCTTCTTTTTTTTTTTTTTTTACTTTCTAAATAGCCGAACTCTCAAATAAATTAAGATTCAATATTGTCAATCAAAGTCAACCTCTTCCATCTAACTATAAATAATCATAAAATCATTGATTGAAAAGGGAAAAAACCAAGACAAACAAGGGCAACAAACGATCATATATATTTAAATATGATAACAAAATACATATATTTATTTTTCTTGAGGACGTCTCCCGTCTACATCATTCATTTGGATATACAAAATATCATGATTGATATCTTGATTAAAAAATTATCTTGCTTGATAAAAATTACCATGCTTGAAAAATATAAATTTAAAATTTAATTTATATTCTTGAAAAATATAAGTTGTCTTGCTTGATAAAAAATACTAGCTACGTGTCAAAACAAGGCAAGATTGAAAAGGTAAAAGAGAACGTGCATATCACTCCTCTTTCATCTATTCAATTCACCAATAAATCTCTCTTTCGATCTCTCTCTCTCTCTCTTTCAAAGAAAAAACAAAAAAGAAAACAAAAAATGGCAGAGATTCTTGTCACTCCACTCTCGCTATGGCCAAGACCAACAATGAGCAAAGGACCTGGACTCTTTGCCGATATCGGCAAGAAAGCCGAAGGTAATCAATCAATCTATTTCTATCTGTGAAAGAAAATCAAAGTCAAAGCCAAAGCCAATTGTTTAACGATCACGATTTGTTGTTGATGACTGTAGATTTGTTGACCAAGGATTACGATTCTGATCAGAGATTTAGTGTCACTACTTATAGCAATGCTGGAGTGGTATTCATTCTTTTTTATATTTAATTTATTTTGGCTTTGAGGATTGAAATGTGTGTTTAATTACATGTTGTGATTGCATTTGTCGAATGTTGTGTAAATTTGCTTATTTTTATGAATGTTTGATTTGTGTTGTCCACTCACTTTCATCATCCTCTTGTTCCTGAGCTTTTGACATATTTGAATCTCAAGTCCACTATCTTACTCATTTCAACAAATCTAGGCACTTGCATTTTTAATTTGAAAAAAATTCTGCTCCAAATTTCATTAAAATTCTCTATTGAAAAGAGTGATTAAAATTAACAATGATCTTCAAATGAACGTGGAAGACATTAAAGATTGGAAAATATAAGAATTCGGTGGCTTTGTTAAGAGATTATGGAGAGAGTGATGGATGGATTTCTAGCTATAGTTTTTAAATCCTTGATGTAATTGTAAAAACGATTTTGATTACCAATCGTAACAGTTACGATAATTAATATCAATCATGAATATATTAACCGGTTAATAAATATTAATAAATTTATACTAATTTATATATTTATAATTTTTTTTAATTAAATATGCTAATAGCATTTTTAATAGTTTATTATCATACTACGATAGCTAAATTTATCACAAATAATAATTTTTTTTAATTAAATATACTAATAGCATTTTTAATAGTTTAATATCATATTACGATAGCTAAATTTATCACAAAATAATAATAAAATAACAATTTTTTTAATATAGGTGTTATATAATGATAACGAAATATAACATTATTATTTATGTGAAACAATTTTATATTTTTTACAACGAGTGCGTATAAAGATATCGGACATATCCGAATCGCTTAAATAACTATTGTTATGTTATATATAACAACAATTATTTGAAACTATGTTTCTATCTACCATCTAATGCTTTATGAATAATTTTTAACCTCCACTTCTTCATAGTTTTGGCTTAAAACTTCATGATGTACTATTAATTTTTAGAATGACCCTTAAACGTGTCATGCAAACAGTGATTTTTGGTCTTAAAATGCAGTAGTGTAGAAAACCATTTTCTCTTGAGCTTTATCATCTACACTTTTTGTTATATTTCTTATGTTTATATTTTTTTGGTTTTTCAGGCACTCAGATCTACAGCTGTGAAGAAAGGAGGGCTCTCAGCTGCGGATGCTGTTGCCCTGTACAAGTATAATAACGCTACATTTGATGTTAAAGTTGACACAGAGTCCAATGTATGTTGCTTCTCCATTTGTTTAAAGCACTAAACTACAAATCCCTTATTTCAAATAAGCATCTTACCTTTCGATTTCATTCTGACAGATATCAACAACCATGACGTTCACTGACTTCCTTCCATCAACAAAGACTATTGCTTCCATCAAATTTCCTGACTACAAATCTAGCAAGGTAGGAACTGGAAAGTTTGGCAACTTTTAAGCTTGAACTCCTGAAAAATGAAATACTGAAACAGATGTTAAATATATAATATTGAGAGAATTATTCTTTAACTAATTAGAGTGATAATAGTGTATGTATTATTAGTTTATGTTAGAAATTAATATAAAATTATCTCTGAAATCTTACTTAATAGTTTAAATTTTTTAATTAAAATATTTTTTTTCATAATATTATGAATTTAAATCTCATCATCTCATAAAATTATTTTTAAAACCGTACTTATCAGATAATATTTTGAATTGTAATTTATATTTATCGGTTTAGGATGGAGTAAGGCCAAAACCCAACCTGAGGTCTACCTACTATTCTGGTCTTGTTTGTAATAATAGTTGTGGCTTTTTATAATTTGTTTCTGCTTACATTTTGCAGTTGGAGGCTCAATATTTCCATGATCATGTAACTTTCACCACCACTGTTGCTTTGAACCAATCTCCATCGATTGATGCTACAGCCACCATTGGTACCCCAACGGTTGCTTTTGGTGCAGAGGCAGGCTACGATACTACTTCTGGTAGTCTCACAAAGTACACTGCTGGCATCAGTGTGACCAGACCTAATTCTTATGCTTCAATAATTTTGTAAGCCTTTTAGACGCATTGTTACCTGCATGCATGTGCTAGATACTTTAACTATTTAAAATATGAGACTTAAAAATATATATGTATATTGAAAAGACGTGTGATATGTTTTGTAGTAATATTTGGTTGCTCTCTTTCTCGCAGAGGTGACAAGGGAGATTGTATTAGAGCATCGTACGTTCATCATCTAGATCTGCTGAAAAAGAATGCTGCTGTTGGAGAGATCACTAGAAGGTTTTCTACTAATGAGAATACTTTTACTCTTGGAGGATCATTTGCCATTGATCACCTGACAGTGGTGAAAGCCAAGCTCAACAACCATGGAAAACTTGGGGCATTGGTGCAGCATGAGGTTATACCAAAGTCGGTGCTGACAATCTCTAGTGAGGTTGACACTAAAGCCTTGGACAAAAATCCTAGGTTTGGGCTGGCAATTGCTCTCAAGCACTAAAGGTTGTCTGCCATTTGTTGAGGCATTGTTTGAATCCAATACTCATTTGTTTTATTCTTTTCTCGACGACACTTGGAAAGGAGTGTCAATAAGTAGCTCCACAGAAACATGTTCCTAGGATAATGATGGATATGGATGGATTGATTTGATTTTTAGTTTACCATGGTCCTTTATCTGTAGGTTTCAGAGGCATTTGATACTTGGCATATTCTACTCCTTTTCTGCTGAGAACTGTAGTTTTGATTGATGGGGATTTTAGCTAATTGCATTTATCATCTGTTACTGTATTACGATCCAATTTGGAGATGACTGTTTAGATAATATAGATGAGGTTTTTATAAGATATGGTTATGTAGATGGATTGTTTAGATAATATAGGTGAGGTTTTTATAAGATATATACTGATCCAATAATGGATTCAGCCCATAGAAAAGAAAAAGAAAAAGAAATAAAAGGGAAAATCTTTATTATAAAAGAAGTCTAAAGGTGAAACACGATAAGATGGATCCTAAATTTGAATTAACGCCTTAATAGCACGTATCTAGATTGGTATCTCCAAGAATATAGCCAAGTTGCCATACCAATTTCTGAATTTATGATCAAATAGACTCAACTTTTCCCAAGCATTCAAAAAATTCATCAGTGTCATTAATAATTGCTTGAAAGTATGTCAAATCCTGCAGGTTACATTAAAACCCTTTTCTCAAGCAATCCCCATCCACCTATTGTTGAGTTTCTAACACTGCCCAAAATTCTGATGTTGAATGAGAGCGAATTTGGATTTTTTTATCATCTATCTTGAAATATTTGTGAACAGATATGCAATCAAGGTTTCATTTATGTTAGCTTGCCCATTATGTCCCAACTTAGGAGAGATCTTAAAGGCCAGGTTCTAAATTTTTAAGTGTGTGGGCAGGCTCTAATTAAGTCTCAAAAAGGGTCTCTCATAGCTCATATAACCTCAATGACTAATCTAAGGCTAGCCAAGTGTGAAAGGTAGTAGCTGGAGAAACCATCGGTTGCCAATTACAACAATATGGTTTTCTAAGAGAAGTGTGGAATTCCGATGTGAATTCGGGACAAAGTCCATCAGACCACCACAATCTCCTCCTTAAAACCTAGGGTAATTGTGTGTGTAACCATCATCTAGTGATGTGGATAAATGAACACAACTCCATATCCAATCCCAAAGAAAAAGAAAAGAGGAGAAGATGAGAAGTTGCAACAAAAATAGTACAGCAAAACATAAAGCACCCAAGCAAATCAAAACAAGTATATCACACAACGTAATACATCGGAGAAAATAAAACAAGCAAATGCAACCAAGATAGGTAAAACAATCAAGAAAGCAATCAGAGCAAAGAAAAACACCTAAATATCAAACAAAAGCACGTAAATGTGGCATATAACTAGAGATAATGCTTATGTGAATACATGGGAAGCTTAACCTTTGGATAATCCTCAGTGAAGTTACCATATTGTCGTATGGGTGGATGACAGACAACAAGTATGAAAGGAAAAGATAAAAAAATGAGTTGTCAATTAGTATGAAGGTAATTAGAAAACCTAAATGAGTGATCCTATAGAGATCAAGGGTAAAAAGATGGTTGCATGAACAAAAGATGACATTCATCCTCTTATGTCCTACTTAAAATAAACTACATTGTATGCTATCTTATAACATTCATTCTTGACAATTTTTTTTTAAGTCTAATTTTCTATGCCCATTGACTGTGTTCATCATTAAGCTCAAAACTAATCAATTCTAAAGCCAATTGATTTGAAAACTAGGCTGGCAAAAGGTCTTATTTTTCACTTCTACATAAACAGGCGTTAGATTCGAAGTAAAGGTTAAAGATAAAGGGTTGAAACTCGATCTTATTAAATAGGATCAATGGGCCTATGTAGGGTCATAAAGACCTAACTCGAATACACTCACTTGAGGGTAGCTAGAAAGAAAAAGAAAGGATGGAGAAGGAAAGAAAATGACTAGATCTTAAAAGCAATTTTGAGTAATGTTATGTTGAAACATGTATATTTATGCAAATGAAAAATATATAATGATCAAAAAATCATTAAACAGATATCTCGAATAAAAAAATAAGGATAGATGAATAAGGCTTACAAATATTTTGAGTTTTTTTTCCCAAATCAAAGACAAAAACAAGACTATAGTTGTGCGGGTGTTCGACAAATCGACAAACTAGGGATGCAGCTCAAAAAGATATGGCAAGGGCACACTCGAACTAGCAAATTCAAACAAACATCTCATATCAAGAAGAAGAAGAAGAAGAAGAAGAAGTTAATATCAACAATATACTAAAAATAATATAGCAATATCTTCTACCTATTTATCCATAATATAATTACCGACAACCCACAAATATTGTGGGTATTTTAGTCAAATGATTAAGTGCAACTTAGAATATAAAGAGTGATTGATTAGTTTTACAAGTTAGAAACTATTGTAGATAGAAAAACCCAAAACATCTTATCAAACTCACGCAATCACCATACATGCATCTTAGTTGCAACAAACTATTTCACTACATAGCTGGAAGCCAAGCAATTAAAAATGATCACATAAACTGAGATTATCTTGATTATAAGATAAAAAACAATTGCAAGGTTTGGGATTCTAGAGACAATTACTGTGTACCAAGCCATAGTTTTCAATGGGAAAGGAATTCGAGAGTTTGCAAAAGATAAAGGCTTTATGATTATAAACTCCACAACTTATTATACTCAAGTAAATGTCCAAGCTGAATCCACAAACAAGACTGTTAAGTTAAATTTACAAAAAATAATCAATAACAACCTAAAGAGTGTTATGATGAGTTATTAATTCATATTTTGTAGACTTACAAGATTTCACCCAAGATATGCATATCAATGTGAGGTCTTTCAAGGTAGCTTACCAGAACCAATTTGCTAGAATAGAATATCAAGAGACAATGACGAATGATTTGGAAAATATAGACTGTTGTAGAATAGAAGTTCTCACTTATATGCAAATACAAAAACAACAGGTTGCACGAACATACAGCGAAAAAAAGTTAGGACTACGACCTTTTAACTTGGAAACTTAGTTTGGAAGTTTATCTTTCCACCAGGAGTAAAAGACAAACAACTTGAAACTGGTGAACAACGTGAGAAAGGGAGTTCCAAATTCACAAAGTTTACTTTGATAATAAGCATTACTCGGAAGTACGTATGGGAAAGGTTACAAGAAGGTAATCAATATTGAAAAATACCGAAAAAGGTATGTAGCAAATATTAGATTAAAATCATTTACATCACAAGATCTCAAAAAATACAATAATGATAACACAAGGTGTAAAATAACAAGGATGATAAAGCATATCCCACGCCAATACTAAATACAAATACTAATCTGTGTGTATTTTTGTATAGCACGATCTTCTTATGATATTATATTATATTATATAAACTTTATACATATCATTTCAATAAAATAAATTAAATGAAAAAATACAGATTTTAAAATTAAGTTACGTAAAACATATATAGCATCTTTGGAGTGTAATTTCAAAAAAAAAAAAAATAGAAAAAGTTGTCATTGTAATTAAAATGCACTCCACAATTAGTTTACTTTTAGTAAAAAAAAAAAAAAGGAGATATCCACCAATAAACTGTTAGTACATTGATAAATAAACTAATCTTCGGACAAATTTTTTTTATCAATACGTAGAATTTGAATTTTGAAATTGAACTTATTATAAGGAATTAAACCTTATTACTCTCGCTTCGAACATAATTAGTTTTATTTTCAATATGGAATGAAGATACCTAGACATAAAAAAAAAACATGGAATATATATCCTGTTTGATTTCCAAAAAAAAAAAACAAAATTCTTTTAAAATGATATCTACTTTGATTTCAAAATAAAATACCCATAATAATTAGCTTCTAATCTTCCAGGCATCTGGGTTTTAGGTGTATGATATCTCAAGCCATAATAAATCCAGGAAGGGGGTTCTCTTGACGGATTTGGGAGATGATAAAAAATATACTATCAATATACCTGTGAAATTTAGGTTAAATTTAGGTCCAAACATGACAAGTAATCCCTACACTTGGCAATTTACAGATCGAGTTATTGTCTGGATTGACCTTTCCGTAAAACAATTAATGCCATATATGGAGCATCGTAAAAAATCAGTCAGCATCGATCATAATTCCTGAAACTACGGAAATTAAGTACAGAGTTGGTGGGAGGATTAGAGTGCAATAGTAATTAACAGTATCCTACACAGTTTTTCTATCCGAAACAGGAAATTTCAACACACATGGCGCAAGCTACCAGGAAATTAGTAGCCAGGGCTAATAATTTATGGTTGTTCGACACCTACCAGATTTTACTTGAATTGCAATGGAGAAATTGTATCAAATTTCCCAAACCATACAACCATGAGATTTTGTGGTAACTATAAAAGTAGTGTCTGTGCTTGTAAAAAGTTTCTAATCAAGTGTCTTTTCTTTTATTTTTCTATTTCAGTATCTCAACTTTGTTTGTTTTTCTAATCAAGTCTTCATATTCTTATTTTTTCTATTCAAGTATCTTTATTCAACTTTGTTCGTTTTTCAATTCAGGTCTTCTCACTTTTATTTTTTTCTATTTAAGTATCTTGATTTTGCTTGTTTGTAATCGGATGTTTCGTTAACAATCTGTTAGATTTTGAAGAGCTGGCCATTAAGATTTTGATATCATAGTCGTTTAAGTGTATATATGTCATATCTATGAGACACATAAATCATTTAGATTGGACAAATAAAAAATAGATTGGAAGAATTAAATCAAGGATAAGAAGAAAACTATACAATATTGAGAATCAAAGTCGGAAATGGTATGCTAACTCGAATAGTGCAAATAGCCATGTCATTTAAATTTTGAATATTTTTTCTCTCAATTTTATTTTTTTTATTTTTCAAATCTAAATAATTTGTGGATCTCATATATGAATGCATACACTTATCAGCCAGTCATCAAATCTAATAGACTATTAATGAAGACAATTGATTAGAAAAGAAAACAAAGTAATACAAATAAGTAGAGTCTAATAATCGTGTGTCCGATAACTTTTTCCAATAAAACATGTTCGAAATCCCAATAATTTCAGTTTATTTATTATTATTTAAGAGGAGAGAGATATATTCTATTTTGTAGCTCAAGACCCAACAGACTTCCGGATTACTAAAAAAACAAAGTAGAGACCGTCAAATAAAAAAGAATAAAAGTAGAAATACTTGATTATACATTTCTGATAAGTACAGGGGCTGATTTTATGTTTAGCTCTGAGAATGTTGGTCAGAATATAGAAATAGTTTTAATCAAGGAAGGTTTTTACAGGAGGAGTTAAGGCCAGCATTTATGGGTCATCACATGCACCATTAATACCCCTACCAATTTAATAATAACCAGGCAGAGAATTACTCATCTTCCCAAAAGAAAAAAAAAAAAAAAAACCTAATTGCAGTTACAACAGCGGTCAAAAAGCTTGGAGAGAGCCGAGTCCAAACCCAACAATGAGTAGCTGGAACGAGTTGGGAGTTGTAGATACCATATATGAAGAAGAATATGAACATTCTTCTTCTTCCTCCCCATCTCTCCCTCCATCTCTTTATTCTTCTCCTCCAACACCTCTTCACTCTAGAGTAGAGTCATGGTATTATTTTCTTTGATACATCGTCTTTTTGTTTTTTTTATTACCATCTGTATTTATATCTGCATGTTAAGCATTTCTTTTGCTGTTAATTAAAGTAATTTTGTATGCTATATTAATAATATATAGGTCACTGGCGACAAGGCAAAAAACAGATGTCAAGATATATGTCATGGGAACTTGTTTCCATCTGCACAAGGTGAGTTGAATATTCCTTAGTTTTTTTATTGTTTGATCCAAAAATATTACTGAAAATCTTGGTGTTTAGCGGTGTAATTTGCTTATATTTCACTTTATTTGGTGTTTCCATTGATGGCATTAATTTGGGTAATGGGGAACAGAGATTGAAGTTTTTAGTGAGAAAGATAAACTTAGAAGAAGATAGTTATCTACTAAATTGATAGTTCAAGTAATCTCAACTGGAAAATAATGAACATGAGTATTAGCTAGCTAGCTTCTTGCAAGGTGGTGCAAGAATATATACATAATATGCCACTATGATTAGAATGGGCTGTGGCTCAAACTGAGATGCACTTTGGCTAATGGGGTTTGTGTATGATTTTTAACTCATTCCAACCGATCTATTCTTTTTCTGTTCATCGAAATATATGTGGATTTTGAACTATACAATTGAAGTAGGTCTCTTCCATTACATAATCACCTAACAAATTAGAGTTATTAACGATCTAATCTTGTTTTATTGAAAAATACAATCGTTAAGATGAATCTCTTTATATTCAACCAATCACATTAAACACCGAAAGAAAACATTTTTTATGATTTCAATTGCTAGTTTGATCCACATATTATAAACGATTTTGTTCTCAAAAGATGATTAGAATTTATAAATAGGGTTTTGAACCTATCGAAACCCTCTTTCTTAATCATTTACCGTATCCTATGAGATAAAATTAATCACAATGAATATATATAGTAACCAAATGAATTATAGTTATTAGGATTCGAACTTATTACTTGTGTAGCAAAATGATTTTTTTTTTAATTTCCGCGATTTTAATGGAGTATAATTGAAGAAATTACTTTAAGTGGGGTCTTTTAATGTTTTGTCCAAAAATTATGAACGGTCAATTTCGCAATTAATGAAAAGCTATGGGGTTAAGACTAATAATTAAATCTTTTTCGTAGGATCCGCTGACATCAAGGAGCTCATATTTAAAACGTCAACTAGCAGAACTCTCCGAGATAACTCTGCCTTTAAACATAACGGCCCAAACATTTGCTATCGTTGCAGACTTCTGTTACGGTACTCACGTTGTCATAACGCCCTTCAACGTTGCTCCGTTACGAATAGCAGCTGAGTTACTTGGCATGACGGAGACGAACGGGAAACGTGACGAGAACTTGAAGCAGATAACGGAAACGTATTTCCGTCGGATCATCACCGTTAACAGGGAGTTAGTGAGGGTCGTTTTCTGCTCCTGTTTGCGTTTGCTTCCAGAGGCTGAAACGACAGCGTTTTTGGTTAGTAGGTGTGTAGAGGCGTTAAATTCGACGGGAGAGAGCGAGGAAATGCTGGATGGTTGTGTTGACGACGTTATAAATTTAGCTGCCGAGGATTTTCAAATGGTTGGCGAGTCTATGCAATGTAGGTTAGATAGCCATGACGTGCTGTATAGGATTGTGGACCTTTATATCAAGGTATGTTTCAAATTTAATTACTTTTCTTTTAATATTGAATTAATTAATTCTTGTGACATTCAATAAATTCCTTTTTTTTCACGACACGAACATATTAATTTGGTCAAAGAAAACATTATTTAGTAAAAAAATCAAAATGTACATATAAAAAAAAACTCAAAGTGAACCTCAAGTAAATTATAAATTAATCTTTTTAGTTTCAAGAAATAAATTAATTAGTTCCTTTTATTTTAAAAATTATTATTTAATTTTTAAATCAGTGTTGATCATATTTAATTCAATATTATTTTTATTTCAAAAAATCTCTTATTTTCTCATCAATCTTTTCTTCTTCTTTTTTTGTATTTTTTAAAATAAAAAATAAAAATAAATTAAAAATGAGCAAAAAGAGCTAAATTATAAGTAGATTTTAAAAATATAAAGATTAATTATTAGTTTTTGAAACGTGGAGTAATTAATACGTTTCTTGAAATGAGAGGGACTAATTTATAATTTACTACAATCCTTAATTATATATATATATATATATATATATATATATATAGGTCTCCAACTTTTTTTTTTTATCTACAATGAAGTTTTTCAATCTTGTTAATCAATTTCAAATCATATTAAATACACGTGAGGGACATATGGAATGATAAAATAACGGTACACATTATGTGTTTAGAGATTTTAAAGCATGTGTTATTGTTTAAATGAATCCATATATCTCTCATGTCATCTAAAATTGATCAATAGAATGGAAGGACTTGCTGTCAAATAAATAAATAAAAAAATCTAAATCAGAGATTAAGAATTTTTTTCAACTAGTAGTTCAGTATGTTTTATAATCAATTAGTCTTTCCTTGTTTGTTCAATATGAATAAATTTGCAGCCAAAATTGTACTTGTACATGATAAGTAGAAAGATTTTTGTTTATTACTATTATTATTATTATTATTATTATAAAAAATGAAAAAGACAATGATTTGATGATAGTTAAAGAGGATGCATTGGTTTGACATTCGTAATTCTGTTTTAGCTTCAAAATTTTCTGTACCCAATATTGCACGTGTACATGAAATAATTAAAGAGAAAAACCAAAGAACTTCTACTTAGTAATTAGTATGTAAAAAGAAAATTGTTTATTCCTTTGACATTTTCTTTCACAGGAACGCAGTAGCATGATAACAGAAGAGCAGAAGATTGAAATCTGCAATCTTGTAGACTGTGACAAGCTCTCAACTCAATGCCTCGTACATGCAGTGCAAAACCCTAGACTACCTTTGAGATTCATAGTCCGAGCCATGTTGATCGAGCAGCTAAATACTCGCCGCACACTCTTGAGAACCACCCCCACCACCACCAACCACCAATATGCATGCGGTCATCAAACTGGAGGCTCTGTGAGTTTAGGTTCAATCCTCTACCGGGATGCAGCAGTACGAGAAGCAGCTCAACTCAAGGCAGAAATGGACACTACAAACTCACGTATTGAGAGCTTGGAGAAAGAATTAGCTCGCATGAAGAAGCTTTTGCAAAAGTCTGAAAAGGAAAGAATTTCAATGGAGAAGAAGCTTCTGCAGAAGTCAGAGGTGGAAACAAGGGCAATGGAGAAGGTAAAGGTTTCGCATAAATCTGAAAAGCTTTTGCTCGAATCTGAAGGGGAAATTAAAAGCGGTTTGGGGTCAAGATTAGAGGAAATTCTGCACGAGTCTGAAATGGAAGAAAGAAGTATAGTAAAGTCATCAGCTAGGTCTGCGAGTTTTCATCATGAAGGGAGGGAGGCTAATAAGATAGAAAAAGGTGAAAGAGGTTCTGCTTCTTTTGCTGGGTTTCGGTTGCATTTTGGGGGAGAAAGAACGGAAAAGTCTTCACTTCCTAAGTTTGCAGGTAATAATAATGGTCAAGGATTGATTAATAGATTAAAAGGCACGTTATGGATGTCAAAAACTGCTTCAAGATGCAACTCTCAGAGTAAATCTACAAAGAAAAAGAATGGAAATGGGGACAGATCAAATGGAGATGAAGACATTGGTGTGACCTATGCTCCTTCAGATCACAAGAGAAGTCGCTCTCTAGGGTAGCTCTTTTTTTTTGTTTCCTTTAGTTCTTGAATTTTGGTTTGATCCATTTAATTCCTAACTTATATACATTAGCTTCCATACGATTGCCAATATTATAATCTATTTATATCTATATCTTAGTAAAACAGAAACAAAAAAAAGTTAAGGTTTGATGTTGCAAGAATTACGGTAATATCAACCTGAGAAATTTCATAATATTTAAGAAGTAATTATTTTTTATGGAGGAGCCATGTATGTAGCTTTTTTCCAATATTTGGTTTGATAAAAAAAATAGGGTACATATAGGTTGAGGCTACTATGATCAAAGATCTTGCAAATGGGTTTGATTTTGAGTATGAATTTTGTTCTTCTCCTGTTACCGATATTGGTCGTGACAATTTCATTCTAGAACATCAACTCTGAATTAGTTATTGATTTGTTTTGTGAGTATAGTGGTCGAAAGATATTGAGGGAAAAAAAATCTAAATTGATATTGTAATTGCAGTCACTAATTTATTTTGTGTGATTTTTTGTGTCTCTCTTTTTAAGGAAGAATTTTGTAACAAAAGAGTAAAAAAAGTTTATGATACATTCAAGTTAAGCTTCACGTGAAAAAAAGTGGAAATTGAAAATGAATCTTGTGACAAGTATGAGCTGAGTCCTGCCATAGAAATAAGCATAAGTTTTTGATAAATTAGAGTTGAGCCTTGTCACATATATAGATATATGCTTATAATAAATTTGAGCTGAATCTTATTACAAACACTAGTATAGGCTTCTTCAAAAATATATTTATATAAAAAAAGAAGAAAGTCAATTATTTTCTCTATATCATCAAGATCAATAGAGTGGGTAGGGTCACCCATCAATAGGCCACTACACAAGAATAAGCCATGTTATATTAAGTTTACATTATTGAATCCTATTATAACAAGATCACTTCTTAAATCAAGATAGTCGAACCTTGTGAAATTAGGATGGCATATGAGATCTATCATATCATGATAACTACACCTAATGAAATCGGGATAATACAAACTCAACATGGGAAGTGGTCCTATTTTAGTCTTTTCGTTAGTTTCATTGGTGGTCATCATGTCAAAATAACTAGTCTTTCAATTAGTTTTTTAGATAATCACCTTCTCAAGTTGATCAATTGTTCTATTAGTTCCACAAGTGGTCACCTTGTTAAGATAATTATTTTTGACAAGTATCACATCTTTTCTTTACAAATTTACTAAGATATAAGAAGGATTGTCTTTTTATATCCTTATCACATAAGCATTATAAAGAAGAGGAATTTGATAAGGATAAGAATTAGCTATTGTATATATTAAGATAAGAGTTAGCTACTCGTACATATTTTTATAGCTTACCGTAGTAAAAGTCTACTTTTTAAACTTTATTTAAAGAGTTTACTCGTGATACAAAGTAAGTAATGATAGCCTTGCTAACCAATTCTTAGTTTCTTTATGGTATCACGAGCTCTTAGGAGGTTTAAAAACCCACGCTAATATCATGACTTCTTCTTCTTCTTCCAAATCCATCGTCCTTCCTCTAGAAACACCTAATCACGTCATCACATAAATCACTTTTCTTTCATATGTTCAATATCAACTCTATGTCAAGCTAAACTTCATATATTACCTTCTTTAGTTAACCCAAATCACATCCATTCTTCAAGGCTATAGAGTCATGAATCATGTTGATAGTTCTATATTCCCAATACCTAGCCAAATTGATAGAGCTCCTAACCCAACTTATCAAGATTGGTTTGTCAAAGACCAGTTAGTGTTAAGCTAGATAATTACCTCCTTTTTTGAAGGAGTTATATCGCAGTAGTACTGGTGTAACATTTGCTCGCGAAGCATGGAAAAAATTAGCTACCACTTATGCATCCGGCTCAAAAGCCTATGTTCGCTAATTAAAATCTCATCTCCACTAGTTGGAATGCAAGAATGAGGATATCACCACCTATATGCAACGTGTCAAGCACTTGTTTGATCAAATTGTAGCTCTTCAACATCCAATCAAAGAGGATGATCTTATTGATGCCATTTTACTTGGCTTTGGGTCCGCCTATGGATCATTGATTCATAATATTGAAGCCCATCTTCGATCAATAAAATTTGATGATCCGTTTGGTCTACTATCAAGTGAAGATATGTAATTAGAAGAGAGAAAAAGAGAGAGAGATCTCATTTATATAAAATGCCGCCTATTGCCCACTATACCCAATGGTAACACTTCAATCCTTGTAGAAGAGGACAATGGAGGGGTCACAACGCTCTTCCAACCACCTCTCATCTTGTTGCTCAACTAGTCGGCCATGGCGGTCGTCTCCTTCATTCACTACTACGACACCAATCTGCTACAATTTCGTTTGGGCATTTTAGTTTTGCTTGTCCCTCTCCTAAATGCATAACTAATACTTATCCCCCTCTACCGCCCACTCCTTTATCTCATCTCGCCTCAACCCAAACCAGCCCAAAATAGGTCTTTGATAGTGGAGTCACACACCATCTAATAGCTAACTTTGATAACTTAGCCTTTCATTTTGAATACTTGGGTCCCGAGGTGGTTACAATTAGTAATGTTAATACCCTTCATATTTCTCATATTAGTTCTTCTTCTTTATCTCTCGCATAATCATTTTTATACTCTTTGTCATATGCTTCATGTTTTTAATTCTTATCAAAATTTATTGTTTGTATCTCGTTTTTACTATATCTAATCATGTCTCTTTGGAATTTTTTCCTAATTATTTCTCAATAAAGGATATCCACATAAAGAAAATCCTTCCTAAAGGATCTTTGGAAAACGACCGTTACACTATGCCATTTGAACCTCCTTCATCACCCCGTCCTATTCAAGCATATTGTTGCAGTCTACCCACATGGCATGCTCACTTATGCCATGCTTCAATACACACAATAGCAAAAGTTTTGAGTTAGTCTAACATTTATGTTCCAAATAAAAAAATAAACTCTTTATGTCATGCTTGTTACATTAGCATAACACATAAACTTCTATTTTCTCGTTTGAAATTCAGGAGCACAAGTTCATTTGGAAATTATATGTTCCGATTTATAGAGACCTTTCTTAATTCCATCTCTGCAAGGTCACAACTATTACATTGTGTTTTATGATCATTGTACTAAATATAATTGTATTTATTTTCTTAAGTACAAATCATAAATTCTTAAAACAGGTTAAGAATCACATGAAGGCTAGCCAATTATTTTGATTTTTTAGTGGTTTATATCTTCCATGCTATGTGCTCATAACTTGTACTCCAATGTGTTATTTGGGGTTTACATCTAAGATCCATTTTGTTGCTACTTTTATCTATTTTATTATCATTATTTTTATTTTTATTTGATTTGATCGTGTTTAATTTTACTTTTGTTTTCATTTTCATTTTTATTTTATTTCACTTTTTATCTTTATGGATCCACGATTGAGAGGCCCATGTATCATTTTTGTGTCCTTTAGCACTCTGTCGTTTGTATTGAAGTAAAATCATTTATAGAGCATTTGAGCAATGCGCACGAACACTCATAATTTGTTCGACATTTGCCATCATTCATAAAGATTGTAATTTCACCCCATTTGTCATTAAACTGAGTGTCATTCGATCTAGTTTAATTAGATTTTTATCTAGTTTAATTAAAAAATAAATCAAATCCAATCCAGTTTAATCAAAGTCGGATGCAGAGGTGATTGAAAGATTTAAATATCCCATCATCCAACAACTCGGCTTTTTTTTTAACTTTTTTTGTTATCATTTTGTGGAGTTAATTTTGTTTCTTAGTGTAAGATATGAATTTATCCTATAATTCATAGAGGATTTTTATAATTTTATATATGTATTTAAAATTTAAATTCTATTTTTTGATTCTATGATTCACGGATGAAATGCCTTTTGGTTTTTAAGTTTAGATTTTACTTTTATAAAATTAATTTTTTTAAAAAAAAACTAGATTAGATCCTTGCCGAACAAACAAAGTCTTTCACCCCACTCGATCTATCGTGTTTTGAAATGAGAGGGACTAACTTATAATTTACTCCGGCAAATTAACGTTTGTTACATAATTTGATGAACTTTTTAGCGATAGGCCCATTTGCTCTATGATTCCTGCCATTATTAGCAGGAGCTTGTCGCGTCATGCACATGAAGCCTTTTAAGGATGAACTGTTTGTTTTTTTTATGCCACCCGCCACAAGATCTATAATATCATAATAAATTATAAATTAATCATTTAGTTTTAAAAAAGCATAATTTATTAATCCTTTAGTTAAAAAAAAATTAAATAATGTTTCTAATTTTAAAAACTAGTTCATTGGTCTTTTATGTCTATTTCATGTTTTTTTCATTTTATTTTTTTAAGAAAAAAATAGATAACATGTAAAGATTGATGATAAAAAAAGATTTCTTTTTTTATAAATAATATCAAATTAAATATAGTCAATACTAATTAAAAACCTAATTGAGTGATTTTTAAAATTAGAAAAAATATTTAATTCATTATGTAAAACTAAAAATACTAATTTATAATTTACTCATAAATCATTAATGAGAGAAATCAAAATACACATAAATTACAAAATACCATAGAAGAGCAAATTGACAATGTAAATGCTTCAGCTATCCAATCAACACCTACAATATCTCTGTGACAAAAACATATAACAAAAATACAAGAATAACATTGGAGCAATCATCTAATCTCTCCTCTAGTAAAAATTAACATTCTAGATCTAACATAACCTTTAGCACGTCTAACTTAATATTCTTTATTTTATAAAATACCATATTTCTTCTCAATTTTTTTTCATATTTTTTACTTATTGTTTCTTAGAACAAAATCAAAATAAATTAAAAATAATTAAATAATTAGTTTTTAAAATTAAAATAATTTATTTATTTATTTTTTGAAGTTAAAGGAACTTATTTATAATTTACTCTATGTACTTACCACCTCATAAGCCAAACGATCCACAAACCTTCTATATAAAAAAGACAGCATCTTCCTCCCAAAGAAAATACAATGAATATATCTCCTATGATCTCGAATTCGAGTTCTGATTGTTCTCTTTAATGATCACTTAAGACTTACATGATCATTAATTTTAGAACTCATGAGATCGATCGAGATGCACATAAACTAATCCAGACATCAGCGTTATTAAAAAAAAAAAAAAAACAGTGAACATAAAACCCCCTTTTAATGAGTAGGCAAGGAGTATTGAAAAAAGGGACCACTAATTAAAAGGTCCTAAGATTCAGATCCAATCCAACCAAGAAAAAATAAATTTGAAAAGACCTCACATTCGTAGTGCGCAAGAGAGGCGGATGGGAAGGTGGGGCCACTCCTCTTGAAAATAGATGAATCTTAGTAAAAGAAATAAGATGCAAAATAGGACTAAAACCTCGCATGACAACCACTCGTTTGCCTTATTCTTGCATTAATTACATCCTAAGCAACTTGTTACCCGTTGCTGTCAAAAATAAAAAATAAAACGCAAATGGTCCTAGAGCCCCAGTGAGTAGGAGACAAGGTCCTGAATAGTTTTGTCCTTGCATTTAGGCCCCTGGCTAGACAATTATTGGTTCTTGAAACTATTCCCAGCAATCTTCGAAAGCTGATTTTTAAATTAGAAATTAGGAGTGATCGTTTAGTTTTTAATTTGGTTTTATTTTTCTTTTCGATTTTCATTTAAATGAATTGACTAAAACAAAAATAGAAAACTAATCAAATTAAGGTTTGATTTTTCAATTAAAAAACTGAATTTTTTTGTTCGATTTTCGATTAAAAATAGATTTTTTTTTATTTTTTTGCATCTTTTCTTATGAATTTTCCCTTGAACCAAGCTGAAAGGTATTTTTTTGTAATTTTTTTTTATTTTCAAGGAATACTAATAGCATCAATTGAACTTTTAGTAATGAAAATCATAAAAAAATGCTATGAGTCTTAGATGTATTTGTTAAAAAAAAAAACTAATTCGATTTTTGGTAAAACCGAATTTAAAAAAATAATCGAAATGAACTGAAATAATTTCGATTTTCAGTTTCGATTTTTTTTTTAAAGAAATTCAATTTCTACCAAAAATTAAATTAGTATTTTTTTTAAATTTTTTTTATTAAAACAAATCGAAATTGTTAATTCGATTCAATTAGATTTTTTAATTTAACCAAATAGTGAGGAGGAGGTGCCAATCGGCTCAGAGACTCTCAGCAAGATATTCCAACTTTCAAGTTAGAAATTTCTCGAAGCAGCCCATTTCTTTGATTAAAATTTCACTTGAGGTCTGTAACCATGTAATTAGCATAGGCTTCGAAAACAAATGACGAAGCACACATCATATGGATTTATGACATACGGATTTATGACGTAGATGGTCTTCAGGAAGTAGACCAACCTAACGTTAATTATTGGATGGATGGAAAAATTAGGGTTGTTTTGAACGGCCACCATTGTTTCTTGATCAAAATTCAAATATCAGTTCGGGGAAAAATCTTTTCACAATTCGTACGAAAGAACTTGTCAGAAAAAATGACATGCCAATAGTCACAGACAATTGTTGCACTCTTCTGAGTCTGATATCGATATAACATCAGCCTCTCTTCTTTTCTTTTGTACGTATTAGATAAAACATGATCATTTGTTAAAATAAGAAGCAACCCAAGATTTTCTTCCTAAGCAACCAAGAAATTGCAATTAGCAAAAGCAGAAAATTTACCTTTTTTTTATTTTATTTGCAACCCATCATAAAACTTATTTACGGTTAGGTTATTATCAGTTTCTAAATTTTTAATTTGTATTCAGTTTAGTCCATCTTTTCTTATGCAATTCTATCTTTTCAACTTTTCAATCCAATAATCAGAATTTACATATATAGAAATGCCCACCAATTACATCAATTAAAGAACTTGTGCATTCTCAGTACTGTACAGAAAACTAAAAATTTAACCAAGGAAAGTATAGTAACATACAGCAAAATCAACTTGCTAGTGGAATAAAACCCAAACAGCTAATTAACAAGAGAAGTACGTTAAGATCAAGGAAAACTCAAACGAAAAGAGGACCTGCTGCTACTCTGGCGTGTCTGTGAATGGCCAAGAAGCACAGCGTCAGCGGCATGGTCATGCGCGTGATAGCAGAGGTTACAGCCTGGATGGTGGACAAAACCCGCCGCTCCTGGAGGCCCTGCAGTGTGCTAACAAAGAAACCCAAGCCATCTACCACCGTAGCCAGCGCCACTGCCATCTTTTCTATAAGCAATAACAAAGCATAAAGAGATCACCACACAAAGAAAGAATTGCAAACCAAGCCTTTAACCAGAAGACTGTACGTCTTTTAAAGTTTGGCAAATCAGCAAATGGCTATAAGTCATTTGGACGGTTCTTTTTTTAATTTTTCCTTTTCCGCAAAGCAAGACCAACTTGAAAATGCGTACGGGGAGAAGTATTATTATTTCCTGTTGCTACCCTATCCTATCCTATCCTATCCGAGTAAGTTATAAATTACTCCCTCTAATTAATTGGTTCTTTTTGTTTTAAAAATTAATTATTTAATCCTCAATTGTTAATTTTTTACGAGATTGCTGAATTAACACTTAATATCCAAACTACCTTTTAACATATATAATATTTCAGTGCTTTAGGAGAGAGAAAATTAATGAAAATTAGTTAAAGAAGAAGTAAAGATTTGTTTTGGTGTTTGAAGAGAGAGAAATAAAGAAAATGGGTATAAAAGAGAGAAATAATGTATAAAAAAGGATGATTTAGAAATGAAAAAAAAAACTATAGTAAGGATGTTTTATCTCCACTATAATGAAAAACTGACAAAAAACTAAATTATTGACAAAATCAAAATATAAATGACTAAATGATTAGTTTTTAAAACAAAAATAACTAATTTATTTATTTTTTAAAACAAAAGGGACTAATTCATAATTTACTCTGCCCCATCCTTCCTAACTTCTACGGACATTTATAACTCTTTCTTCACAACCATTTACTAAAAGCAGGATCATGATGGAGCGACCAAGAATCTTGCCTCCAATGAGTGTAAGGTAAACGTGTAAAGACAAAAAAACTCTTACATGTGAAACATTCATATCCAATTTTAGTATGATGCAATCCTAGCTATTAAAAAGAAAATACTACAAATCAACCATTTCATTTTATCTTCTTCCATTAAAATCTTAAAACAAATACGGTGGTGCCTGCTGCTGATAGCAAAAGCTGCTCCAAAAGCAACACTTACTCTTCACAAAATTTCCAAGTTTTCTCATTGGTCCAACAGAGACAGTTTGACAGTGATTTTTCAATACTAGATGGAAGTCTATCGTTATTTAAAATGGTAAAATCTTTTAGGATGTTTTAATAAAGGATTAGCGAGGAAATTACTACAGAAATCACCAACGGATTATTATTTCTATAAAACTTTCTTTATTCCGTGATAAAAATAGAAAAAAAAATGACAGTTTATTTTTGGAATTTGTGGAGAATGATAGTAAATAACATACCTAAAATAAAATTATTGTCACCCCACATTTAAAAGAAGGAAAAATAAATAAATTAGATTTTAATGATGCCACCTACTGGCATGGATGATATCTTGAAAAGATTAATTAGCACCATCACTCAAAATGATATGCACACAAGGTTAAATGTGGACGAAAATGGAAGATCTTTGCATCTTATGCTTGATCCTTGAATTATTGAACATACTTTCTAACTCCAATTTGCCATACTAGCAAGCAATATTTTAAATGAGTTTCAAATCAACATGAATTGAAACGACTAAAAGATACAGTGGTTTAGATGGTATTTGTCAACGGGTGAAACATCATTTTAGCTTCGAAAGTATTACTTCACTATAAATTAAGTCTTAAACCTTTGGTTTTTGTCGATATTGTCCCAAATGCAGTCAGTGTTAGACAGCGTCGTCTCTTCGTACATTCATTATTCGTCAAGGTAAAAAAATGTCTAGTTTACTTGTGCTCGTTAAGTGCTTTTATCCAAACACTAAAATAAATCCTAATTTGTCCTTGAAGACAATGTTAGCAGCAAATTATAATACATATTGTTGTATTTCATCATATATATATATATATATAGTGACAGAACGCACAACCAAATGTCTAGAGAAGTCAAAATAAATTTATAAATTTATAATGATTTACACAAACTTATATATATATTATAAACAATATACCAACATATATTTTAAAATTATCTTAAAATATAATAATTCAAAATAAAAAATTTCGTTATTTCAAGTCACAAAAATAATTTATAAGTGAATTTATATTAAAATTTTTAGTAATTTCTTTTTTAACATACACTAATAAACAATTGAAAAGAAAGTCATCTTTCATTTTGTTATGAAATTTAGTTTTGATTATGCTCATAATCGAAAATGATCATTCCATGAGAGCCGTAGAAACTAAAGAGTAAGAATAAATGTTATCACTCTATATATAAGTATAATACTTTCAAATTTTCATATCTTTATCGACCATTGACGCAAAATTAGATATAATTGACAATGTTTTCAAAATCGGAAAGATTATGTACATGATCGAAATACTCAATTTACATCCTTAATTGCAGCATTTTATGATTGGCAAAGTCTTAAAAGTAAAATTTCTGCACCAACTTATAAATGACATCAATCTTAAATGATATATGCATCTTTTTAGAATAATTTTCTTGTGCCGAGTGAATATTTTATATGTTTTTCAATATATGAATAGTAGCTTTTTATGCAAAATAAATGTTTTGAGTACTTTAAATATGCATGAAAAATATTATGTTTGCATAGAATATTTGCTTGAGGGGGTACCAATTATTATGTGCCATTGGGTGAATTTTCTAATATTCAATTTATACTTTTGGTGCATGAATAATGCTTTTCCGTGCAAATTAATTATTTTGAGTATTTTAAATATGTTTGAAAATTATCTAATGGGTATAGAAAAAAAATCATTAAGGAGGTGTAAGAATATTTTATGAATTTAAGGTGAATTTTTCTGTACATAAGGAATATTTTATATAGAAATAAGTTATTTTTACACTTATTTAAGCCTTTATATTAATTATTTTATGCAAAAATATACTCATTTATCTGTAGGTTAATTAAAATCCCAATTGAAGCATTCTAAAAAATATATAATTAAAGTATGGATTAGGATGGTGTCATATTGAAAGTAAAATTATGATAAAATAATAAAAAAAATAAAAAAGTTGTGACATGGCATGGGATGATAAAAGAATTTTTCAGTGTAAAAGAGTTGCAGGGGGCAGGGCCCCTGTAGAGCTCTATGTGGGTCCGCCCTTATATATACACACACACACACAAGAGAGTGAAGAAAATTTACTATGATTTCATGCTAAAATTAAGACGTACTTTTAGGTATTTAATAATAATAAAATAAAAAGATCACCTGCAAATTGGAAAAAAATAAAAATAAATTGCCACTAACAAATTTGATAGATGGAGAAGAAGGTAACACGTTCCGGAGGTTTCTCTATTGTCCAGGTACCAAGGTTCAAGCGTACCAATTAAGAGCATTAGACAGTGACAAGGCTGTTCGTGGACTAATAATAATCAATGAGTAATTATTATATATGTCAATTAATTATTTTATGAGATTATTTTTTAGGATAGAGATAGATACAAAAAGATAGAGAAATAAAAAAGAAAAAATTAAAAAAAAATCGAGTCAATGTGGTATCATATTTGGATCAATAAAAAATGGTAAGAAAATTTTTAACTTGGTTTATTTTTTTATACTTTTGTCTCTCTCTTTTTTTTTTATCTATTTCTCTTTTAAAAATAGACTCATGAATTAATTATTTTATAATAATTACTCATTAAATATTATGAAATTTCTCTTAGACTGGTAGACTAACAAACAAACCCAAGCCATCTACCACCGTAGCTAGCGCTTTTGCCATCTTTTCTTCAAGCAATAACCAAGCATAAAGAGATCATCATAAAAAGAAAGAATTGCAAACCAAGCCTTTAACCAGAAGACTGTCTTTTAAAGTTTGGCAAATCAGCAAACAGCTATAAGTCATTTGGACGGTTCTTTTCTTCTTCTTTTTTTTTTTTTTTTTTTGCCCCTTTCCGCAAAGCAATAGCAACTTGGAGATACGTACGAGGAGAAGTATCCATTAATTCCCGTTAATTCCTTTTTTTATCCTATCCTATCCTATTCGAGTAAATTACCCTTTAATCCTTGTTGTTTTGAGAAACGAATTAATTAGTCATTTTTGTTTCGAAAACAAATCATTTAACCTTTTATTGTTAAGTTTTTAATAAATTTATCAAATTAATATATAATATCTGAAATAGCTTTTAACATATATACTCATTCATTTAATATATAATTTCCTCATGATATCGCAGTTTTCATGTAAAATCAAACAACATTCGACAAAAATAACAAAAACAATTCAATTGGGATTCGAATCGATACGATTTTTAATTTTATGATTTTCATGAAAAATCATACAATATTCAGCAAAAATAACAAAAACAGTCTGATTTAGATTCGGACTGAGACGATTTTATTCAAAATTAGGTACATTCAGCAAAAATAACAAGTAAATTAATTATAATTTGTTATTCCATTTAGATCTTCATTTATTATTTGTTTAATGCTCTTAAGATTCAAACAATGAAATTTTATCGTGTAGCATCCAAAGTAAAATAATTGGATGAACATAACCTATAATATAAGGATAAACCCATAAAAAAAAAATTACAAAGGCAAATTCAATAAAAAAAACAAGAGTACAGTGACAACACGTCATTAATTCTTTTAACATCATATTTTATCAATCATTTCTTTACAATTATACGACGTAAGCCATTGCAAAAGGTTGGGATAGACGGACAACAATTGACCCGACGAGACTTTCTTCGAAACCCTCTCTGGAGTATTCTCAAAGTGTTTGTTATTTAGTTTTAATAGAAAAACTAAAACAAATTGAATCAAAATATGAATTTTATTTCGAATTTTAAATCAAAATGAAAAAAAAAACCAAATCGATCTTTTAAGTTTTTAGATTTAATTGAGTACAATTTTTTTTTTAATATATCAATTTTTTAAAATTTATCAATCAAATATTTTTTTAATTTTTTTTAATTAATGTCAAATTCGTTATCATCATAATATAGAATTATAATTTTGATTTTTTTCTTCAATGAAATACATAAATATTAATTTTTTTATTTAAATATATTAATTTTTTTAAAATGTGAATATATATCATAAATTTAAGAGATTTTGATTTTTAGTACAAAGAGAATACCTCTATGTTCTAATTAAATGTAAGAAAATAATTCTATCGCATTCAAATAATAAACTCGATTGGATCTAATAGAAAAGGAAAAAAGAAAAAACAGAGTTAAAAAAATAAAATAAAAAAGAGAATAAAAAAATAGTTTAAACTGAAAACCAAAATCGAAATTTTGGTTTTTAACCCAAAAAATCGAATCCTAATTCAGTTCTGCCCGGTTTTATGTTCGGTACTTTGATTAATAAAAAACCGAATCAAAATTATACAAAATGGAACCAAAATTCTGAACAAACACCGTAGCTGATTCACTGCCGCAGCTGGCGACTCTCACCGTTCACCCACGACAAAACAAAAGAAAACCTGTCTAAAAGCAAGAAATCCCAAAAACCCACCAATACAAACCCTAATTCATCAAAATTAAAGTCGATTGGTAAGCTGAAAGAAGGAGAAAGATGGGGAAGAAACAGCACAGCAAAGATCGAATGTACATAACAAAAACAGAATGGGCAACGGAATGGGGCGGTGCCAAATCCAAACAACTCCACACTCCTTTCAAACGTCTCCCTTTTTATTGCTGCGCGTAAAATACAAATATATATTTTTTTATTATGCAATTTCTTGTGTTATTTATTAAATTATTATTGATTTTTTTTTTGTTGTTGTTTATTATTTTTGCAGTCTTACGTTTACGCCGTTTGAGTATCCAGTTTGCACAGAAGATGGCAGCGTATTTGATTTAATGTTAGTATTTTTTTTATTTTTTTTGCTGCGAGAGTTGAATTTTGATGGTAATCTTCTGCGTTTCCTTTTTGGTTTTGAAATATTTGTGTGAAGGTACATAACTCCGTACATAAGGAAGCATGGGAAACATCCGGTCACCGGAGCTCCGTTAGAGCAGGGTGATCTTATTCCACTCAAGTTCCATAAGAATTCAGAAGGTGCGTATTTTCTTCTTCTTTTTTTTTTTCCTTTTTAATTGCTTTGTAGTTTTTTTTGTGCTCAATCTGTTCATTGAAATATGGAAGATGAATTGGTGAATAGATATATGCGTAGAAGCTTAGTTAAATCCAATCGGAGAAAGAGAAATGAGAATCAATACGGTTAAATGCTGAGAAGGACGGAATTTCGAGGAGGAAACTTGTGTCTTAAAGACTTTGCTACTGCGTAATAAATCTAAGATGGTATATATATCTTCGAGGACGAAGTAAGGTTGATATTGCCTGTGTAAGTGACTATGGGGAGACCCAACTTTAACTCGTCCTTTCGGGTTAACCTAAATGTGGCAAGCACATTTCCTGTCATGACAGAATTAATTAGTTTTAGTTCGACCTATACTATTGTGTGAAATTAATTTCAGTGGACAGTGTTCTTGAAACTAAGCTCAAATGTCTGATGAATACTTCTTCCTTCTAATGTCATTACTTTTATTGTATTATTCTGTCATGGTCTACTTGTAGGAATTAATATGGTTTTACTAAAGCACTTACATTTCTCGCTGCCAAATGGTTGTTTGAACTAAAATTTGCTGTTTGTTTGATTTTCTTGTGTGCAAAAGCTTCACTCCTCGTTTATGGTTGTCTATACAACTTAGTTCACATTCATGTGCTAACCATATTATTATTATCTTTTCTTCATAGGAGAGTATCATTGCCCTGTTCTGAACAAAGTTTTTACTGAATTTACACACATAGTTGCTGTGAAGACTACTGGAAATGTGTTCTGTTATGAGGTATAGCTTTGTTTGTTTTCTTGCTTGTTTATCTATTATCAGTAGTCATTTTCTTATTTCTTTCGGCACTTCTTTATTATTATATTTTTTTGGTTCGTCTTGTAGGCAATTAAAGAACTAAACATTAAGACAAAGAACTGGAAGGAACTACTGACAGATGAACCATTTACTAAGGAAGACCTCATAACAATTCAGGTGACTGATAACTTCAAATTACATTCTATTTAGCTTGTTAAACCATTTTACTGATTTTTCCTATAATGTAAGAAGTTGCTCTTAACTCTGTGGGTATGCTTTGCAGAATCCGAATGCCCTTGATAGTAAGGTTACTCTTGATTTTGATCATGTTAAAAATGGTCTGAAAATTGATGACGAAGGTAAGCTATTTCCTTTGCCAACATTGTAGGTTGAAATCTATTATATTTATATGCCTTTTCAAGCTACATTAATGACTTCAAATTTTGTTTTCCAGAGCTAAAGAAGATGAGTTCAGATCCATCTTATAATATAAACATATCTGGAGATATCAGGCAAATGCTGGCAGAGCTCGGAACCGAGAAAGGAAGGCAAACTGCTCTTCATGGAGGTGGAGGTAGCAAGGCACAGAATGAAAGGGCTGCTGCTCTCACTGCCATTTTGGCTGCAAGGTCACGCATTAAAGATGAATCTGAATCAACTTCAAACGGAGAGTCTAAACCCCCAAGAGCTTATAGTGTTGTAGATGCTGCATCCGCTTCAGTTCATGGAAGAAGTGCAGCTGCAGCTAAAGCTGCACCAGATGATAAAACTGCTGCTCGTATAGCTATGCACATGGCTGGAGAGAGGGCACCTGTGAATGCAAAAATGGTAAGCTTTTCCCAAGTCCAATCTTTCTTTTAACACAAAATCAAACATTAGAGGGAAATTATTAGGAAAAATACTCCCCTACTCAAATAAAATTAGGACCCCACCATCACAATTACATGTGTCCTAATTTTATGTGTGCAGGGGACTAGTACTCTAGGAAGGCTGAAATTTTTAATGCTACAGCCCCTAATCACTGATCAATCTGGCATTCTATTAAAGCATTTCCCAAAGCATGAATAATTGAATATACTTTGCTTTCTCCTATTTGTCCTTGAAGTCTTATCATAGTGTCATGTAACTCTGACTAATACAATCATTGCATGTTTGACATGATCTGAATCTTGTTTTGTCAAACTCATAAGTCCAAGTTTAGGATCTAGCAATGGAAAGTTAATCTCCTTTTTTTTTTAAAAAAAAAAAAAGAGTAAAGATATGAAAATTGCAAAAGTTGGAACATCCTGTTTTGACATGAATTTTTGCTTCAGGTAAAGAGCCGTTTTACAACTGGTGCTGCCGCACGATCCTTCACTTCAACCTCGTTTGATCCTGTCACAAAAAATGAGTTTGAATATATCAAAGTTGAGAAAAATCCAAAGAAGAAAGGTTATGTTCAACTGCATACAACACATGGAGATCTGAACATTGAGCTGCACTGTGATGTAACTCCAAGGACATGTGAGAACTTCATCACTCTTTGTGAGCAAGGGTATTATAATGGAGTGGCTTTTCATAGAAGCATTCGGTATGGCAACTACTGCTATGTTATATGAATTTGATAATTTTTCATGGTTCTGCAAATATAAACAGACCATAGTCTATTGTTTGTAGGAATTTTATGATTCAAGGTGGTGATCCTACTGGCACTGGGAAAGGAGGCCAATCTATATGGGGTAAACCTTTCAATGATGAGCTGAACTCCAAGTTGCTCCACAGTGGAAGGGGTGTTGTCAGTATGGCTAATAGTGGGCCCCATACCAATGGTTCTCAGTTTTTCATCCTTTACAAGTCTGCCAATCATTTGAACTTCAAACATACAGTTTTTGGTGGAGTTGTTGGCGGCTTGACTACATTGGCAGCAATGGAAAATGTTCCTGTTGACGATGATGACCGACCTCTGGTGAGCTATTCAGTATTCTTGTTCAAAGAATTTGTTTCTCTTGGTTCCTTGATTAATTTGGGATAACAATAGTATTTTTCAATTAATGGCAGTTGGCTTGGCAAATGCCAAGTGAAAAGTACATTAGTTAGTTTGTGTAGAGCAAAGTTTTGATAGTATGAGTTCTATTGGCTTGTGTGTTTAATTATGAATAATAAGTTAAAAAGTTAGGAGACCTTAGCAATATTGAAGCAGGTCTCCCGGTTGTAAAAAAGTTCGGATGAGGGGGGGGGGGGGCGGGATGGTTCAACACCACCTATGTGATCAAAATAACAATTTCAGTCCCTATAACTCTGGCCTTAATACCCATGTTTGTAATTTTTTTAATAAGAATCTTTAAATTTACAAAAGCTTTCTGATGCAGGACAGCTTAGGGGGACTGTTCTGGATCTGACTTTGGAGTCTGTTTAGGGCTTTATTGAAGTGAATTTCTGCTGGGAATTGTAGAAACTATTAGAGTTACACTTTTAGGGTTTCTAGGAGTCACACCTACAGGATAGATAAGCTTTGCACCTAGGGTTTTTTAGGGGTCACACCTAAGTGAAATTGAGTCACACAATCAAAAGCACATTGCTGGAATTTTATTCATATACTTCAATTAAATTATTGAAACACTACATGCTTATTTATAGAGTTTCAGTAGTAAAAAATCCAACAAGGACTTAGATTCCTAGAGAAGAAAATACTAAGTCTATGTAGAATCAGAAAAACCTAATAAAGCTAATTACTCTTAGGACTAATAAAATACTAAATAGAAAATAATACCTAGACTTAAAACAATTTTTCCAGAAATTTTCAGAAGTTTCAGTGTTGCACATGACATTTCAATAGCGGAATTTCTATTTTGTATTTTCAGCAATGCATGACACCTCCACTAGTTTTCGTTAAATTTAACTTATATATATGTATTGGAGGAGTTGGATACTTGGATATCTAAATTTTGTTTTTGGGTTATGAAGATTCTCACAGCATGTGAGAAATGGAAAGTTGAGATTTGCTGTTTGTCATAAGTAGTATGTGAATGGAATAGAGCTTATCATTTACAGCATTCTTGTTCTTACTGTTATTCTTTTCTTTTTTGAATTAAAATAGCTAGGACCTTTGTCTTGCAATAACAAAAAGCTGGAAGACACCATGTATTCTATACATTGCTGGGTCATGGATTTCTATAGAATAACATACTTATGATCTAATGCCTCATTTGTCTTTGTTCATCTACAAATAATGCAGGAGGAGATAAAGATAACTAGTGTAACGGTATTTGTCAATCCTTACTCAGAACCTGATGAAGAAGAGGAGCAAAAGAAGGCTAAAGATGAGAAGGATGCTGAGGATGAAGAAAATGTAACTTTCTGGGCCCTTTCGGTGTAGAGAAGCGGCTTTTTAATTTGCCGTTCATTAAATTGGTTTTAAGATAGAATGATATGGATACCGTTTCTTTGTTATTGTTTCAGGACAAGGTTGGGTCATGGTATAGCAATCCAGGTACAGGAACTTCCGAAAGTGGGACTGCTGTGGGTGGTGGTGGTGTTGGAAAGTACTTGAAAGCAAGAAATGCTCAAACTGAACTCACTGCCGTCGACAATGGTTCGTCAACAACTGGTGTGAAAAAGAAAAGGAAAGTGGGAGTTTCAACAGCGGAGTTTAAAGACTTCTCTGGCTGGTGAGAGTTCCTAATTTTTGTACCATACTTGTAGACGATGGAATATGCAGGATAAGTGGCCGTAGTTCAGCTCTGTAACATATTCTTTGGAGGTGCTTAAAAATTAGAAGGAAAATTTTGACGGGGTATCTCATAATAGTGAATTCATTGTTCAGGTTGTCTGTACATTAACATGTATTGGTAAACTATTAAGCAAAATAGTTCACTTCTTTCTGATGACTGCAGATTTTGTCCACAGAATACTCCCCCCCCCCCCCCTCCTCTCTCACACACACACAGACGCACGCACGCACAGACACAGACCCCCACAAAAAGGGTAATGCAGGCACAAGTTAGCACGTGTTAGCAATTGCAATTCCTTTCTGTTGCAGCCTTTATATGCTGAATGGTCAAAATCTCATGATGGACGTTTTGGACGATTTCACGGGTTTTTTCAGTTTTTTTTTTGTCGGGTTTTTAGAGACATCAACTGTCGAAATATCTAGCATGATTTTCCTCAAATTATTTTCGGGGCATCGTTAAACGCAATTTGACATTACAATGGCGAAAGCATTTTTTTCTGTTTCCAATTTTGATGGGGACATTCCTAGCTTCTTTTTTTAATCGACAAATGTTGCTGGATTCATTGGAGTCATCTACAAAGATCATTAACATAATTTCAAAAAATAATGGTTATATAATATAATATAACGGATGCTATTTAATAAAAATAAATAAATATAAATACAAATATGACTCTTATTGTTGGTTCGTTATTTAATGGATATAAATGTTTAATATTGTTACATGTTGTTATAAGAAGCATAATGACATTAAATATAAATAGCAATATTATATGTCATTATTGTTATATAATGTTGTTAATTTTTTTTTTAAAAAAATTTGATTCTCTATATTTTATTATTATTTGTATGATGTTAAACTATAATGCCCTTATTCAAGGATTTATGTGTGTTACTATTATATGTCATTCTAAGAAGCATAATGACGTTGTATATAAATACGACATTATATGTTGTTATTGTTATATAATGTTATTATTTGACAAATAATGATTGTTATTTCTTTTAATTTTTTAATTTTATTATTGTTTGAGTGATATTGAACTATTAAAAATGTTATTAATTTTCTTTTCTAATAAATTCAAATATTGTTGTATGAAACTAAACTATTAGAGATATTATTATGTTTAATTAATAAAATTACTAAAAGAATGTTAATTATAATAAATTTGTTAATAATCGTTAATATGCTAATACATTCATAATTTCGATTATTGTAATTATTATTTTACTATTACGATAAATTATGTGATCGCAATTTTTTTTTGCGATTACATTTATAATTTAAAACTACAATTACTAATTCAATTTTGAGGACATAAGAGGCACTAGCTAACCAATCCACCCCATTATTTGCACCTAGCCTAACATGGTAGATTGCTACGTTTCGAGAACGTTTGAGAAAGGCTCGAACTGCAATTGATCTAATCTCCCGTTGGACATCAGCCTGGGCGGCAGCAGCAGCAGCAGCAGCTGCAGAAATGGCTTTTACAGATCCTTCTAAATCTGATTCAATCATAAATTCGTAACAGGGGTGTGATTGAATTTTGTAGCTAATTGTAGTGCGTCTCGAATTGCCATGGATTCACCTTGGAGCATCGATCTGCAGCAACATTTCATCACCCTTCCAACCACAATTCTTCATCTTTCATCCCTTCAAAGATTCCTGTAACAGACAGCTCCACCATTGGGCTCGACAGAAGCATCTCAGTTAACCTTTAATCCCCCTCTCAAAGGAGCTCACCACTTAATCTTGCTATTGATTTTCTTCTCTCATGGAAGTTCTAACATAGCTTCTTGAAACTCCTAGTTAGGTATCAACTGCTACTTTCTTTACAAAAATAATAAATGAAGCAAACATACTGTCTGCGTTGGCACGCACACAGCGAAAAGAAATAATATACATATACATATGTATATTGGTAATGAAAAGAAATAAATTTCTACCCTCAGAACCGAACTGACAACACAAAGATAAATGGGAAACTGTATAAGAGAAGTGTCCATACCAATCCTCTCTCTCTCTCTGGGTCTTGGCATTTTTTCCCCTCCCAAATGGGAATGGATCTGTCCAAACATACTGTTATCTTGCAGACGCAACAATGACGTAATAATGCCACAAACTCGTTAAAGAAAAAGGCTCTTAGTGGTTATTTTCGTTTCTGATATTATACATCAACCTTTTATATACATATATGTCACTCTCAGATGTTGTACAGCTAACTAGATTGAGTTGAAGTTCGCCCAATAATCTAAGGTGATATATAGCGGCAGTTTGGTACTATTTTTATTTTATGTTTTCTATTTTTGTTTTCAAAATTAGAAAACAATGTATGAAAACTTGTTTGTTGTTGTTTTTTTTTTTCCCTAAAAAGTACAATTGATAATAAATATTGAATTTTTTTCAAAATTTGTTTTTTACTCTATCAACATATGTTTAGGAGTCAAGTCCAGTTTAAGAGTTGAAAAATTGTGTTCAAGAGTTGAAAAATAGGCATTGATTATGCCTAGGGTTTAAAGTTAAAACCTAATTCAAAGACTTTGGGATTCGAGCCCAAGCCACGTATAGGGTGCTCGATATCGAAGCTAGGATAAGGTCCCAAAAGGTTTGGGTTTAGTTCGGGAATAGCTTCTAGCCACTTAAGAATTGGTCTAAGACCTCGTTTGGGACATCTAGTGTTTGGGTAGGGATTAGTAACGAGGTCTAAGACATGTGGGAGTTGATAAGAGACTAGCTTTAAAGGCATCCGAGGTTTGAATTAGGACTTGGTCTAGAGAGCAAAGGAGTTTATCCGAGACTCGGATTCGCGATGCCTAAGAGTCAATCCGGAATCGAGTACGGGGTGCCTCGAAGTGTCGGCTTGAGACCTAGTTTAAGGTGTTTGGGGTTTAGACAAGAACCGCTTATCGGGTTTGAGGTGTTTGGAGTTCAAGCGAGGATCATGTCTAGAGCGTTGAAGGTTCGAGCCGAGACTAGGTCCGAGGCATTCGTAGTTTGGTCTATGACCGAATCTAGAGTGCCTAAGTGTTCGGATGGGACGTGATTCGAAGGGCTTCGGGGTTCGGATCGTGACCAAGGTAGGGTTAGGACTCGGGTTCTTTCTAGGATTGAGCCCAAATTGCTCGAGGCGCGAGGGCAACACCGGGTTCAAGGAGTTCGAGTAATCGGGTTTGGGGAGTGTAGAGTTCGTGCAAGGATCGGGTTCGAGGCTTTTGGAAGTAGGTTTGGAACTAGAACAAGGACAAGGTTCAGTGCCAAGATCGGGTTTAGGTCACGAAAGGTTCGGGTGGGGAGTAGGTCTAAAAAGCTCGAGAATCAAGCACTACAAAAAAATGGACAATTAGCGACGGAATTTAGTGACAAATATATTTTCGTCACCATTTACCTATTTAATTATGACCGAATAGCGATGAATTTGAAAATAAATCATGTAGCAATGGTTTTGAGATAAAAAATTAACGACAAAAAGATTTCCATCACTATGAAGAGTGGGACGACAAATGGCGATGAAATGATGACAGATTTTAGCGACGAAATACAAATTTCGTTGCTACACGCAAGTGTTGGTATAGCGATGGATATTGTCCATCGTTATTTGTTGCTAATCAATGACGAACAATATTCCATCCGTAAATTTGAAAATTTGTAAATAAATTTGGTGGTTGTAGAAAATTCAAATTAGCAATGGAATAGTTGTATTTTGTCACTAATTAACGACGTAGCGATGTCAAAATTTTCATCGTAAATTTAAGCATACTTCTTAATTCTTTTAAACAATTCCATCGGACGTTTGAAATTAAAATTAGCGACGGATACTTGCTTCCGTCACTAATTCTAAACCCCTTTAACCTCCAAACTCTTTTTCTCCCCCTATTTCTCCCATTTCCCTCTCCTCCTCCTCTCGTCCACTCGCCGTCGCCACCCCCAACAGCCCCTAACCACCGCCCCACGACACACTACTCCCTCCTTAGCCTCTTAGTCCGACAAGACGCAACTTTCTCCTTGAAATCCGTCTGCAGTCTCTCCTCTCCCTCCTTTCCTCTAGTAATTTGTTCTCTCTCTAGATCTTTTATTTTTTGTAATTAGATTAATGTTAATTGTTAGTTATTAAGTTAACTTTGTTAATTTTTAGTTCGTTAATTATTAGTTATTTTTTATTAATTAGTAGGTTAAAATTTTATTAATTAATTGTTAATTTATTATTTTTTAATTGTTTTTTGTTAATTGTAAGGTTAATATTAATTGTTAATTTGCTTGTTTTTTCTTTACAATATAATTAACATTTCAATTAGGATTAATATTACACTTAGTTATGATTAATATAATTAAGTTAATTTGATTTAGAATTAATTTAATTATGATAATTTGAATTGATTGATTGATTTTTACTATCAATATTTAAAATTTAGTAAACTTTTGAATTATAAATAATTTAATTATATTTAGTTGAATTTATCATTAAATTAATTAGATAAATTATGATTATAATATTATAATTTGTTAATTAATATCGATATTTAAAATTTAGTAAAAATTTGAATTAGAAATAATTTAATTACGTTTAGTTGAATTTATTATTAAATTAATTAGATAAATTTTTATTATAATATTGTAATTTGTTAATTAATATCGATATTTAAAATTTAGTAAACGTTTGAATTAGAAATAATTTTATTACGTTTAGTTGAATTTATTATTAAATTAATTAGATAAATTTTGATTATAATATTGTAATTTTTTTCTAATTAATATCAATATTTTTTTAAATTTTCTTATGTTATATTATTCGGTTATGACAAGTGGTTTGCGTCGACCCCCCACAATCACTTTGGGATCACCTTTCGATAGTCGTGGGCGTGCATCCTCGATTGACGACGACCCCATAGGGATAGCCAACGAGCATCGGTCGGGGATTTTCCACTTCGGGCACTATACGTGGGTCCTTTGGCTCCCGAGATCATGAGCATTCTTCTTTTTCTTCTCACGGAGCTAGCATATTTATAACGTCTCGGCCATAGAGGTTCCCTCATTGGGAACGAGAGGTTCTCGGATTAGGAACAGAGGTTCTAACACCGGCAATAGAGGTTCTAGCATCGATCGTAGTGGTTCTAGCACCACCTGTAGCAGGTTCCACTTTCGTTGATGTATCTATCGCTTTAGAGAGCTCTAAAAGCTCATCCAGTTGGTGGATTATTTCTCTCACTCACAGATGGTATGTAAAGATGATGTTATTATTATTTTTATTTTAATATATCATTTCAATAATTACTTACTATTTTTTCTTTTTTCTTTTTTCTTTTTTGGTGATGTTCAACGGTTTTAATTCGCCTAATAGAGATTATTCCACTTGAATAACTAAGATTTTCAAGTAGCGATTGGATGTCGATGGGTCGACATGGAAGTCTATCTCGAATGTCACTAAACAATTCTACTTTAGTGAATTTAGGGTAACATATTATTAATTTTTTTATTATATTTAAAATATTAATTTAATGTTAAATTAAATTATTTTTATTAGGATCTAGCCATCGAGAAGATTGCCGGAGAAGCTTGGGAGGCTTTAGCAAGAAAGCGTTACTCGACTTCGTCTAAAGTCATATGGTTTAATGTTCGAATGGCCTTATACAAGAGGCTATTGTGATGCGGTTGGCGGAAGGAATCCCGGAGTTAGAGGTTAACAAAAACGTCATATACCTCGAGACTCGTATGAGAGAAAAAGAGAGGGTATATAGTGTAGGTACACATGCATCACATTATCCGTCCCGATTAACTAGCGCCAACTTATCCTTTGTGTCGTCACTTTATATCAAAGACATGTCTAATAAGGAGGTTCGGAGGCAATATAAGCGAGGCAAAACGAGATGATATAAGGGATGCGGACCGGATAAGACAAGTTGCAAAACATTGCCACACAGCAGCAGAGTTCTATACGAGGGCCGCAATCTCGGTATGACACACTTGTCTCCATGTTGACTAGGCCGACGCGAAGTTCGAATTGCCTATAGAGAGGGGATTGGATGATCGAATGAATGACATTTCATTTTTTATGTACTAACAAATACTTTTTTTAATATTAATTTAATTTTCATTTTTAATAAATTTTTTTTGAATAATGCATTTTTTTTCCTAATTGTTAATTACTATCGGGAATATCATAAATTTAAAAACTAAAAAAAATTGAAAACATAATTTTTCAATTAAAAAAATCAATAACCGTAATGATGAATTAGCGAAAAAAATAGTGACGAAATAGCAACGAAACATTCGAGTGACGGACTTTGAGACGGAATAGCAATTGACTTTGAGATGGAATAATGATGATACAATCCTAGGATTGATGACTAATTAGCAACGAAAATTAGCCTTTTCGCGATGGTATTTTTGTCGTTAATTAGCAACGGATATGTTTTTTTATTCGCTAGGGTTAGTGATGAAATTTGTACCATTGCAAATTAGTCGCTAAACAATTTTAGCGACGGATTTTTCTTAATTAGAGATGAATTTTTCTATCACTAACTGTCATTTTCCATGTGAAGTCCAAGTTACCTAGGTTTTAGGCGAGGATCAAAATTGAGACTTCTAGAGTTCAGGTTGTGACTAGATATGCAGAGCTCATTATGCGGACTTGGATCAGATTCAGAATGTACAAGATTGGGTCTGAGAGTCAAGTTCGAAACTTCAAGGTTGAGTTGAGATTGGATACAGAGCTCTAAGGCATCTCGACAAGGATAACTCTACAATGCTTAGAGATCGGGTTAAGGGTACTCAAGTTTTGAGTTTGTGGAGTCCAGCAATCAATTTCAAAAACTCAAGTATCCAACTATACTACTAAAGTTATGTAGATTAAAAAAACAAAAAAGGTATTTAATAACAAATAAAAAACTGAAAAACTAAATATTTAAAAAAAAAATCCAAACAAAACCAAACACTGAAAAAGAAAATAGAAAGGACTCCAAATGGTCCCTGGATTAGGGTCGCCATCAGAGAAGAAGGGATCTAATCAAATTAACAATCAAACATATATAATTAATAGAAGTAGTTTCTACGGAAGGTTTGTGAAAAGGATAGAATTGATTAGAGAACAGAGGCAGCATATAGTTTTGTGTGACTAATGGCCTGATGGGCAATGGCGTCATGCCACATCAGACCTAAAGCCATCCAAGAGACGCGTGGACTAGCTAGGTCTATTGAAACTTTTTCTGTCAATGTCCCACCTTATGTGAATATTTGATTAACTCAAAATTAACCAATAATTTGACGGGTCTTACTATTTTTGTCTCATGGATTCATGCTTTCACTATTTTTTTTCTTTTTTCTTTCCCTATATAAGCATTTTTTTCCCATTTGATGACATGAATATTTTCGAATTAGTTGCTCAATGAAAATTGAATTTCTTTCTAAATAATTTTAGTTACGTATTCTTACGTGGAATTAATGTATTTAAATGAATTTAATAATTTTTTTGATATTATTTTAAAGATTAAATTTAAAAAAATTTCTTTAAGATTAAATGTATGTAAACACTAAGCCTCCTTTTGTTTGTTAGAAAACAATTTTCATAAGAAAATCAATTCCCGAGGAAGCTATTCTATAGAAAATTGTTTTACAAAAAAATATTTTCTGTCTTTTGGTAATTATATGAAAAAACTAGTGAAAAAATATATTTCAGCGTTTGTTTGATACGGAAAATTAAAATACAAAAACAATATGTAATTGTTACATCAACAAGTTTTGAGAAAACATAAAAAAAGCACATTCATAATTTCATAATATAAGATATATTTAGAAAAATTTAATAAATTTTCATAAATATTAACTCTAAAATTTTATTTAAAAAAAAAAAAACTTTTTTAACCATCAAACCAATTCATTAAAATTACTTAAGACAAAATCAAGTCAATATTCATATTTAGCCAAAAAAAAAAAAAATCTAAGTAATCCTAACATTGTTATTTTGGTAACTTCATTAAGATTTTTTTTTTTTAGAAATTGAACTGATAATTTAGTCTAAAAAATAATTTTATAAATTATCGATTATCATTTGTAGATAATTATTCATTTGGTTTCAAAAGATTAATGTTTGAATAATTTGTAACTAATTATTCACTATAATTACCAACAAAAATTTACAAATGATTAAAATTACAAATTATTGATTTAGTTACAAATGAATAGTATTGAAAAAATAATGTATTTATTAATGAATGAATTAATTTCAAATTTCTTATAAAAAATTACAGTCTTGTAATAATCATTTTCAATCATTTAAGTATAGTGTAAGTGGCGTTTGAGATGATACTAAAAAAATAAAAATAAATTATTAAAATATTTATTATAAAAATAATTTTAAGGTATAAAAAATCTATAAATCAAAAAATCAAATATTAGTAGAAATAGAGACAAAATAAAATAATAAATAATAATTGATAAGGTATAATTAAAAATTAATTTGATATATTTTAAATAAAAAGATGATAAAGAAAAAAATTGTTAAAATATATTGAGAGAAAGATAAGTAATGCGAGAGCGAGACAACTCGTGAGAAGGAAAATATTTTTCTCTTTTCAAACTGGAAAAATATTTTTTCAAAAATACTCTATCATTTTTTATTGATTGGAAATCATTTTCTATTGACTTTTTTCCTAAATACGAAATAAACACTGAAAAATGAGGAAAAACAAGTTTCGAAACCTGTTTTCTCCCAAACAAACACAGCCTAAGCTACAATAAATTAATAAGAAAATTAGTGATTACTTTTATTCTATTAATAAGACAAGGTCAGAAAAATATAACATGCATGGAGTCATCACCCATCATCCCATTTCAAAACCAAATTTCTACAACTATATATTATGGTTGAGGCAGCGACGTTTCATCCACAATCATAAAAAATATATATCAATTACGAAAGCAAGAAAAAAAAAAAAAAAGATAAAGCTTTAAGAGTCTTGGTCTCCTCCAATGATTCTTGGGAACTGATCAGTGATCAAATTAGTATATGGGGTATGATCTGCTTCCAGTCCAACAATGGTTTCCAATGAAAAACCAAATGATCTCTCTACACGTACGAGAGACAGAATCCAGACAGGATTTTTTTTCCAAATGATTGATGTAGAAAACCAAAGACAAGTAGTGATTAGGAACAAGGAAAATTTCAACAGACAAAAGAAACACAAGTATATATATATATATATATATATACTCACCTTCTGCACATGAAAGTCTAGCATAGCATAAGCCTATTACTGTTGGTGACTATAAATCCAAAGAGTAGACCAACCACGACAAACATTAAAATCCAAACATTTGAGCCTTGAGTTGTAGCAATTACCTGCTGACACAGAAAGAAAGAAATAAAATGTTGTGCCTAAGCTACATGTAGGCCAACCAAAAATAGATATTGTTTCTAGAGAGAATTAAGGTTCAAGCTGAGGACAACAAAGTCAAGACAATAAAACCCCAAGTTGTGCTTGTGGTGTAATCATAACGAACCGACTTGGCTTTGAATTTTAACTCAAAAAGAGTAAGTCACAAGTGGGCAGTAAGCTTTGAGGTTTTGACATGGAAGGAGAGGTAGCTATATATGGTTGGACCATCTAGAGAAATGGCCTAGCTAGTTTGGTGCATGGTGTGTATGGAATGAATGGATTAATAATATGTGTGGATATAAACTATCATATGGGAGTGGGAAAAAGGTGAAAGAGCATGCCCTAGATTTTGGAGAAAAGGGCACATCTTGGTATTACAATATAGAGCATTATTATATATATGGTAAAATATTGGTGTATGGGTTTATGTTACAAAGTATAGAAAAGGGAAAAGTAGAATGGAATTTTGGCAGGGATTGGAGAGGGATTAGGAGGCAAGGAATGTGAATAGAATGAGTTGGGGTGGATGATAGTGGGCTTGATGATGACGATGCACGCCGGCAGCTTTACTCATTTATCAAGCTATATCACTCTTTCTCTCTCCCAAACCCAATTGGCACGCCTGCTCCCACTAAAACCTATAACAATATTCTCTTCTCTCTTTCAATCTTTCTCATAGGACGAATGAAAAGCTAATCCACTAACCCATTTGCTGACCTAGACCCTGTTTTCTTTTTCATCTTTTTGTCAGATAACATTTCTATTTCTAAACACTAGCTAGCTCTTTCGTGCCAACTTCCCAATTAGTCTTTGCAGAGAAACGTATATTATGTTGATAAAATAATCAGAAGAAGAAGAAGAAGACTGGCCTATCTAGATTAAAGAATATCCCAAACCCCACCCAATTCGATTCACATCGATTTCACAAAAAGAAAAAGCACATTTAGTTTTCAGTACTCGTTTATGTTCCAACCCTTCTCTCTCACATAGTATAGAAGTAGTAGTAGGAGTAGTAATCTAATATATCTAATTATCTTATCTTAGACAAAAAAAAAAAAAAAAAAATCCAACTTCAAGATCCTCCCTTTTATAATTCTCTAACCCCAAAATTCCCAAAGTTAAAAACGCCCTTCCCTTCACCTTCACTCCAAGTCCCCCAACAAATTCCATCCAGATTCTATTGATGTGGGTCTCTGGATTTTGTTTAAATGGATACCTTGTTTAGGCTAGTTAGTCTCCAACAACAATCTGAGCAATCTTTGAACTCTACAAGCAGAACCTCTAGTAGCTCTAGATCATCAAGACAAAACAACAACAACCATCATCATCACTACCAACAAGAAGACGAAGAATGCTTCAACTTTTTCATGGATGAGGAAGACTTCTCTTCGTCTTCTTCGAAGCACTACTATCCTTATCACCATCAACAACATGCCACCACCACTACTCCTACAACGACTACCACTAACACTAGCACCCCTTCTCCTTACCAGGCCCTTGATTCCGCTGACTTCTCTTTCTCCCCTTCTCGTGACCTAAACTTTGAGTTTTCCGGCAAGTGGGCCACCGATATCCTCCTTGAAACTGCTCGTGCCATCGCGGATAAAAACAGCGCGCGTGTCCAGCAATTGATGTGGATGCTCAATGAACTTGCCTCACCTTATGGTGACACAGACCAAAAACTTGCTTCTTATTTTCTCCAAGCTTTGTTTAGCCGCATGATCGACTCCGGCGAGAGATGTTACCGTACTTTAGCTTCAGCATCAGACAAAACTTGCTCTTTTGAGTCCACAAGGAAAATGGTATTAAAGTTCCAAGAGGTGAGTCCTTGGACAACTTTTGGTCACGTATCTTGTAATGGCGCAATTATGGAAGCATTTGAAGGCGAAAGCAAATTGCATATTATTGATATTAGTAACACATATTGTACCCAATGGCCTACTTTGCTCGAAGCCCTAGCAACTCGCACCGATGAGACTCCACACTTGAGGTTAACCACTGTAGTGGCCACCAAGAGTAGCGGCGGTGATCATAATGGTGCAACTAGTTCAGGAGGTTTGGCTGCAGCTCAGAAGGTAATGAAAGAAATCGGTAACAGAATGGAAAAATTTGCGAGGCTCATGGGAGTCCCATTTAAGTTTAATGTTATCCACCATGCTGGCGATTTATGTGACCTAGACTTAGCTGGATTGGATGTTAAAGATGATGAGGCTCTTGCCATCAACTGTGTGGGTACTTTACACTCAATCACTCCACTTTCTAATCGCCGAGATTATTTTATATCAAGTTTTAGAAGATTGCAACCAAGAATCATTACTGTTGTTGAAGAAGAAGCTGATCTTGATGGGCTGCAGGATTTTGTTAAGGGTTTTCAAGAATGCTTAAGATGGTTTAGGGTTTACTTTGAATCATTGGAAGAGAGCTTTCCAAGAACCAGTAACGAACAGTTGATGCTTGAAAGAGCAGCAGGCCGTGCCATCGTTGACTTGGTGGCGTGTCCTCCGTCCGATTCGATCGAAAGGCGGGAAACAGCCACGCGCTGGTCCGGACGCTTTAATTCATATGGTTTTAGCTCGGTAATGTTCAGTGATGAGGTGTGTGATGATGTACGCGCCTTGCTGAGGAGGTACAAGGAGGGTTGGTCAATGACACAGTCCGGGGATGCCGGAATATTCTTGTGCTGGAAGGAGCAGCCGGTGGTATGGGCTAGTGCATGGAGGCCTTGATTGATTGATTGATGATGGTTCAAACCTTTTTTTTCCTTTTTCCTCTATCTTTTTTGCAAAGTTAATTGGAGTGATTGGCACGTTTGATGTGGTTTTTTTTGGCACGTGCATAAGGGAATTAATTTGCTTTTTGATTTCAATAGAAAATGAAGTAAATCAATTTTCATTGATGTTTGTTTAATTACCTTTTGTGATTATTTCTTATTTGTATGAAAAAAAATAGCTTTCGTCTTAATCATCATCATAGAAATATTTTTGATTCTATTATGTACATAGCTTTGCGTTATTCTAATCAATTAGTTAGGAATGAGAAATCTTTGGTGCTAAAGTTGATAATTTAATCAGTTTCTTTCATTTTTTTCATTGCAAGTTTCGTGAGTTTTAGCCTAACATAATTGAAATATATTCTTTCTCGTTACAAAATAACTAAATAAATTATAATTATAAGAAGTCGAAAAACATTACAATGTTCAACATAAGTGTGTAATTAAGACAAAAGGTAGGTACTCCTAACTACGACATAATATTTGCTTAATTTAGATGGTTGGTGTTGTCCTAATATACTTTTATTTTTGTTATGTGTACGTAAGTCCAAAATTGAAATGGGTTTGGTAAACGGTGTAATATAAAGAGAAATGATCAGCTCGAAGGTGCCATTAGGGTTGCAAATCAAGGATTTTTAATTAAAAATCAAACATGCTTTACTTAAACTATAGAAAGATCGTCATCTAATTAGAGTCCTTGGAATCTCAGGGCGGCAACTGGGTTGGGCTATGTTTGGAAATCTCATAAAAAGGTGTTTAGAAATGGCATCAAGATATAGTGGCCAGCATATGCTGTGTTGATATGGTCTTTCTAGTTTCTTTTAGGCCTATCATCTTTACCATACGGCTTTGGGAAATGCATGCCCCCACCACCGACCTTGTAGGTGGCCAACAAACTCTTTGGTGGTGGTCTAATAACGTTAAGGAGGAGCTACTTTTGGCCCACGAGAAGGCAAAAACATCATAATGGGAACTGCTTTTTAGGGTTCCCATCTCAATCTTTTGATGAGACTTGCCTCCTCCACGTTAACAGAAACATCCCTTTTATATTGCCACTTTCTTTTTCTCTTTAAATTATCCATTTTCTTCTTTACGTGTGTTTTCAGTTGGCTATGATTTTTTTAAAGGGTATTGGCCCATACCTATGTGTTTTCAGGATCGGCTATGAATTTTTAAAGGGGATTGGCCCATACCTCCTTTAGCTTTCTTTCTACTGTTGACTACGACCAGCTTCCTGTCGGTCTTGTATGAATATCATGGGACCAGGGAACTTTTTTCTTCTTTTTTCTCCTTCCAAAAATAATGCATTCTAGAGTTGAATCAAAATGGTCCTCTGACCAACAAATATCAAGGGATTTCTCTGTGCTTAATACCTTGTGAAAAGACCATTGCAAGTGCCTTTAGCTAAAAGAAGGAAAATATGATTAAAGCCGTCAGTTCTACTTGTCGTATCTCTTAGAATGCCATGCACTTCGCTTTTATCAAATTGCTCAAGGATCATAGCATCAATAAGCAATTTAGCACCCTCTTCTGTATTAATACTCCTTTGATCTGAAGATAATGCTAAGCATATAACTAGATATATTGATGATTATTTTATCTATTTTAAAAATAATTTTTTAATTAGCTCAAAAAAATTAAAAGATGAATAAATACTTCAAAAACCTATCGATTGAGCTATCTAAATAGATAATTTATTTTTTTATTATCGTAATTTAGTTTATTGTTTTTAGAAAGATTGGTGTTTAATTTATCTTCTTATTTGCATTCTAAAATGTTACTATAGCCACTTTCTCGTTAGCTCTTTTTTTATATATATATTAATCAATTTCTTTTAAAAAAATGCTAAGCATGTAGCATCTCGTAATCTTATAGTTTCCAAAACTTGTTGATTGGACTCTCTGAATAGATAGTTTATCTTTTTTATTGTTGTAGTTTAGTTTTGTTGTTTTTAAAAAGGTTGTTGTTTAATTTGTCTTCTTATTTATATTTTAAAATATTACTATAATGACTTTTTTATTGGTTTTTTTCTTTTTTATATATTGATCGATTTTTTTTAAAAAAAATGCTAAGCATGCAGCATCTCGTAATCTCGTAGCTTCTACAGTGGCTGCATTCAAGGATGAATTCATTTAGCCATAAGATTTAACATTGCCATGCATTTTGCATATCTTTCTAATGGCGACAGGGGTGAAGAAGTTAATGGACCGATTCCCACAGTGCTTTCGGCTGAATGACCTTGTAACGATTACAACAGAATAAAGGGATAAAGAAAGGAAAAGGAGACGATTCCCTTCTCTTTTTGTGAACGTTTTGGATAATCATAAAAAATAGGTTAACACAAACTGGATAATGATAAATAAAGACGAGTTGGTAAAATGAAAAAAAAAAAAAAGAGAATTAAAGATCTTGTCATTTCACGGATATATATGTCGACAATGTCATATAAATGTGGGTATTCTCAATTTCCAATCGAGTTAAAATTTTAACATTTTGATTATATATATATATATATATATATATATATATATATATATTAAAAAATAATATAAATTATATTTTAAAACTTTAACTGACAGTTTATTATTTTACGTGTCAAATAATCAATTCACTCAAAATCTCAAATGTAAAATTCCAATAAATATATAATTCTAGAGATATATTTTTGTACCTTTGTGCTTTTACATATTTGTCTTCTCTATTCTTATTTGTACTCCAAGTATGCCATTGTATCCTCCATATCCTTTGGAGTATTATTGTCTTTATATTATATTTTATTGTGTATGATAACTCCAAACACCTGTCGTCTTCGTTTTACAGGTAATTCTCTTGTGTCACCATTTAGGGTTATTGCACTAGGAAACCTTTCTCGTTTCTACTACCTTCAAGTGGTAGGGCTTCGGTTTCTGCACTCTCTCTAATATACCTGATTTTCTTAAAGAAAAATACTAGCAATATTCTCTTTAATATTTTTTTAAAAAACACTTGTTAAATAAAACTGTCCCTCTCAAATTCTTTTAACTGTCTCAAACATCTAAACAAAAAATTAACAATTAAAAAATAACTGATGTTTTATATTTTTTTTAAAAAAATTAAATTATAACTAATATCATATTATTAAAAAAAACTAAAACACTTCTTTTTATTTTTTTAATTTTAAAATTATTTGAAAAACTATTAAATTCAAAATAAGAGTTAAGATTTGCTAACATCATTTATTTTGTCCGAACTGTTGAGAGCCGATGGCCTTTTCCTGCTGTTGGGCGTCTTTCCTTCGTCAAAGGTTTTGACAAAGAACCCATCTTGACCCCTCCTGACAAGCGAGAGGCAGTTGCTTTGATTTGCCAAAAAGGTGGTTCTAGGTTCTTCGGATCTTATGCTTCCGTGTTGTAATGGTGTATCTGCCTTAATTACCACCGTCTTTGGTGTGAATCCCAACATTCCTTATTGATAATCCTCTTCTTGGTTTTGGACTGATTTGGTGCAGTGGTGACGATCAATCTTCCCAATCTTTTTAATTTTATACGCAATTGACTTGTCTTATCTAACTTTTTTGTGTTGTTTCTTCATATATGAAGTTCGAGAAAAAATGTTTTGCTCAATCTGAGAAGTGTCAGGAACAAATCAACCGAAGAGATTAAAAAAAAAAAAATCACACAACATAAAATTTATAAGATTTGACAAATTACACTTATTTCACGACTTTCACGACTGTATTAAAAGTTTTAACTAAATTTTTTTAATTAAGGATTTCAAATACAAAAGATATTATTCTATTTACGTGTTGATTACATAACAAACATATTAAATTATAGACTATATACACGTCATTCTTCGTATCTTAACAAGAGGTTTGCTCCTCTACCTCAAGATGATTTTCCTGCTGAGTTGCAAAAATATCGAGCTATCCTTCTGGACCTTGATGTAAAAGGTCAAGGGAAGAAATGCCAGCTCTTTGTTGATTGTATTGCGAGCTCATCAAGAGGTGTTGCTCGCCTTGTAGAAGTGCCTGGTTTTGATGATAAAAGAATCCAAATATGTCTTCAGGCCGAGATGGTCATTGACACGGACCAACACGTGAACAAACAAAGAGATCGTAGTGAAATTGTATCGACACGCATTTACCCTTAATGATCAGTCCTTTACGAGGTAATAGACCATATCTGATCTTCAAGCCAACTTACATATAAAGCTTTTCTCTATGATATGCATTTTCTTTTCTCTTTCCTCTCTTCGTTTTTTTTTTTTCTATATGTCTGTTTTTATTTACCTCACTTGTTTCTTTCCGAGACTTTTTTGTTTGCATCCGAGCTGAATGCTTCCGTAAAATAGCAATAAAAATTAGTGACAAATAAACCTTTGTTAGTAGATAATGAGCAAATAGTGATGAAATAGTATCTATTGGAATCGGTAACAAAATAGAGACAGATTTATTAGCGACATAAACCAATCCTTGCTAAATTTGATGACAAAATGTTTCAAGAGTTTTAGAAATGATTTAACGACGGATTTATTAGGAAAAATAACGACGAAATTGCTTATCTATCGCAATTTTCAATCTTTGGATTTATCGATGGATATTCCATCACTAAAATAAACATCCTTTGTAAATTAGTGATGAGAACGTTCGTCACTAAAGATGAAAATTTTGATAAACTTTTTGAAAGTCAAAATCATCAATTAGCAATGTATTAGAGACAAACACTTAAGTGCATCACTATAAGTCAAAAAATCGATGGCCAAGTGTAATAAATTAGGCACCCATTTTGAGACAGATTACCGACGAAAGTAAGTGTTTGTCGCTAAATAGCGATGGATCCGTGAGAGGATCCCGTCCATCGTTATTTTGCAATCCCTAATTAAACCACTTTCTTCTTCTTTCTCCCTCATTTTCTTCTCCCTCTCGCTCTTTTCTTTTCCAAAAAACCCCTTCTTTTCCTTCCCTCTTATTGGGGTAATGCCACTCAAATTTTTAAGCTTTTTCTCTCCTTTGTTTCATTAATTAAAGTTAATAATTTATTATAATTGTTAGGCTAATTTTAAGTTTAATTGCTTGATTTATGATTTTGTATATATATAATTGTTCTTTTGTTGATTTATTAGTTAAATTGTTAATTTTTTTTAATTGTTAGGTTAATTTATTGATTAATTTGTTAAATTGTTAAATTTTGTTAATTGTTAGGTAAATTTATTAATTAATTATAATTTAAATTTAATCAAAATTGATTTTTAATTAATTAAGTTAATTTTGTGTATGTTTAGTTAATTATTTAGGTTAATTTTGTTTAATTGGTTGAATTAGAATAAATTTGTTAATTAATTATGATTTTATTAATTAATTGCCTATTTTTTCTTAATTAAGTTAATTTAATTTTTATTTTAAATTTAATTTGGTTAGAATTAGAATTAATTAATTTAATTTGATTTATAATTAATCAATTAATCAGAGTTAATTTTGTTTTATTGGTTGAATTATAATTTTATTGATATTAAAAATCCATGTGTTTCTATTGATTATTGTTTTGTAATAAGTAAACTTTTCCTATAAAATGATAATCTTAGCCCCACAAGTATTTTAATTTGATGATTAGGATGATTTTTATTGTTGAACAAAATTATTTCTTTAAAATCAATTTTTTTTTCAATAAATGAAGTTTTTCATCTTGTAATTTCCTACATAAACTCATAGTGTCAATGTGATGTAATTTTAGAGGACGGTTATTCAATGTGTGAATGACAAACACACAAGATTTGGTTAAGAGGAGGACAAATAATATAATACAGTATAAATGATTCTAGAAAGAAAATGGTATAGCCAGCAATCTGAAAAAAGGCATCCATCTTCCATAAGGTTGAGGTTTTTGACAAATAACATTTATATTAAACCCATATTAATAATTAAAATTAATAAAAAAAATCATAAATATTATACTATCAGTATTCATTGAATTATTTATGGAGACTCATTTTACTATGGTCCAAGACTTATTTCTATCGTGCTGTCTTTTTTTTTTTTTTTTTTTTTTTTTTTTTGGTTAGCTAGCAAGTTTAATTTTTTTTCTATTGCTTTTAATTTTTTTTAACGTGTACTGTTCAATAATTCATTGCTGACATTTTCATATGAAATTAATTTATAACATGTAAACATTACATGCCACTTTTTATCTATGTGTTATTTTATTTTATTTTTTTCAAAAACCTTGCAACATTTCCTCTGTTATTTGACAGACATCCATGAGTGAATACCAATGAATTACTCATCAATGTCTGAGATCAAATATTTTTACTTTAATTGATGCATGGAAACAAAGTTCCTATAGAATAAATAAAAAATATTGTAAATACAGTAACGTCAATTGATATTCTGAATCGTTGGGTATAATATTTTAACAATTGCTTAACAATCTTCATTCAACTCAACTCATCTCCTGTAAATAATATTCAACCACCCAGAACGGAGTGCGAGATGCTAACTGGTAGAGTTCTAAACTAAAGTACTTAACCAAATTAAAAAAAAAAAAGTGTTTACTGTTACTACATTATTCACACATTCAAAAAAACAATGTTCATTAGATGATATTTTTTGTGATTTAAGTGAGTGACATTTTCGTTATTTTAAGTTTTTTTTTCTTCAGATATTTAATATATCCATAACCCTATTCAACCCCCTTATTGTGCATTGAGTGTTCTTTTTTTTTTTTTGAATTTTTTCAGACATTTTACATGTAATTTTTTTACTCATGTTGTTCTTTCATTCCTTTTTTTTTTTTTTTTTTATCAACAACTTTATTTGTATTGTAATCGGTCCCTTAATGCTAAGAGAAGAGAGAAATAAAAAGAGAGATCTATGTATGGATTTCTTAATGAATTTTTAGAATATTGTTATTTGCTCTAAAAAAAATTGATATAATTTATATAATAAACTCTTTTAATTTTTAAACAATAGTAACTGGGTTTATATATATAACCATGCTACTATCATCTAAAAATTTAGAGCAAATAATCATATTCTAAAAATTCACATATATATATTTCTAAAAAAAATAATAATAATTTACAATATATATAAATTTAATTTAAAGATTAAAAAAAAATTTCATATAATTTTTCTTAGATTTTTTAGGAAAAAAATTATAAAAAAAGTTTTAAGTAAAGCATCCTTGGATTTCTAAATTTTTTACAAGTTTTAGGTTAAGAATCCAAATGTAGAATAATAAATCATGTTCTTTTTAGCATAAAATTTATGAAAAACAAATAATTAGTCAAATATAGATTTTTTAAAAGAATTAATTTTTTTATCTTCAATTTGATATATTTTAATAAATCCATAGTATAGCACGGACCATCAAACTAAATTATTTTAAAAAATAATTCTACATGTTCTATCCAATCTATAAAATAATGTAATCTAAATCATATAAAGGGGGGACTAATATTGGACTTGATAGCATGCAATATGACCTACCATAATATTATGCTCCCACAAATCAAACCATGCCATGTCATTTTCAGTTGTAAATTGCTCCCACACTTCTCATTATTTATATTCATTTTTCTTGATTTGATAGGCCATTGTTTCTATCATTCACAGCACTAACGTGTTATATCTTAATCGATTTACCGACTGATTGTTCGATTTATTCTCAAGGATGCTGACAGAAACATCACATGAATTGACTTTGCATTCGGAGTTTTGTTAACTAGTGTTATAGGTGAAAGCCAAAGAGAGGGAAAAAGACATTGAGAGAGAATGTTGCTTTATCAATGTTTATATTATTTGATGAAAAAGACATTTATCCTTCAAAAAAGAAAAAGAAAAAGAAAGAGAGAAATCTTAAAACAAGCAGTAATTTGTGTACAAATAAAAGTGGGAGAAGAAACCTAGTCATACAGATTTCTTGGATGCATGTGTAGATATTTCGAGCACAGTCACAACAAGCAATCATGCAAACAGTTTTGGGTTAAGAGATAAAGGAGAAACCAGGTCAAGCATTTCTTCTCGCAAATGGATATGGCGATATGTTGAGCTTAATGTCACATGAAGCACACTTTGCCTGTGCGGTTTACCAGTCGTATCCATCCAATAGAATTGATGACCACTAAGCCACATGAATATAGACACATAGCCGCTGTTCTTCAAAATCCAAGATCGAAAGTTGGCAATTCATCCGTTTTGCGTGCACTCTTGAGCTGATCAAGAGTCTTCCTTCTATCATCATTAGGTCCATGAGTGCAGGAACTCACCAAACTAGAAATACTAGAAGCAGAAGCTTCATCACAACATTTGGTGTCAGCTTCAACATTGGCTGGATGACACTGCACAATGATTTGTAAGAAAACATTTTCAGAACCACAGAGCTTGTAAAGTAGTAGGATTCATGTTTCTATAATGATAATAATACTTGTGAACTTGGTAAGAAACAAAATGGTCTAGAAGTGTATATAATTCATGAATTTGGACTACAGAGAACAGACGATATACTTGGAGGTTTGAAGAGATGAGATGAATCTTTGCAACCATAATCATCTCTCTATTTCGATGTGCATATCTGGGTGTGGATTTTTTACTGGTTTTTCTGTGAAAGGGTTGAAATCCTCAACTATTCAGGCTTCAATTAGTTCAGAACAATCACATGGTTGTACACTTTGTCGGGGTGGGAGGAAAATTTTTTTAGCACAAGGACAACTATGTGGGTACACACGCAGAAATAGGACTTTCAGAGATTATTAGAAAGCCATAGCCCAAACCTGGTCTGAAATTCCAGCAGCTTCAGGGTCATTGGGAAATTGATTACCACTAAGAGCAGATATTACTGTAAGATTAAAAACAGCCAGATTCTCAAATTTTAGATATTAGAAAAGACATGGCCAAGAAGATTGGGCAAAAAGAAGCATTGCATAATCACATATTGCATTAAAACCTGCCTTGGGAGGAATTGAGATAATCAGATATCTCAATGTCCATAATTTTACTTGATCCTCTAACATCCATATTTTGACTGGGTCCTTCATGTGGCAATGATTGTCTCGGTAATTCAGAGTGTTCAGATAGAATCGGAGCATTTATGCTCTTATCAACACACTGCACAGCAACACTCCCTTGAATAACAGGTTTCTGGAGAACGGACAATATTTGACGGGCTGCAAAGGTGAAAAATTGCACTTAGTTCAAGCTTAATCAATACGGCAAACCATCATAACCACAACTGTGAATCACAAATATGCAATGATTGTGACCCATTTAACTTTATTTCACACAAAATGTAAAACGAGCATTTGCAGAAGTTGTTAATTTGCAATGGATAGACTATGCTGATGCTGCTTGACGAATACATTCCAAAGTTGACTGACTTATGCCCAATGATGGAATGACATAAACTCTCCAACCACAACAACTATTTTAGATAGTAGAACCAGATGTACAGGAAGTTTTTATACGTACAAAACCCATAAGGTACAGAGAATATATCAAATTCAGAACTCGATAATGTTGTGAAATTGGTGAACCAAGGATAATGAACCCACCATCGCGTAAAGATTTGTGTTTAGCATTGCATAAGTTGGTTCTTTCTTCAATAGACACGCTTCTTGAATTTGCATCTTCCCTTAAAAAATAAGTGTTTTGATATCTTCCTGTCAAGAAAAGAAAATTCACAAGTTTTCAGCTACAATAGCATTAAATTACAGACACAAATAAAAGGGCAATGCTCTCCATCCAATAATGTTGAGATATCTGTGATGCGTACCATCCTGCAAAGGATTCTTAGATAATTTCATCTCCTCAGCAATGGACATGCTAAAATTTGAGTCTGCAGCTTTTGTTGAACAAGGATTGTTTTGAAGTTTCTCTGTAGGTGAAATCAGGACAAAAGATCAAACCCCAAGATATTACTAAATTCCAAGGGCCAAAGCAATGGAAATAAAAGGTTAAGCAAACTCCAAGCATTAGCGAACCAATACCTTCAGAACTCATTAATGGCTCACCAACTTCTACCAAATATTTTGGCAGTGCAAGCATACTTCCAACTTTCACATCTTCTGACAAGCTGAGGAACTTATTGGCCAGGATGGTTTTATCTTCATTTAATAAAGTAACCTGGCAATGCTAAAGGTTTAAGAAAAGCAGAAAGGAGGAGGGGGGGGGGGGGGGAGCGAGAGGGCAAACAACTCTAATTCCTTGAATAATCAAGTACTATGCAAATGAATATGGTTACTGAAAGAATACTTTCATCAGAGTATGGACCATGTACTGGTGCCTTCTTGAAATATAAGGTTAGTTTATAATAGTTGTCTTTCTCGAATTCTTGGCAGTTCTTACAGGCACACCTCACAAAGTCACAAGCATTGAACTGAATCATTGAGCAGAGACCTTGAAGTCATGACTTTCTCCCAGATACAGAATTAATCAACAGATTTTGCACAGAAAGTCAATATTAACATTGTTCAAAACCCTGCAAGCTACCACCTCTGTTAAATGGAAAACCATCTGGGTAAACCAATTTCCAATGACACTCTCCCTGCCTAAAGTAAATAGACATTGTATATAAAAAAGGCTTTGAGTATATAAATGGTTATCCAAACTAAGAAAGGTCATGTACTTAGAAAAAGCTTCATTACACCATGAAAGTACATGCAAGTGGTTCAACATTAAATTAGGAAAGCAAACCAAAAGTAACTACAAGATGCAGCACTCTGAATCCTAGGAGCAGCTAAGAAAACACTCAGGGAGCTTAGATATAATGTAAAGCTTGGGACCAACCTGCATTCTGTAAGAACCACAAGAAGCAAGCCTGAGGATTCCACTGTGGTACTTCTTGGCCTTTTGAGTTATATGATTAGTGTAAAGAGCATGCCACTCTGCATTGCAGAGGAACCAAGTGCGAAAGGTAGAGAGGTAAAATAAAAGTTTGATTATCAGTGTAGAAACTTTATACACGTGGAATGCAAAAGATATAAATAGGTGTATGTTGCTACAATAGAGAGAAGCAATTTTAGGGTAGTGATAACTAAGAATGCTAGAGGGATAATGGTGATGAGAAATTGATCTTTGTTGATAACCTTACATAGAAGAGACCACTGATTAAACAACTACCACAAGAAAGAAAAGAATCCAGATCAATGTTTGTGCTGACTAACCTTGAGCAACAGATTTGTTGTCTTTAATACAATTAGGCTGTCCATGCATTATTCCTGGTTTGCTAACATCATTGAAAATTTTTTCTTGAATGTTCAAATCCTCTAGAAGCTGATTTTCTCCTTCAGGTTCTCCAATGTCAACCAAATGAGCATCAAATGATATCGATTCACCAGAACTTATTATTTCATCTTTCTTGAGGAACCTACAATTCAATTGGTTCTTGCTTGCATCATACAGCATGATCTGAATGTACACCCAAAACGATGCTTGAGATTAATTGTTATAAGAAAGAGGGCAAAACAACTAAAAATAATGCAAGTATAGAAAATTCAGGCATAGTTGTTTAACATTTTTTTTTAGTAGGTTAAGTGGTAAATAAATTATCTAGTAAATAATTGATCAGAAGCAAAGCTTCAGGAGTGCATTATTTTCTTAGAAATCAACAAACAAGATGATTAGCCTTGCAACTAAGACTTGTTTACTTAAGTCCTCAAACTAACCTGCCTCCCCAAGGATCCACAACTTGCAAGTCTTAAGAAACCATCGTGGTACTTCTTGGTCTTTTGAGTCATTTGTGTAGTGTATAAGACCTGCCATTCTGCATGAAAAAGGGAGCATGTTGACCATAAGTTTTCTAAAAGTGATGCAGATAGCACAAACATAACAAATGAAACAGAATGCTGAGTGAGAACCATCTTATTAATTGTAAACAGAACCATCATAAAAAGGGAGTCTTTTGGTGTGCAAATCAAGCATGATATCATGCATTGCTGTTAGAATCTTACACAACAGCTTCACCAACCCATCCATGCACATAAAGACTATGACCATCTTAACTGCAGCTCCCATGTATAAATGAGCACTAAACTGGTCTGTACGGACCCAAATGAGTTGGTGCCTGCAGCATACCATCTGAACCAGATATGTAGTGCTTGGTTCTTGCAGGTTTGCCAAGTACTAATTTACCTTTTCGATATTCTAAATGATTCGACATGTGAATTTGCTACAAAAACACAGATAAATTATAAAACAATAGCTGTTCTTTTTATTCTAAACAACAGCAAAGTATTAATAACAAAGAACACAGTTTTTAGATTCAACATAAATTAATTGCATAAGTTTAGCCATAAGGCAAAGTATCTGTAACCATTCTAGTTGCAAAAGCAGATTTAATAGAAACTATTATATGGAGTGTTGTTAGAACTGCAAGCTGTTGTGCTCACAGTTGTGTGCTTCATTTTTCTTGAACTTGAAACAAAATGAACCATTATAGTTTGTTTATGGTGTTTCATCTGAAGCAATGAAGTAGCTAGTAAACCATTAAGCAAGATAGGATTGAAGGAAAATTCTCATCCTTCAGGTGAATAACTGGGTAAGAGCAACTTACAAGCACAGGATATTCAAGGCCAAGAGTCAGTGAATCCCCAAAAAAGGGGAAACGAGGATAAGTTCTTCCCTACTGTAGCAGATTCAACGACTAACCTGTTGCACTTTTGGGCATATCTGGACTGCTCTCTGGCATTCCATACCTTTGCAGTTCACTCTTCTTGAACTCTAAAACATAAGCAACCATCACAACTTAGCCACCATACAAGCTCAAATACAAACTATTATCCAACTCACATCCATAAGAAGTAGCATTTCGATAATGTCATCCTAAGAAAATCTAGAGAACACATAATGAGAATCATTTCCACAACAGTAAATCCATCAAACCATAAAATAACGCAAACTAACCTCTGATAATCTTTTGGGACGTGCTTAGACAAGCCGTTCGTGCTTTATTCTTCTCCACGCTATCCTTTCCATCTTTGACCACCAAAAAAAAAAAGGAAAGAAATAGCGATATATTTAAATGTCAAATTATCAAATCAACAAATTCAAAAACAAAAAATAGCTAACATTACTACCGGAGGAAGAAATCGAAGGACTTCTAAACTTTCGTCGACGCATGACACTAGTAGGCCTTTCGGTAATTTTCCTATATCTGCCTGGAAAATTCAAATCTGATACAGGCGGCGGCTTATCACCATCGATACGAACCTCAGCATCTCCAACATCGACAAGGAATGCATTGAATGTTAGAGTTTCACCGGAACCAACAACTTCTCCATCCTTCAAAATTCTGCATTCTAATAACTTGTCGCAGTCATCAAACAGCATGACCTAAACACGAATTGGACAAACGAAGCAAGAGCAGAAAAGAAATTAAGAAACCCTAATTTTTACGAAACTAACAATGAGATGCACAAATTACATGGAATTAAAAGCTCGGAAAATTTTCTAAACCTTGTTTGTGGAGAAGTGAAGGTCTAAGAAACCGTCTTGATAGATTTTTCGCTTTTGCTTGATGTGCTTCGTGTAGGTTACGCTCCATCTCTGCTTCTTCTTCCTATCGATATCCTCCATTGTTGAAGTGTTTTTTTCGGTTTCAAAAACGCAGTTTCTATTTGGCGGGAAGGAAAAACAAATATCCGCCGTTTGGAAAAGCTTCTCTCTCTCTCTCTTCTTTTTTCTTTTTTAAGTATCCGAATTTAAAAGCTCAAACTAATATCCGGATTATTATCTTTTTCTTTAATCGGATGTACAGAATAAACATAATTATCTAATAAGCTTTTTATATATAAAAAGATTTGAATTCGAAATCATTTATTTGAAAGGATTAAAACTTTTTTTATACAAACCAACTTTTTGTATTTGAAAAAAATCATTTTTGAACATCTTAAATCTTAAATCAATCTAAATAATGTGATGTACTAGAAACAGTGTCATTTCCAACCGTTAATGGCCAATCCGATCAGTTTGCTCTACATAATCAAATGCTTCTTGTAAAAGTTGCTCTTTTTCTTTTTTGCTCAAGTTTTAGCAACTAGTGCTAATTATTTCTTCTTCTTCTTTTGTACTTGTACTAGACCTAAATATAAATATAAAGACATATTGAGTTAATTCTCTTTATTTTCAATGATGTTTTGAACAATTATTTACTTAATTATAAGCTTAAATTTGATTAATAACATGAAAATCTTGAGATTCACAACATTTTCAAAATCTTGTAATAGGTATTTCCATTACAAAAGACTTGCTGCATTGTCGATGGAAATCCTCTATTCTCTTAATTATGCATTGTCACTCGAAGTCCTCTTAATTAAGGCTAATCATAAAGACTCAAAGTCCTCTTAATTGAGACCGATCACAAAGAACTAACAACATACACCCTTCCTAAAATCTGAAAACATGGACGATAAAGAGCGAAACATAACCAATTAGCAATTAAGCTAATCCTCCAAGGTATTGGAAGCAAAGTTTTAAATAACTATCGTTATATAACGGTTTTGAAACATGCCGTTATCATTATTTCAATATTATAGTTAATCACGATCTGTAATGACGATCACAATTGTTTTTTCAACTGTTCACGATTTAAAACTATGATTGAAAGGATAAAAAAGAGGCCACTACATAATTTGAAGTGCTAAAGATGGTGGACTGAAAATAACGTCTTTACTTGCCTGACAAACACAACACAACTTGTCACTTGATGAGCCACAAAGAGAGAGAAAAAAAAAAAAAAGGTAATGGTAGAAGAGAGAGAGCTTCCCCTTCTTGTCTATCTCCAAAGTGTTGAAGAGGGAATTGTTATTTGATATTCAAAGATAACATTGTATAACCTTTCAACTGTTTGCCCTCGCCACAAATAGAGATTCACATACAAGTGAAGCTGAGAGAACTGGTACAACAACTGGGATGCTATTAGGAAAATTTGAATGTCATAAATAGGGTATATGGGCAGACATCCACTCACCCTCCCCAGAAAGCTAATATTAACAGTGCCTAAACGAAAAGATCTATGAGCTAAAAGCAAAAGATTTTTAATTAGAGGAAGATGGTGATAGAATAAGCATACGAGCAATCACATATGATACAGTGAAGGATCGATAACAAATAAACTTGTCATTTCAACCCACTCCACCCAGAAGGAAGTCTCCACTTTCTATGCCAGTAAATTGATACTCTTGACCATATTGGGAATCCAAAATCGTAATCTAGTGGTCGATCAGCAGGCCCTCCAACTATCAAAGGTAACCACACATACCTTGAGTTCCTCAAATCTGCTGGATTCCACCGATCTGCCATAAAAATAAATGAACCTGGAAGACCTGTCAAAGGAATTACGTATGTACTTTGCGCAAAAAATGTTGTCTGTCGAAACATTTTGTTCCCTCCAATGCATGGGTTTCCCATCGTTTCCCATGGTCCCATGATTGACTCTGCTGCATGGGCTAGGGCCTCATTTGGCGCCCAGCCAGTGCACCCAGAAGTGATCATGTAGTAAGTCCCCTGGTACTTGAATAGAGCCGGGGCCTCCCTGTGCTGTCCAATTAGAATTCTTCGCACAACATGTGTGACATCAAGATAATCTTCTGTAAGTGGTCCAATGTGAAGCTCACTATTTTCCTCAGAGGAATATACAACATATGCTACACCATCATCATCCTTGAAGATTGTCATATCCCTGCTTTCGAATCCATGAGGCCGTTTGCTGTGGAGATAGTTGAATGGACCAGTAGGATAATCGCTAACGGCAATACCAACAGCAGCTTTGGTGTAGTTGGTATCATCAATATGCATCCACATTACGTACTTTCCTGTTTTCTCATTGTAAATCACTTTTGGCCTCTCGAGCACATTGGATTTATGGAGGTCGTGGGTTTCATTTGCCTCTTCTGCTTCCAGTACGACACCCTCATTTTTCCATGTCCAGAGGTCCTTAGAGGAATAGCAACCAACTCCTATGATGTCCACCTGAACAAAAGTGCATAGAAGGACCCCAGTGAGCTCCATGTGCTTGATAACTGAAGTATAAACTACATTATAGGCTAATGGAAGCATAAGACATATGATTAAGAAACAAACACAAATATAAGTATAAAGTGCTGGATAAAATGACAAGCGATATTGGAAATATGAAAATAAATTTCCTGCTCATATGATAATTTAAGGGAATCTTCGATAATAAAAAAACACTTTATGCATTAACACTTTGTTAGGAATCAAAAATTAATAAATCTGCGAGTATTTTACAACCTTTCAAAACTAGAAACATAAATAACACTATCTTCCCCAATTTTGAAAACCTCGTAACAATGTTTAAAAGTGCAACAGTAATGTATGATAACGCTGTACTGTATGATAGATAAATAAATAAATAATCAAAACAATCTTTTGGCAGTTCATGAATATTAATGATAAATAGAGAATGCTGAGAGCTGAACATAGGTTTACAACTGCTCCACGACAACAACAATAAAGCCTCATGGGGAATGCTAAGGACAGCTGCCTTAGACACTCTCTCTAATATGAAACCACATATGGTTGAAAAAAGTATTTTTAAACCTATGAACAATAAATACTTTTATCATAGTAAATGAGAACTTTTATTTTCACCTTTTTTTCTCTCTCTCTAATCTCCCTCTCTTCTGTACCTCGTTCATCTCTCTCTCTCCCATCTTTTCACAGTGATCAAACCTACAAATCTCCACCCTCTCAATATCACCAAACTCAAATTTGTTGATTTAACTATCCTTTAGAAAAGACAAGACATAGTTTGAGAGTGAGAGAGGGTATTCAAGTATTAACAACTCATTGAAAAATCTGGAAAGAATCATGGTTTTCTGTTTAAATCTTGAATATTCAATGCAATTAGTGAACACTTAGAAAATGTTGATTTTTAGTTAATTGCCTCTGTAAGGTAGGCTACTAGGAATGAAGGACATTTCTATTTTAATTAAACTGCTTGTTTCCATTGTGTAATTTTAATTTGAGGATGACTTCAATACATATTGTAAAAATACAGCATCTTAAGTTCTAGTAAATGATATTTGGGGTTGAAAAAAAAGGTCTTGTCTTTTATATATATATATATATAGAAAAAAGCATCCATATTAAGATTTGTTTCATTGAGTTCCCTTTGATTGCAGAAAGTGAATCGAGAAGGATAAGGAGTGATAGCTATGTTAGGTGATTGAAAAAATAAAGGTATTAGCCAGTTATAGGTTTTCATCAAACATCCAAAATACATGTGGCTTCACATTAGAGAGAGTGTATAAGGCAGCTACCCAAAGCAGCTGTCCTTAGCATTCCCCAAGCCTCAATCCCAAACTAGTTGCGGTCAGCTATATGGATATTTTCGCTACATTCCGCACAATCATATACCAAATCCACCTCAATATAGAGAGCTTTTAAATCCTTCAGAACCACTTCCATCCCATTAAAAACATCTCAATAAAATACTTATAATCGCCCATTTGAAGTTTGATTACCTCGAAGGTACATTACAGTCCATCAGTTCTAACATCTTGATTGTGGAATTGTTTTAACTTGGAAAACAGTCTTTCAAATGATTTTCACAGGCTTTAGTTTAGGATTATTCAAGCAGGAGTCAGTTATCCTAAGCCAAGAAATCGACATAAAGCACAAGTAAATATGTCTAAGAAGCAAAATGTATATTTTTCCATCTTAGTTCAGATAAGGTGAGAGCACATAATCTGAGGCATGCTACACATTATGTGCAAGAAAATTGCACAATCTTCTGATCAGTGGGTTTCAAAACATTATGGATACAGGGAATGATGACATTTAGTACAGTTTGCTTTAAAAGGTTAGACTGGCTTGTGGAAAGATTGAGTTAAAAGATGGTGACCAGATAATGAACATGTGAATCAACAGTGATTTTATTAGCAGATACAAGCTTCAAAATGGGCAAGCATTTTTGAATGCTATTAACATCATTGCATATTGGATGGTCAAGCAGTGCCACAGTCACTCTTAACAGTCTAAATACAATGAGTTCCCATATGATATTAACTTCGGTATTGCACTCAGACTTACAGGGGCTTTTAGGCCGCATATAATATCTTGAAGCTATACAATCACTCCAACTTGGATGATGGGAGACTAAAATCGTTTTATTGGTTTAAAACTTGCCATACTTGGACCCTGGCACATGATCTCTAAAACGCACACCAACCAACACCCCCCCCCTCCGAAACGAAAAATGAAAAAAAAAGCACACAAAAAACAGATTCAAAAAGCCAAACCCATATAAAAAGTCATGCTGATGTTGTCGATCAAATTAATACCACATCATTACTCCTAAAAAGACCACCTACTCCAACTGAACCTAGGTCTCCTAGAAGTGGCCATCAAAGTTGAGACTAATTCAGTATGACAGCAGATTCCATATATAACAATTACTATTGAAAAGATGCGGGACTTTGGGATTTTATTGCATCTTGGTAAAGACAATTCCTTCCCAATTTCAAGCTTCCTAAATGAGAAAAACACAATACCAGAGGCATCCCAGCACAAGTAAGAAGAATTCCAGTTGGGCATGTAAATCACATGCAACAGTTCCACAGTGAAATATGGACTACTGCTAGAAAACCAATCTAAAATTTAAGGGCAAGATAATGCGAATAGCTAACTTACCCGTGCTGCTCCTTTTTGTGAGCATGGTAGGTAGGTCCATCTTTATATTCTCCATACCAATAGTAAGTCCTTGAGCTTTCATCGTATAGAACCCCACCTCCATGTGCTTGAATAGGACTTCCCTCAGTGTCCAACCAAATTCTTCCAGGATAATAGTTGAAACTATCATTCCCAGAATCCTTCATTGGATCTATAGCAGTTTTCATATCAGGAAAGAATACATGTCTAAGTTGGGAATTCTCATCAAGAAATTCATCAATCAGTGTGGTCTGCCTCTTAGGCCTTCGCTTTGCTGCACGTGGGGACCTTTTTCCTCTCACTGGAGGTATTTGAATATTCTCCTCTTCCACCTCTTCAAGTTCACGGAAAACAGGGTGATGACTTGTACGAAATTTGACAGCTCCACCTTTTCCACCATTGTGGCCAACAAGGGAGTATATGTGAAGGAACAGCAGAAATCCCACCAAGCTCCATATGACAACGGACGGTGAACATCTGCTCCCTGCATTGCAACGGAAAGTGGTTGGTTTCCTGTATTTGTTCCTCATCGTCATTTTCTCTCCTCTTTTTAACTCCACGATAATGCTGCAATTAACAAAATGCAACCTATGGAGATCCAATGAATGCTGCCAAACACAAGTCACAAACAATCTAATCTATATTTGATAAAATAAAACTTTTAACTTCATGCAAACTACAGACCAAATCCAGATCAAGATTAGAACTTTAAAGATGGAGTTAAATGAATTGACTGAAATCAAATCCTGATTATAGTGTAAAACACTCATTTTACCATCTGTACATAGGTTTCTTGACCTTATAATTTCAATCAACAGAGAACCTTTTACAATAAAAGGAAGACCTTCTCGGATTTACAATCCAGAGGATCATTATCTAGTTTAGAATGATGACATAAAAAGAAGAAAAAAAGTAATAGAACTATAAAAATTTCACCAACCTATTACAAAACCCACATGGCCATTTCCCTATCAATTCAATATAGCAATCAGTATAAAACCCCTTACTGCAATAGCCAAAAAATAAAAAATAAATAAAAAACACAATCAAGCCATTATCCAAACAAAAACATGAAAGTAATTAAGTAAAGATAATAGAAAAAAAAAGGGGAGCAAATGCAAAAAGGAACAAGAAGACGAGCTGGCAACAAACCAAGAACTAATTAAAGACCAAAGTCAAATAACTTACCTGAAAAAAAACGAACCATGAGTTGAAGAGAATTTCCAGGCATGGTTTCACTTTTGATGCTCTTTTGAGGTGGCAACAACAAGAAACTAGTTTAACAAACCAAGCAATCCATAGCGTACCCTCTTCACTGTATCATCCAATATGAACAAAACCACTCATCTAAGTACAGTGAAGTCAAAGAAAGAAGAAAAGAGAAGTGGGGTAGTTGGTTTCTGGCCCAATTTGGATCTGAAGAAGAGGTTGTTGTTGTTGATGATGAGATGGTGACTTGAGACCAAAGATGGTATCTTTCTTTCTATAACAGCGTGAGTTGGGAGATTTTGATTTCTCAATACGATATGCCTAGAAGAAGATGTGTTAGTGTTACTGTAATCAATCTAATAATGATGAGTTTGGACTTCCTTAATTTCCTCTTAAACATTGCCCAATAATAGAACTATGATTTTTATTTTTATTTATTTTTTAACATCCAATGGTATTTTGACAGTTGTTCTCAAATAGAGTCAAAGGTAGGTAGCTAATAAGATATCCATTTTTTGACCTTTTTTATTTATTTAAATCTTAAGAATAACACCAGAAAATTTAATAAATTTTCATTTCTTAATGTTATGTATAATTTTTGAAGTTCAACCCTTTTTTTTCCTGTAATTTTGCCACTCCAAAAAGATAAAAATTTTATTATTCACAACGAATAATAAATTTTATAGTATAATGAAACTTAAGAATCCATGTAGTTTGCAATAAAATTGCATTTAGTTATTCTATTGCCTTCCATTTTTTACTTTTTAAATTAGCTTGATGAATTTACCTAAAAGGAGTCACTTTGACACCCATTTAAAGGCACTTGCTCTATCATTTTGCCATGTCTCCCCTAAAAATATGAAACCAAATTATACCTTTTTACTTTTTGTGACCAAAGATTTATATGTTTTTTTTTTATGTTATAGATATAACTATTTTTTTATCTGCGTTATGCTACGGGTCTAACAAAATACCTAAAATTATTTTATTTTGATGTCCCATTAAATTATGCGTTTGCTAAAATGTATCATATCAAAACTGAATAAAAAATCATTCAATTTTATCTTTTTTTAATCAAAATTTTGTATTTGACTAATTATTCTTTATATTTTCATAATTTTTTTAAAAAAATTATTTATATATCTCTATCTATATTTTTAGTTAAAAACTTATTTTGTAAATATCTTTTTACCTTAAAATTTTTTATGAAAAAATAAAAAAAATAAGGATCAAAATGATTAAAATTAAAACAAAAAAATAGAATCAAAATGGAATAAAAATTATTTATGAATTAAAAATAAAATATTTAAAATAAAATAAAATATAATGTCACAAAATTTTTTATAATAAATATTTTATTTTGATTCGTTTGGTCTAAGTGGGAGGATGTTCCTCCGCAGCTTTATTGTCTCTAACCTCGCGTTACTTGCTGCTGTGCAAGCGAAGCCCGCCTATGATTGTGAATGTGGTAATTTACCTCTAAGCCCCCATTGCTAGTGCTTGAAGTCTTTGAGAGGTCTGGGGAAGCTACAGAGGTGTCTCTTGATACCCCTTTTTATTCTTTTTTTTTTTTTTTTTTCATCCGTCTTGCCTTTCTGCTTATCGCAGCTCTTAGATGAACTCACATGCATTGGGTCGGTCGGTCGGTCGGTGGGTTTCCATTTGTTATTTTCTCACAGAAGCAAGAAAAACAAGTGGAGGAAAATGAAGAAGAACTGCCCAGGCCTGGTCCTCCAGGAGTAGGCTGGCAGGCCTGGTGCTCCGGGCCCAGGCGTGTATTGCTCCAAGCCCAATAGCGCAGCCTCTCTCTCTCTTCTTTTCTTTAATTTTTGGTTTTTTTTTTCTTGTTTTTTCATTTTTTTAATTAAAATGTTTTAGGCAAAACAAATGCTGGAAAGGCCCAAAAAAAAAAAAACAAGAAGTTGAAAGAGGAAAATACATCATCATTGACCATGATATGGAGGCTGACCAGGACGTGGAGCACCACCAGTGTCGCATGTTTGGTTGCACCCCCAGGTGAGTCCGAAGGTATTGCCACCGCCCATTTTATTTGTGTTATTATTTTTAGGCAAAACATATACAATATCAAGTGTTATTATTTATGTTTTTTACTCAGCCGTAGAAAAATAAAAAATATATAATATCCTTTTTATATTTTAAAATTAACTTATATTTTAAATTATATGTTGAAGAAAATTGAGAAGAAAAATTATATATTCTCCCTTATGTAGGTTACAATGCATCGAATATATATACAATGAGTCCTAGAGTAAGAGTAGGAAACTACCTAATCTAGGGATAAAGATAAACATAACTAGAGTCCCTTAAATTAAGGGATAACATTAACACCCATAATATCTGAAGATAATAATAATAATAATAATTACGGGTAATATATATCTTAACACTCCCTCTCAAGTCGAGGAATAGATATCTTCCATTCCCGGCTTGGAAATATTATCATGAAAATTGGAGCTATTCAACCCTTTGGTAAGAACATCCGCAAGTTGGTATCCCGTAAGAACATAAGATAAGCATATTAATCCCTCCTCTAGCTTTTCTTTGATAAAATGCATGTCAATCTCAATATGCTTAGTCCTATCATGTTGTATAGGATTATGAGCAATGTTGATAGCAGATTTGTTATCACAGTAGAGTTTCATAGGACCTTCCCACTTGATTCTCAAGTCATCTAGGATAATCTTCGACCACAACATTTCACACAAACCTTGAGCAATTGCTCGAATTCGATTCAGCAGATGATCTAGCCACAACATTCCGTTTTTTACTCCTCCATGTTATAAGATTACCTCCAAGGAACATACAATACCCGGTAGTTGATCTTCTATCCATTATAGATCCTCTATAATCTGCATCGGTGTAGACTTCAACGGCAAGATCCCTTTGTCTTTTGAACAGGATTCCTTTTCCCGGATTTCCTTTCAAATACCGTAACACTCTATAAGCGGCTTGTAAATGTGACTCCCTCGGATCATGCATGAACCGACCGATCACACTTACAGAGTATGCTATGTCCGGTCGAGTATGTGCAAGGTAGATGAGCCTCCCTACTAGCCTCCGATACATTTTTCTATCCACTTGGAGGTTTTTTTTTTGCTTCTCCGAGTTTTTGATTAGCTTTAATGGGTGTAGATATTGGCTTACATCCAATTTTTCCCGTCTCCTTTAATAAATCAACCACATATTTTTATTGGGATATGAAAATCCCCTTTCCGGAGTATGCCACCTCAATACCTAGGAAGTACTTCAATCTCCCAAGCTCCTTTATCTCGAATTCCTTGACCGGTCGTTGTTTCGGTTCTAGTTTTTCCTTTTCATCATTCCCAGTGATGATGATGTCATCTACATACACTATAAGTGCCGTCACTCCCCTCGTTGATGAGTGCTTTATGAAAAGGGTATGATCACCCCGACTATGTTGGTATCCAAAAGCTTTCATAACTTTAGTAAACCTTCCAAACCATGCTCTTGGTGATTGTTTTAGTCTATAAAGGGCCTTCTTCAACTCCGTAAACTTTATTCCCCGTTTCTTCTTCAAATCCCGGAGGAACATCCATGTAAATTTCTTCATCTAGGTCTCCATGAAGAAATGCATTCTTCACATCGTATTGTAACATTCGCCAATCAAAATGTGTCGCTAGGGATAGCAAAATCCTAACGGTGTTCATCTTTGCCACGAGTGCAAATGTCTCCCGATAGTCTACCCCATAAGTCCGAGTATATCCCTTAGCCACCAACCTTGCTTTATACCTCTCGAGTGATCCATCGACCTTATACTTAGGTGTAAAAATCCACTTACAACCGACTATGTTCTTCCCCTTTGGTTTATCCACAATCTCCCATGTTTGATTCTTTTCTGTAGCGACCATCTCCTCTTTCATGGCATTTCTCCATTCTCTTTTTGACAATGCCTCAAATACGATAGTGGGGATACATATGGTGTTGAGGTCGGTAATGAATTATCTATGGTTTAGTGACGAGTTTTTAAGTGACACATAATGAGACAATGGGTACATAGGTCTTTTGGTGCATTCTCTACTCGCCTTTTCCGATAGCTATGGGAAGGTCATTGAGTGGTTCTACCGATTGTGTGCTTAAGGTTGGATTAGATCTTACCATGGGGTTTTTATCGTAGTCCGGGTAGGATTCTTGAACTTGTTGCGGTGTCCGGAACAATCCTTCTAGTATATACCCGTGAAAATCTCGGATCATTATGAATAACCCGATCCGAATCTTGAGAAGATACAATTTCTAGAACTCGGTTTGGATTTGGATTAGATTTTGTAGGATTAGGAATTGATAATTGACTCTGTTTTGGATTAGGAACGGACTCTAATGGAGAACCAAGAAGAGGAGATGGAACTAACTCTATTGGACGATTAGGGAGATCAAGAGTACAAGTACTATCAAAAAGTACTATCTTTTACTAGTGATGTAGTCTCCCCCGAAGATAGGACTTTTGAAGTATGGCTGGTTTTCTCGTGAAAGTGACATCGACTCGAAACATAAAATTTTTTAGTGAGAGGATTATAGCACTTGTAGCCTTTTTATGTAAAAGAATAACCAAGGAAAACACACTTGTGTGCTCGGGGATCTAACTTTCCTCTTTGATGACTATGAATGTGAACAAAGGTCCGTGCAACCAAATACCCTAAGAATGAGTCCATTAGAAATTCGAAACTCCGGATAGAAGGTATTGAGGACTTCCATAGGACTTTTATGGGATAAAACTTAAGAGGGCAATCTATTGATCATATGAGTGGCTATGAGGATAGCCTCCCCCAATAAGATTTTGGAACATTTTCCCGAAAAAGTAAGGCCCTAGCCACATTGAGTAAGTGCCCATTCTTGCGTTCAACCACCCCGTTTTGTTGGGGTGTGTCAACACAAGAGGAGTCATGAATGATTCCCTGTTGTTGAAAGTATGGAGTCAATGTGTGGTTGAAGTAGTCCCTAGCATTGTCCGACCTAAAATTCTTAATTTTGACCCCAAATTGATTGTGAATCATAGAAAGGAAAGTAGGGATAACAATGCTAACATCAATTTTTTGTTTGAGTAAATAAAGCCAAGTAACTCGAGTACAATCATCTATCAAGGTAACAAACCATCTAGCACCAAAGATATTTGAAACAGGAGAAGGGCCCCATATGTCACTATGGATCAAATGAAAAGGTTTAGAACTTCTTTGATTACCGATAGGAAAAGATATACGAGTGTGTTTTGCCAACTCACAAATTTCACAATGAAAATCCGAAATGTCTAATCCTTTGAACAAGTTAGGAAACATGAATTTAAGGACTCTAAACGTAGGATGACCAAGACGAAGGCGATAGAGCCAAATGGTCTCTTTATTGGAAGAACTAAACAAAGACACGGATAAATTATTCATAATACTCCAAGAAGAATCAAGATGATAGAGGCCATTCCTTTCCTTAGCAAGTCCAATCTTCCTCCCCGAGCCTTGATCCCGCAAAACACAAGTAAGAAGGAGAAAAAATTGCAAAGCATTTAAGATCATGAGTAAGTTTTTTGATTGACACTAGGTTGGTTGATAATTTTGGCACATGGAGTACATTTTTAAGAGTGAGAGTAGGTGTAACCATGATGTTTCCTACACCTGCAATGAGTAGCCAAGGATCCATTTGCCACTATGATCTTCCTATTACTAGGGCGGGGGTTATAGGTATGGAAAAGCCGTGATGAATGAGTCATGTGGTCCGTGGCTCCGGAATCAATTATCCATGAATTGGTATAGGTTGTATCCGAGACATACATGCAAGTGGAGAATGAAGACTTACCCGAAAGAGCCAATGAACAAGCCCCGGATGGTTTTTCAAGAGAACCTAATAAGTTTTTCAGCTTTTTCTATCTCCACACTATTGAATCCACCATTATCCATCTTTACTTCCTCATTGACTTGTTCTGCTGAGTGAGCTTGATATTGAGATTTTTGCTAGAACCTTGGTTGCCCTCCACGGTTTCCCCACTCATGACTTGGTGGTTTACCATTTAATTTCCAAGCATCTTTCTTTGGTATGTCTCGACTTCTTACAATATGTACACCACATGTTGTCTCGTTATCCTTCAACCGAGGATATTTTTCAGTCCTCATTCTCTCCCGTTGATCTCCTTTTGTTGCTAGTGCGGACCCTTACGTTGTTGGGACTTCGAGCATAATGTTTCTTCCGCTTTCCTCGGCTCTAATCAACGAAATTGTCTCTTCCAATGATGGCATCTCTTCTTTGCCAATAATCTGGACTCTTACTTGGTCAAATTCGGGTTCAAACCAACCAAAAAATAATACACCCAATCTTTCTCAATAAAATTATTTAAGATTGCGGCATCCTCGACACACTTCATCTCAAATACACGATAATGATCAAGTTCCCGCCATAAATTCTGCAGGATATTGGCATATTCCGTAACAGCTTTATCTCCTTGTTTTCTCGCCCAGCTTTGATTTTTACCTCATAAATTCTGGTCGTATCACGATCCTTTGAGTAGGTACGCCGGATGAACTCCCAATTCTCCTTTGTAGAAGCAAGAAACATGCAGGTATCACTAATGGTAGGATCCATCGAGTCCCAAAGCCATGACATAATCATTGAATCCTCTTCATCCCATATGTCAAATGCTCGGGTTTTTCTTTTCCGGTCCCTTTCCCGTGATATGGCTAAGTCTTCCTTTACCCTTCGGGTATGTGCGAATGAATTGAGACCACTTCGGATAGGTTTTTCCATTGAGTCGATAGGAGGCCTTAATGTTTTGTAACTCACCGGGTTTTGGGACGAATTTACTTCCTCCGAGATGGAAGTTTCGATTGTAGACATAGTGAAGGAATAAAAGGTTTAGAAACAAAAGAACTATGGAAAAATTACAGCAATTAAGGTCGTGGAAAAAAAAACGAAGAAAACCGACAATGAATGAAGGCTGTACAGAATTTCAGCAAAGAAACCCTAAAGCTTTGATACCATGTCGAAGAAAATTGAGAGGAAAAATTATATATTCTCCCTTATGTAGGTTACAATGCATCGAATATATATACAATGAGTCCTAGAGTCGAGTAGGAAACTACCTAATCTAGGGATAAAGATAAACATAATTAGAGTCCCTTAAATTAAGCGATAACATTAACACCCCTAATATCTGAAGATAATAATAATAATAATAATATTTACAGACTAATATATATCTTAACATTATATAACTCTTATTATGTAATTTTTATTATTTGAATTTATCATTTTTTATAAAAATCCTCATCCTATTAATATTTTTTTAATAAAATTTTATTTACCGAAATTATAAATTATTTTTTTCATATTTGAATTTTAGAATACAATTTTAAAACGGAATTATTTTCTCTTTCTGTTTTAAATAAATGGATATAATTAATATATCATGTATTCTTAGAATTTTTAAATGATAGTTTCTCATATATAAATATATAATTATTCTAATCTAAAATATTAAAGTGTATTCTAGATAATTTATTTTATTCCACTAAATATAGCCAAAACATAATATATATATATATATATATATATATATATATATATATATATATATATTGAATCATCAGCTTTATTGAAAATTAATTATACATCTACACGTATAACACTAACTATTTGCTATAAATATTTAAAAAAAAACATTATAGTATCAATTTATTTGAAATAAAATAATTAAAATATTATTAAAAAAGCCTACCTAATTATTCAAATACAATTCTTTATGATATCATTGTTGATTATTTTATAAATAAATAAATATAAATCAAATGCATATACTTTTAAAAAATAATCATCTTATCAAAGTTAGATAAAAATAAAATTTTATTTTTTTATTAGTTAGTTTTTATATAAATTTATACATCAATTGTAACTTTATTTACCGCATACATTCTTATGAAAAATATATTTTTAAAGTATATTTTAATTCTTGATTAATATTTAAATTTAAATTATTAAAAAAAAATTATTTCAAAATCTATGCATAAAAATGAATAAATCATGTTTTTTTTTAAATCGACAATTTATGAATAACATAAAAAATATAATTAAATAAAAAATAATAAAATTTTAAATTGATTTTACTCTGTTTGACTCGTAGTGTAGCGCGGATAATCGACTAATTATTATTATTATACTAAATGATAATCTTCTAATGCCTAATAAAAGTTTTATTTGATGAAAAGTGAAAGTGTAACTTTTTATTTCATTAAAATTTATTAACAATTAATAGTTTTCTATTTGGCGCATGCTATTATTTATATATATATATAAAAAAAAGTTTTTTTCTCATAAAAATATCACATGGTTAAATCCGTATTTACATAATAGCCTGAATTTTCTATCTTCTTTATTTCTAATTGTATCTACTATTATTTGCAATTCAGGGGCTTAATTAATTTATATGGTAGATCCTGATCTTATGACAAGCCCTTTATTAGGAGACATTTGAGACAGAATTGATAAAATTCATAAGTTTAGGATGTAATTAAGAATGGGTATATAGATTTGGATTTAAATTGAGGTTTCCTCAAAAATAAATTATCCTTTGTTACCGTACCGACTAGCGCCTCTTCTGAGTCTTCTCTAATGCAAAGAAGCCAAAGCCTGAAAAAAAATGCTTTCTTCAGTATTAATCAGACGCCTAAACCCCACTAAAAGCTGCCTCCTTCGTTTGTCAACGAATCAACCCACCTCTCATTTCTATTCGCAAACCCCAAAACCCCAATCAGACCCACAAAATCTTGATTCCAACACTGTATATCATAGCCTGTCAAGTTACTGCAATGACTGGAAAAGAGCTCTAGATTTCTTCAACTGGGTCGAAACAGAATCATCATTTCAACACACAACAGAGACTTACAATCGCATGATTGACATATTGGGTAAGTTCTTTGAATTCGATTTATCATGGGACTTGATTCAGAGAATGAGAAATAACCCTTTTGCAATGCCTAATCATACCACCTTTCGTGTATTGTTTAAGCGTTATATAGCTGCCCATCTTGTTAATGAAGCAGTTAGTGTCTATGAGGATAGATTGGAGGAATTCAGTTTGAAAGACGAGACGTCTTATTGTAATCTTGTTGATGCACTTTGTGAGTACAAGCATGTTATAGAGGCACATGAACTGTGTTTCGGAAAGAACAATAATAGGATCAGTGTTAGGAACATAACAAAAATTCATAATATGATTTTACGCGGGTGGTTTAAGATGGGGTGGTGGGGTAAGTGTAGGGAGTATTGGGAGGAGATGGATAGGAAGGGAATTTGTAAAGACTTGTATTCGTATTCAATATACATGGAGATATTGTGCAAAAGTGGGAAGCCATGGAAGGCAGTGAAATTGTATAAAGAGATGAACAGTAGGGGAATAAAGTTAGATGTTGTGGCATATAATACAGTTATTGGTGCCATTGGTTTATCAAAGGGCGTGGATTTTGCCTTGAGGGTGTACCGTGAAATGAGGGATTTGGGTTGTCAGCCGAATGTTGTGACTTGTAATACGGTGACAAAGCTTTTGTGTGAAAATGGCAGGATGAAGGAAGCGTATAGCATGCTGGATGAAATGGTCCAGTCAGAGATTGTACCTAATGTTATTACTTATCATTGTTTTTTTAGGTGTCTTGAGAAGCCAAAAGAGATTCTTCTACTTTTTGATAGGATGATTGAGGATGGGGTTCGCCCAAGGATGGACACATATGTAATGCTTATGAGGAAGTTTGGAAGATGGGGATTTCTTCGACCAGTTTTTGTAGTGTGGAAGAAGATGGAAATACTTGGGTGCAGCCCAGATGAATTTGCATATAATGCTTTAATTGATGCTTTAATCCAAAAGGGTATGGTAGATATGGCGAGAAAGTATGATGAAGAGATGTTGTCAAAAGGTCTTCCAGCAAAACCAAGGGTAGAGTTAGACACAAAGCTTGCCGAAGGAGGATAAATGTGGCTACGTATATCCAGGCCTAGAAATACCATCTGAGGAAGAGTTTGCGACAGCAGTGTTCTTGAAATGGATCTTCTCGTTACAGGCTAGCGTCAACACCTTTTATGGATCAGAACCTGGGGCTGACATGATCTTCCTGAGCACACCAATTTTCTGCTGCAAACAAGTATTCGACGGGTGGTTTAACATTCTGGAGAGGTCACAGCCATTCTGTTGCCCTTTTATAGCTTGTGGGACCTGAAATCATATCTTGATGTCCCTGCTTGCTTGTTATAACACTTGGATGTAGATAGAACCCACATACCAGATGAAGTTCTATAAAAGTGAAAAAAATCAGAAGAGAACTTGCTTTTGTTAATGGTGCATCTTTTGTCAACTGATGTAAGAAAATTAGAATTCCTAAAATTGGAATAGGATGGCTGTGGAAATTGGTCTTTTAAGTCACTTTCATGTGCATTTTGCTGATGGGTTTCGTCTAATTTTGTGATTTTGTGTTATCTGTGATACGAAGATTTACTTTGTGAAAAGCACCATATCAGTAGTTTGACTAATCTTGTCCATTTTGTTTTTGAAACTGTGTTATGCTAGGTTCAAAAATTGCCTATGTATGAATTTTTTCTACAGTTTACTATGAATTTTTTTCTGCACTTTACTACACTTGAGGTCTAGTGCATTCTTGTGGTAATAATTGGGGTTTGCTTTTTAGAAGCAATGCGCAGGCTGATTACTAATTTGTAAAATGTACGATTGTAGGAGAGCAACTGACATGAATATCATGGTAGCATAAAGAAAACTATATATTATTGTGGGATCACCGTCTGTGCCAAAGGAAGTTAACAATGGAAAAAATAAATTGAGAGGATACGTACTGCTTTCTGTTTGCTGCTACGAACCTAGTATCTTAAATGACCTTGAGTTTGAATTATAGCTTGACAGCATCTGCTCCTGCTCCTGTATAAGTTATGGTTCATTACACGTAATGGAACCTACAGCATTCGTGTCTTATAGTAATGGTTTGGATACGAATGTTCTTAGTAACTTCTTTATAGCATAGTTTATGTATTTAATATGAAATTTGACACATTGGGTAAGTTCCTTGGATTCGATTTATCATCACTTACTGTTTCAACAAACTTGCACCACCATCACTATCATAATAACAACAGCAGCAGCCATCGCCATCAATCATAGCATCGCCACCATCCTACCATCGTGGGTTACAGCCATTAATGTAATTACAACTATCATCTTATTACAAATGTAAACATTGTTTTATCACCTTTCTACCATAACCCCCCACACCTTCACAATACAACACCAACCATCGCTGTCACCAATGCCATCACAACTTGCTGCCATCACCACCTAGTTATCCATATAACCACCACATCATCACTATTTTGACCATCAACATTGTCACTCCAATATCATTGTTATCACAACAACAACCACCACAACTTATGGTCGTAACTGTTATAGTCGCCATCACCACTACCACTTATATATTACTACTTCAACCATTACTATTATTATAACAATCGTTGCTATCCAATATATAAGACTTTCAAATTACATAAAGTTAAAACCATCTCAATTCAATAATTTAAACAATTGGATAAGTTCTAACAATATAATTTATATTATTCTTTAATACACATTTTCGAATAAAAGTTCTTTGGACTTAAAACTTATACGAGCCCATTATAGCTCTTTAAGTAAAAATGGAGGTGACAAGGTTTACATTTTTTATTGTTTGATCATCAAAACTATGATAACTTATCAAAAAACTATTTCAATCTAAAAATTGACGAATGGTTTATATTATTCTCTTTAAAGCTTTTTAACTTCTCTCTTTAACGATATAATTTATATTATTCTTTAACACACATTTTCAAATAAAAGTTTTTTGGACTTAAAACTTATACGAGCCCACTACATCTCTTTAAGTAAAAGTGAAAGTGATAAGGTTCAAATTTTTGATTGTTTGATCATCAAAACTATGATAACTTGTCAAAAAACTATTTCAATCTAAAAGCTTTAGCTATTGATTCACGAATGGTTTATATTATTCTCTTTAATGCTTTTTAACTTCTCATTTTCATCCCTCATAGATACATCACATGTGCTTGCAAAAGAGTTAAAGGGAAACGGTTTACAACATTTTTCTCATGATACTCGTAAAGTCTACATGATTTTGCATTTCACTATAACCATTGAGTCATTTAATGAATCTCGTTCTCACTACGGGCTTCTCTACTAAGCCAACACTATTTTTTCACAAACTCCCCGTACATTTTTCTTGTTATCACCATTCCCATGTAAAGTTTTTCTACCTGTTGTTTGGGAGGATGGAACATCTACCTTTCTTTTCATAAGTTTTTGTCACCCAAGTTAATGTTAAAAGTACCATGAAGATCGATAGAGAGAGCATCCATGACCATAATAATTGTATTGAAAGCTTGAATGGCTTGCATTGGTATCGTAAAATATCGGAGAATGTCGTTTTCACGATGGTGCATTTTGTCAAACTCTTTATGTCGGGAAGTATATCTATCATATACTTGGACGGAATAGCCGTATAGTCGAAGCCATGTCGTAAAAAGTCTTAGGAATAACTTTTTCTTCTCCTTTGCATGTTTCCTTGTTCTCCTTATAACATGTGAGACTTGAAAGCATCTACAAAAGATTTTTCAAGTAAACGTAAGCTTTCCGTTGAAACAATACAACTTAAATTAAGTCGGTTCTTAATTACCTCAAATCATAACATATATGTTTAAAACAAACAAAAAAGTCGATTATATATGTTTGTAAGAATTTTATAATGACTAATTAGTTATAAAATACCCGAACTATTGGTAAAAAAGAAAAAAAATCCCTAACCTTTCTTTTTTTAGGTCTCCGACCTTTTTCTTGGTTCGCTATTAAGTTCTTCATTCCGTCGATCAATCTCATGGCATGAAAGACACGTGGAACTAATAAAATAACGACACATATATGTTTTGAAAATCCTAAATACAAGATACGTGTCATTATGTTATGACTCTATGTGTCTCTTATGTACATATAATGTGGTCCGAGATTAATCAACAAAATAAAAAGATTTAATTAAAAAAAGGATTCAAATCAACAAAGAAATTAAAAGGTTATGGATTTTTCTCCTATTAACCAATAGTTCAAAATATTTTAATTAGTTAGCTTTTGATAATTTTGGATGATCAATAATTCCGCTTACATTTGGTAAATCACCAACCGGAATCGCATCCTTTGAGCATGTTTCGGGCATGTACGTGTAGTTTGGTGCTCCGGAGAAAGGGTCACGGATCGTCCGAGGTCCTAATATATACAAGTCCGGTTTGTCCGGTGCAAGCAACATATATAACTCTTTGATTTTCCAATTCAACTATCAAAAGAAGAAGAAGAAGAAGAAGAAAAAACAAGAAGAAGGAAGGCACATTTATTAAGAGAATATATTAAAAACCAAAGACGTCTATATAAGCAAAGCAAGCATAATCAATTTAGTACGTGCTCGAGAAATGAAATTATGTAAGTTGTTGCCAATTTCGCAAGGAGTTGGGTTGACTCGCGTCGGATCCATACAAGGTATAATGGAGCTCAAGCTCACGTTGCAGGGGTTTTCTTGAAAATCAAGAAAAGCCGAACAAGAATCTCTTGCAAAATTGCATGCCTTGCAACATTCGGTGACGATTTTCACCCAAAATGTGATTGAATAAAAACAAAAGGCTTAATTAATGTTCTAGAAAATTACGAACTATACACAATTGAATGATTTTAGCTCGTTCTTTAAAAATTATATAGAAATGTCACCAACTAAGCATCCATTAACAATGCTAGTAACGATCTGATTTTTTGATTAAAATTTTGATCAACGTTGACATGACATGTGACGAAACATGACACATGAATTTTAGCAAGCCATATAGAATTTACGTAAGCTTGACGCGTGGATTTTAGCAAGTCATATAGGATCTACATAATTTATTTTTCATGCCACTACTTACGTGGATCCTACGTGACGTGCTAAAGTTCGAATGTCATGTTTACGTGGATCGTCATGTCGGCGTTGATTAAAAAATCAGATCAATACTAGTATTGTTAATAGAGGCTTAGTTGATGACCTTTCTATATAATTTTTAAAGAATGAGTTAAAATTATTAAAAAAATATATATTTCATGTGTTTTTCTAAAATATTAAAAAAAATAAAAATAGAATGTTTCAATTTTGTGAAAGCAAAGACATTGTTTCGTTTCTCTTACGTACGTATGAAGGAAGAAGTCCAAGCCCGTCAAAGCCCACCAAATAGTTGTTAAGATCCAGCAGATAAAAATTACCCTGAAATGATGGTACGTAAGAGTAACTGGAAACTTAGGCAAAAGTCTGTAACATAGAGCAGTAGTATTTTTTAGCTAGGAAGATGGACGTGAATGTACAGTAACAAAGTGAGAGATGAAACAAAAATGACTTACGTGATAAATCCTGGTTGCCAATGCAATAGAAGGACAGCTGAGCCAACAGGAGCAACCTATTAGTGTAAAATAAATTTTGTTGCCTTAATCAGAGTCAACTGCATAGATATTATAAGAATATTTAGATTTTGTTGGGTATGAATTTTGCAAATTAATTTAAGTTAGTTGTTTATTTTATTTTTTTATATAAGGAGTAAGTTTGATAGATAAGAAAGTTTGCTTTATTTTTTGAATTTCTGCGTCCAAATTTTGGGGCCATCATTCAAGAAATTTATTAACTTTTTCTCGATGCACCAGGCTGATGTATGGGTGTGCTCTTAAGCTTTTCATAAAAGAATTTAGTCTGGATTAATATGAAATTAAGCCTGAAAAAATTGAATAGTTTTTGGTTTTTCTACTTTCGATTCAAATAAAAGTTATAAATATGTTAATTCAAAGTTTGTTATCAATTTTTTTAATCGAACATTAAACTTTTTATCTTTTTAAATTAAGATAATTAAATAACTCAATAT